CTGATACAGAAATACTATTATAACTATGTAAGTAAATTGCACGAGATCGAAATAATTATAGCGTTATTATCGTTATTATCGACTACACAAAATTAACAATTTTTTATCATTAGAATCTACTTACAAGACATTTTATGCTGTACAGATACGAATCTCACAAAGCTTAAAAATTGAAAATAATAATACAAATTCAGTAAATGAGAGTCGTTTCTAAACGGATAGTGCACTTATCACGTAAAATAAATATGTGTATAAGTTATGATAGGTACGGGATATTTAATTACTCGAGGTTTCTTGTTATTGACTATAAATAGTAATAATAAAATGGTTCAGATATACAGATCAAGTCTGAATAATAGTTTATTTTATCTGATTTATTTTGGTGATCTTATGAATTGAAGTAAATTGGTTCTACATAAAGCTTTTTGACAGTTTTCATCCACAATGAATGTTATTTAATTAATAAACGATCGGTCTTTATTGCTATTATTTTGTATAATTGCCTTGTTTGACTTACGATGACATGTCTACAGGGGTAGATTTCCAAGAAATCATTTAATTCTACATTCAGAAGATGCATAGCAAGATTATCAATATCGATTAATTCTGCTATCAAGTAATTTTTCAACGAAGAAGATTCATATGGAAATTATTGAACTTAATTATAGGCTCACTGTATTATTTATACTACAGATCGGTTATGATAAATTGTAACAATTTTAATTGTATTAAACTTAATTTAAAGTCCGATGAATAGAATAGTTCTAGAAGATAATGCTATGGATTTATAGTAAAAATGTTATAGTGACGAAATTTTCATATTTTTCAGTGATACATATCTCAGCTTACTTTAATTTTTAAAGTGCTATAATCAACATTAATATTAATGCTAATAATTTTCAAAAATCTTTTTCTTTGTCTGTCAGCTTGCCTTGTATTGGTAGAAAGCCATAATGTAATTTTCAGATATATCTTATAGCATGTTACCATAATACTTGAAATTACTGGAGGAAGTCTATCTATAATATTTCATGGCTTAATGCCATTGATGAAGTAATTCATTGGGTCTTTAAGGTGATGATTCTTCTCGGTTTGTATGCACAATATAGCGAATGAGGTACAAGTGAGAAGTAATTAAAGTAAATTTGTAAAATTGGTAGTGGTCCATTTGTGATATACTACTACAGGTTTAGGTATCTAATCATGATTCTTAGTTGTAAGCAGCCAGTTAGAAACATACTAAAATACTGCAAATGATTGATATATGACCCGAATGTCAATAAAATTATGTCAACCGCTGTATATCGATATGTCTATTGCTACTATCGGAAATCTTGTATACTAAAGTTATTATCAGTTTGGGCATTGCCGTACTATCTCATTCTAAAAATAGGATATTCTGAAATTATTATAATTCATTAAATCCAGTCTTAGTTATTATGATAATTTATCAGATTCTGATACGTTAAAGTGATTAAATTTGATCATTTATTTGCTTTTGGGCTATTGCCAATATGTTTGTGAGTATTATCGTCATCGATTTTTTTTGTGTAAAGACTAACGGCAGTATTAATTATAGCTGAGGTTTTGCAGAAATTTACAATTTAAGATCGATTATGATTGAACAATAGGCTTTTTTTACATCATTTACAAAACTTGCGAGTTTGCTAAGCATTAAAGCATTCATATAGTTAATAAAGGTGGCTAATATAAATTTTTAACTAAAAGGGATTACCATAATGTATCCACTGTACAAAAATAAGAATAGCTTTGCGTGAATATTTATAAAGCAAACAGTAGAAAGTAAATAACTTGATTTTGTAGTAATACCTTCTAGTTAAACAAAGTTACTGAAATTTGCATGTTTAATGGTAGGCATCGATAAGAATATTATCTTATTTGATAAATAAGCAATTTAATCGCATTAGTTTATTTTATTTTTGATTAATGATAATCTACAACATTCCTGAAGTTGAAGCATACATTGAAAATGAATTGAGGGGAAGAGATTAGAGAAATAATGAATCTATTTTAGTGCAAAAGTTTAATTAAAACAGTAAATCATTGGGAAGGTTTCCAGTCGTAATATAACTTATGCATGGTCAAAAATGTTCATGTGAAATGATAGATGAATATAATGTGTTTGTCATATTCAATTTTATTACTAAATTTCTCTTTATAAAATGATACAAAGAGTAATTGACTGATTTTACTTGCCAATGTTGCCAGGAAATAGTTTACTATAAATGATATGACTTCATTGTGTGATAGTGAAGTAGTTTTAAGTGTCCTATTACATCCGTCTACTCTTTCTAAATGGATATTTGCGGATCTTTCATTGTTTACTTTAGTTGGTTACGCTTTTCGTTATCATAGCTACGGGGAAACATTAGAGCAAGCCAATCAAATTTGAAGCTCAAATTTGAAGCTGTCTTTTTATTTATAAATAACAATAAAACAGGTGCTTTGATTATCCGATAACTTACGACATTGAATATAGTTGCCATTTATCCGGTAGCCGGATAATCATCAAATTAGTAAAATTGAAGGTGGTGCTTTTCTCTACATATTGTGCTATTACGATAAAATAAAGCCCTACTGTCAGGCAAAAATTAGAGTTCAATGCCTAGGAGATATCCTAACTGCAGATATTTATTGTTATCCGTTACTACTTTTGGGTAGAATGAATTTTATTCTTTGTCAGTCAAATTATTTTTTTTTTAGTGTGTTTGGACTTACGCTTATTCTGTTAGGATTGAATCCGTCGCATAAAGAAGAGTAAGATTTGTCATTTATTCTTTCATTTATGTATCACGGCAGATAACTTATGGACTATAGTAATATCTATACTACTGCAATTTGCTATTTACAGCTGAGGAGATTATGGCTATAATTGGTAATAAGTATTTGTCATTATTATTTCGATATTTAAACATAACGTACATTGTTAGAGTTAATTACTAGCAATTGTATTATTTGACCGTAAGTACTGTTTTTTATTTTATTTATTTAGTAGTGCTTGAGATAGTCCCTAGTCCCTGAAATGGATTATGCTAGCTGAAGGCGCATACCGTTTAGTGAGAATGATCAGTTAGATTTGTTAATTCCAATCGAAGCAGATTCAACAGATTTTGTTATTAATGATCCAAATGCTTGTAAATATATATACGAGTACTGCAGTTTAGAATTGCAAGTTAGTTCTTTCTCTCGTTTCGTAATTGGCTGTAGAATACTGTTGTGGTAAACTTTGTATTAAAAGTAAATTTTTATTCCAAGTGAAAGGTTATCACATAGCTGTTCCTTATATGAGAATGTTTGTTTTATCACGTAGAATATTTAGCCGTGCATTTCAGCTGTCTTAGGCTACATGCTTCTATTTTGTAGAGGTAAATCTTGGCTATTTTAATCAGCTTATTAGTTATCAGCAGTTGTTGAAGATGAAACCTGGAATTACAGTGTCACATTTTATTACTTCCATCTAATAATTTTCGTACTTTATTATTTATTTTAATCTAGTCCAACACCCTGCTCGTGATAATATACCGTAAGCTATTCATGTACTGAATGTTTCTTCGTGGTATCAATACACCTATGATAAGAAATGAATTCACACTAATAGTAAAAATATCTGTTACTAATACAAAGCTATGTCCAGCTGTCCATATAAAAAGGAGATTTTCCAGTTGTGTGTAATGAATGAATGAGCTGAGATTCAATGTTGATCCACGAGCTGCACCTACCTTTTCCTTCAGTAGCCGCTATTATAGTGCTAATAGGCTCATCGATTCTTTCCTACTTTCAGCAAATTCATAGCGATTTGCGTAAAATGCTTCCTTTTGAGTGCGTGTTGCAACGAGGGTCTATTGTTGTAGTAGCTGACATACATCATACTGACGTATAATTAATTGGCTTGTACCTATCTAGGAAACTACAGCAGGATAACCTAACGATGAATTTTCTTTTAATTTATTGCTTTGTGTGATTATGTTCATTTGAACTACAAAAAGTAAAATTACAGTAATCATAGCGGTACAGTATAATACTTTACTCGTTGATAGTGCTAGATCATTCAATTAAAATTATCAACAATGAGTATACGACATTTTTAGTTTAGTCTTAACTAATTTATAGCAGGCATCCATAGTGATTGCCGTCCCGGATATTCGATTTGGTGTGTGTGATCATCATTTCAGTCACGGACTGCTAGAAGAAGACCTGGACTGACTGGACTCATGACTTCCTCAGACAGACGGACTCTTCTTAGCAAAAGAGGTCGTCAATATCGAAAAATATCTAGGAGTATGGATCTTCCGTATTTGTTTTCTGAATTACTAATACTAATTTTCATAACATCGACGATCTTATATAAGTGTCTCCAAGCGGAACTTAGTAACAGATGATAAGATTTATTTAACGTAGATGCTTCATTAAGAAAAAATCAGTCCATTCAAAATCCAACGTTTTCATACTAAAGTAGTATCATACCGAAGTGCTTGGCACAATACATTGACGAGACGTAGCCGAAAATGTCTGTCCATCCAAGAGTGGTCAGTCCAGGTCTACTTCTGTAGGCCGTGTCAGACAGAGTATTGTACAACCTACAGTATACTACTGTACTGTAGTACTGTGCTATTTTGCTATGAAACAATACAGTACTGTACAGTACTGTACACTGTACGGATAGATGAAGTACTGTACAGTGTACAGTACAGTAGTCAAGTGTCCATGTTAATATTTACTGTACAGTACTATACACTATACAGTATAATCGACGTGACAATGCATAGGGCGTTAACAGCTCTTGTTTGAGCTACCTAGCTTGGCTTGCAGTTCGCAGCTTGCATGTTGCTGTAGAAGATCGCTTGGCTATCAGCTACGATAGTATAGATAATTCATCATCATAATAATAAAGAATTCAATTACATCAAGAATTCATAATCTTTCAAGCGACTGTTAGGTCTTAATAGTTACAATATTTTGCATCTAGTGTTGCTGTAATCATGGCGTCTCGAGGGAAAGCGGAAACAGAACAACTTAAAAAACGGCTAGAAGAGCAGCTAGATCGTTTAATGGCTCAACTATCTGATCTTGAGGAATGTCGGTATGCCAGAAGTTACGATCTCGTATATTAATTAATCGTACTGTAGGCGCGATTTCTATTTATTTTTAAAATTGGTGTTATACAAGTATGAGGACTGACACAAATAATTGATATAGGATATAATTGAATATTTCCAACGCCGGCTCGTAATGATAATTAATCATACCGTACTATTGATGAGTATACTGTAATTACCAAAGTAAACTGTACACTATCCATGCAACTGTACTGTACAACAAATAATAATATGTTCGGTTTAAACTATTCCGGCTACTCGCTTTCTTTATCAATGAATTGTTATACAGTACTAGTAATGGAGACTTTGAACACTTGACAATCTTTTCAACTATAGCTTGATATTGATTTTCGTGATTGGATATCGATAAAAGTGGACAGTACAGTATATCTACCAGTTCAGCTATCCATAAGATACTAAAGCATCCGCCTTTGCTGATGGAAGATCCTCTTTATCAGCCTGTCATTAATGCTTACCTTGCCGTATGTATAAAGTCATGGAGTACACATTACTGGAGATACTTGTTAAAGATATAGTACTGTACAGTACAGTAGAGTACTACAACTGTGTGGCTACCGTAGATTTAAGATACTATAACTGTAAACACAGGTTGCTATATCAGAATCCGATGTGCGTGATCATTTTACGAGAGGTATTGCTGCACTATGAAATCGAGTAAAACGTTTCTATCGTGCTTCTTATACGTGTATGTAATTGGTTTGAGATACACCATCGATCCGTATTTCCTACAGTTTTTAACGAAACCCGGATAATTTACCGCATTAAATTAATTTTACGCTGTATAGGATTGAATGCTGTAAAATATTCAACCCACCCTCGTAATATTAAAACAGATAATTTACTGCACCAGATTAATTTGACGGTGTATAGGATTGAACGCTGCAAAGTATTCAATTCACCCTCGTGATATCTAATCTATATTGATATTGTTTCCATCCTATATTACTACATTGTACAGTACTGTACAGCGATAAATTGTCCTCGTTAAATTGTCTTAGACCGAGTTTTTGATTGGATATGTTGATGCGTACGGCGCAGTGTGTTATAGTATTACATTAATCTAGCTCGTCTGTAGACGCTAATGATATTGGTATTTGTGATCACTTGCAGGGAAGATTTAGATGAAGATGAGTATGAAGTGACCAAGAAGGAAACGTATGAACAATTAAGCGAATTTAATGATTCACTAAAGCGAATTGCCGGTGGCAATATGACATTAGTTGATGATTTAAATGGAATGCAATTGGTAAATAATTATATTTAATGAACGAGTATACAGCGCATGATATGGTATCAGCCATTGCATACGATGACAAGCTTTACCGAAATAATAATGATAATGTAAATGCATTGCATTTAATTTAATCTTAGGCTATACAAGCTGCAATTAGTGAAGCCTTTAAGACACCTGAAGTGATACGACTTTTTGCAAAGAAACAGCCTGGACAGCTAAGGAATAGACTTGCTGAGGTTGATTTAGTACCAGCTTTCTAAACATTTTATACGTAGCTTACTTAATGGACCTGTTTAGGCGATCTCTGCTTGAATAGTAATAGTAGTACTGAATTTATACACGTAATAATAATAGATAGAACGCGATGGCAAAATTGGGAAATTGGCTGTCGATGTGTACAAACAGCAGAAGCTTGAGATACTGACAGCTTTAAAAAAATTAGGAGATAAGGTAACTATGGATATGGTGTAATTTCATATATTCCTATGTCGAATAATGCAGTGCAAAACTTGCTTTTGGGCTTATCGCTAAAAGTCTACGTATATACGTCTATTGTGCATTGGTAGCTATCCCCAGAAGAAAGTGCTTTCCTTGCAGATAATGCGACGGCGTCATTAAATCAATTTGAGCAAGTTTCTGGAGATATTGGTTTGTGCCTCTTTTTTATTCATAATTTATAAATATAATCAGTATGATAGGCTTAATAGCAGTAGGCAATCGATGCTTACAATGTCTATGTACGATCCATAAATGACCGGGTGATGGAATCGTGTAGTAACATTTCTAAAATTGATTAGGAACAACTGAAAATGTATTAGCGGTTGCTGGTTCGCAAGTTAGTGAAGCTCGTAAGTAGTTACCAAGCCGTGGATACTCACCCTTTTGAAATGAGGCGATGTTGTTCTTTGTGAACTCGGGTCGTAAGCAGCTGTATCACGCAAATCAACAAGTATCTGAATTTCTGCTAGTGAGATAGATTGTTGTGTTACTGTAATTTATAATGCTCACTCCATACACAGAGCATCTCGGTCTTTACCTGTGCTCGCTAAACAATTTTCTAAGTTTGTGATATAGTACAAATTAGTGTGGTAACCTTGTTTTCTGGAATTGAATCTATTTTACTGTACCAATTTTAAAGTTTTATCATGGGTAGTGCAGAAGTATACTCGTAAAAATGCCTTTTGGCCTTGTTATTCTCACACTAGTTACCTGTTACTATGTTAGTTGCCATTGAAAGCAAATATTTTATTTTTACTAGTCAGTTACATAATAAAATATGATTACCAAGATGCAATCCTATTATTTTGTCTAGTATTATGCTCACAAGATGATGAGCTGTAGTTGTTTACGATGATCACGATGCAGTGATTGATTTATGTTATCGGCGAAATGCAGTAGATTGTTACAGACCAATACTGGATACAGGATAGATGAACGTAACATTTTCAGTAGTGCATGTTTGAATTACAATACTGATGTAGTTGTAACAAAATAGAGTAAGGTATAGTATTGTCACCTTGATCAAAACATTTTTGAAGTGAAGTGAACCGTGGCATGCAGTATTTACTAATAGAGAAGAAAGTTACTGAACAGTACATTCATTTTTTTAGTTACTAGGATATTGATACTTTATTTGTACTGTCGTTTACGCCAATTTATATCAACTCCTAAGGCACTGCGTGCACAAGTATGAAAAGTAAATTGATAAATTTAGAATCGATATTTATAACATTGACGCAAATATAATTATGAATCTACTGTTTTGAGCATTTAATCATTTCAAGAGACTGCTGTCCTCAATTCTATTAATATGCTAGTCAGTGTAAATCCGGCATAGCCAGGCTTTCTGCATAAAACGTGTAAATCTATTGCTTCAAACAAAAATATCTATATAGCATTTATATATATGTTATACATGTACAACCCGCGTAGACGAGTATCACCGCCCCGATTTTGAAGTTCTTTGTGTACAGTATGTACTGTAGATTACTGTATATTTGGCTGATTTCAAAAGTATCATGTCAAAGTGGTTCTAGACTATTTATTTTATCTGCTTTTATGATCAATGCACTCCTTGATCAGGTGCAGGCGTGCTGTTGGGGGTGTACTGAATATAAAGTTTATTCTTCATTTCGTCCAAATTTTGAATTGGGCCAAGTTGTTATTCAATATAGGAGTCAGGGCACTGTTAAGGGAACTGCTAAGAGAAAATTCCTTTACAAGACTGGGATACTACTACCCATTGTCGATAGGGTAGCTGACTATTATACTTTACTTGCGAAGTACAGTTGTTCATTTAATGACTTGATCACAGCCATTCATTCTAACATTAATCCAACACATTACACACAATTTGGTGACCGATTGCCGATGTACACTGTACATACAAATACACTTGAGTGGATACTAGCCCTAGCCATTTTCAATTCCTTTGCACACTTGGTTTAAGCTGTCCGATATTACGAGTCGTCGACATCGACAGTCTTAACCTATGCAACATCGAAAAAATTCAGAAATCGTCCAATCTTACACGGCGCAAATCAAGTTCCACCGGAGGATTTTTGAATTTTTTTGTAGACATGTCATTCTACTGTGTGTCTATAGTATCCATAAATGATGGAGATGTTGCAAAAAATGACTACAAGGCCATTGTCGATCTATTGAAGAACTCGTTAGGCAGCCAGAGGTAAAGCTTGGCAGTATTTGGTGCATCGATGCTAGTGTAGTGTCTAGTTTGAGCGCTTGTAATGACTAATATAGTATGCAGCACACGCATCTAGCCCTATCCTGTATGGACAGTCCAGCTGTCGATCTTGGTATTGGTTACCATACAGTAGAATGGTGGTGTATCGTGGGTGGATACCTGTCAGTACAGTACAGAATGCTGCTACAGTACTGTACTGTAGTACAGTCAAAGAAAAACCCAAAGTACTGTATTACAGTACAGTACAGTATAGTACAGTGTACAGTACTGTATACTGTAATACTGTACTGTAATACCAAATTACAAAGTACAGTACACAGTAAATTATTAGTTTTAATTAGGACTGTAATACCAACGTGACCTACTGTTCAGGGCAAAGTAGTGTACGCCTATAGTCGCTCAAGTGATACAACAGTACCATCTAGTTACAATTTCGAATGTCACCCCAATTCTTCATCCATGGTATTGTAGCAGCCTACTTACGATACAAAGTCGTTTCAATTACCAGAGTGCAAAGCCAACTGGGGTGACACTTTCAATTGGAGAGACTTTTAGTGTACCGTGCTGCAAATGGTCCGCTTCGAAACAGACTTGAGTACTGCATTATTCAACTTGGACCCTGTTGTAATCAAGTGATTTCATAGTAATGAAGAGAGAAGACGGTGGCGTAGTAGCGAGCAATATTGGACCAATTCATTACTGGATCGATTTTCAAGCAACGCATTCATTCAACTAGTCAAAACCTTTTTTGACCTTGTACAGGTAAATTGATGAAAGTAAACTGAGGTAGAGCTAAAACTGTTCAAGTATTAACTTTGGATATTGACATTGTAGAGTGGTAGGTACAGCAGTAAGGTCTGCGATCCATTGATCCGACGGGCTATCTGGGCCATTAAAATTCGATAGCCAATACAATACCATGATGAATCGTGATCGAGAAGGTAAATCCAACCGTGAAACTCGTCATCTATGGGCTGGCAACTTCCCAGAAGATAGTACAGAAGAATCTATATTGACTTACTTTGAAAGGTATGATCTTCATCCACGAGATGTTGCAACAAATTGAACAATCAATTCCAATATTATGTTAGTTACAATTCAGATTGCAAGTGTAGTACGTACAAATTGCCTTGCTGTTTATACAATATTACAGTACTACTCATTAATCAAGCGCTGACTGATGACATCCGTCTAAGTCGGGTTAAGTCGCATGCAATCTTATTTCCAATCTGCCCATAGTCTACGTAATCGAATTGGCACAGTAGAAAGATAGCACAAGGTCAAAATCAATAGTAGTCATGACCCAATGAAGGACCAGCTCATTCTGTGTTTTACAACATGGACAGTATTCGCCCGCCATTTTAAATTGTCTACTATTCCACTTATTCCAACTTTGATCCCAGAATTGACCGTCTCCGTCGATTAATCACCGAGCGTTATACCAGATTGACCGACCTAAAATGGATGGTCCTTTGGACACTCTATACTGATGAATATTCCTTTTATTCTTAAGGATTTAAAATTGTTTATTACTGTAGCCCAGTTAATCTTGCATGCTTGTTGTACAATAGCGGTCATTTCTGTTGCCCATCATGTGATACAACAAATGCTCCATCCATTTGCTAGTGATTGCCCTAATTTAGAGTGCGAATCATACACTTGTTTGCTGTAAAATCGTCTTAGTCTTGAGTATAATTTCGCATCAAGTTACAGTATATCTGTAAAATAGTAGCATCGATTGCTTTAACGTATGCATGAACTAATATCACACTATTGTACTCGCACGGGTCGTGTGGTCGACGTGATAGGTTAACTTTTGGGCTTTACATGCTCTCAACTCGGTTAATGACACTTAACCCCATCACTCATTTTCAACTTCGACATTCTATCGATGCTATTCTCTAAAATGCAATTATTTTTATACACTTATATATCGAATAGCAACTTGATCAATTGGTGAGGGTAGCTTGAATTTGCTCTAGACAGTAGGCGAATGGAATTGTTGCTTATACAGGAAGTTTCTACTGTCTATTCCAGTAGAATGTATAGTAGTAGGACAATCATTGGGAAGATAGTGCACTGTATGCATGACTATCGTTACTAGTAGAAATAACATTGATTTGAATTGTGGTTAATTAAAATACGATCGACAAAATCAGGGTATATATTTATCATTAGGTACAATGATGATGATTTTCAAACTGTGTCCAATGATCGTTAATTCAATTATTCTTATGGGGAATACATAACATGCGATGCCGAGTCAGTGATAGGAAGCCCATCATTATTTCTGCCCACTAGCCATCCTAACATAGATACAATACACGGAAAACTTATTACTGTATACTAGACGTTGTAAATTACAATCAGCTAGTATTACTGTACTGTAACTTAACTTAATTATTCTTGCTGAAATGCGAAATATGCAGTACTGTATTTTGTTTGTATTTTACTTCATCGCTCGGCTTCCTATTAAATAATTTTACTGATGCGTTAGTGATGACATAAGAATGATCAGTGTGTATTAGATGTAGTGATTGATTTAACTTAACATTCATCACTTTTCACGGTATATATTACACATCTCATTCATCTTGATCACTATTCTATTTACCTACCGTATAACTGAGCGAGAATAATGTGTAAAAGAATTGCTGAATGATTTAATCTGGCTTGTTGGCTAATGCATTCTTAGCTATCGCGGTTGATTTTCGACATTAACATTACTTGTTGTACCTTGGTATTATAATCGTATCATTTTTCATCTCACGTATGGCGAAGTATTATCGGATTATCTTCAGTACGTAGAATAGGTTTAAATCGGTTAAATTGATCTTTCATACTATTAAAATTAAGTTTATGCGTCAATAATGTAAAAATAAATTTTACATTCATGCAGTATTTCATGGACCCCGTGCAAGTTTGTGTTATGATGATTCGCTGTTGACGCTATTGATTACGACGCTCCAGCGCTATAATCAGAGTTTGTAATTAATTATCGAGTGGATACTATAGAATAAATTGAACGTACTAACTACAAGAACAAATAATTGCTTCAATCAAATTATATTTTTTGCCTCTACTTGAACTTTCTCGCTGGTATCCTATGTCAATCATGAATAGTATTCATCGTCGGATAACGCAAATTTTTATTGTTCTTACACATAGTGGTGCCCTAACGCTTAGAATATACTATACTAGTGTATCATGTCATTTTTATGTTACCATATTACAATATTTAGATTTGATTGCGCTGCTTACATACATAACAGACTATAATATTGAATTACAATATAAATTTAATGTATTATACATTTTACCAGACCGCTTTGACTACTATCACTTACTACTAATTGAAAATAGCTGACAATATAAAACGTAGCAATTTACCGTAAACACTGTAGAAAATGTCCGTAATCCATAGTTTATAATCTCACGAATACTGGAACGGAGAAACTATCACTATAATACTCAGTGTTTTACAGTATATCAAAGAATGAATGATGATACGATACTACGGCACGACATGATTCTCTTAGTGCTTGATATTAGCATGTGTAAAAATGGTAATACCTGTTATTATTTGGGTATGATTCTTTTGTCCTCTTTTACCTTACTTTTCATAGATATTATTAAATCCTGATCTTTTTGCGGCTGTAAGACATGATCTTAAAAACGTAGATATTAATACTACAGTACTTCGTTTGCTACAGGTATGGACAAGTAGAAGCTGTAAAAATTTTACCACGCCGAAAACAATTGCAAGGAATAGCTGCATTTGTGGACTTTGTTGACATTAGATGTGCTGTGAAGGCATTCGAGACGCCTAATCGCGTGGGAGACAGAATTATTAAGACCGATTATAACGAACCTTCAGCCGGTGTTATTGCTAAAAGTCGCAACCGCCAGACGCAAGACAGCAGTATAGTAACTGAATCTCCAGGACGTATGCAATATATTAACCATCACCATCACAGGTAAACTTCTTTAAGTACAGTTTATCTGTTTGTTGACGTTTTTGAAATTTAATTTAATAGTTTAACGAGATTATTCACACACACAAGCTGTATACAACGTTTTTACTGGTGTTCCGTATTTGATATTAAATACTATACTAAGCTATCTAACTGTCGATCAAAATTGTTGTGTATCATAGCCCTGATATGTTGATAAATTAAATCTTTGTGAATATATTGTTATACGTTAAAAGTAAATATTTTTTAATTGAACCTCTGTTTTAAACTGTAGCGGTGAAAATACCAGACATGATAGTCGAAGACCCAAGAGCCGTCATTTTAATTCGTATGTTGAAAGTGATAGCAGCGAGCAAGAAAGATATACTCGTAAATTTCGCGAAGGTGGTCACTACTCTGCTAGAGTACGCAACAGTCCACATGTAAGTTATCATAGAGTACGAATATACTGAAGCTACAGAAATTTTTGGCGACGAATTTGAATAATTAGTTGTGATAATTTACTTTTGTTTCATGTTGATTAGCCTGAAAGAAGGAACAAATTTAGTAATACAGATAAAATTGATCCTTCAACAATGGGGTTTGGTAACGAAAGTAGAAGTAGAAGTAGATCTTATGATGACATTTCTACACCCGGTGGCATTTTACGAGTGACTAATCTTTCATCCCGATGTGATGGTATTTCAATAACTGTTTTATTATCTTTAATTAAAAGAATTTGAAGGATAAGTGACATGTATTTTCGTAATGATAGATGAAGCAATGAGAGAGGCACTTTTTCACGAATTCAAGAAATTTAGTGATACTGTGCATGTTAAAATTTTTGATAACGTTAAAGGTAGATATGCCTTGTTAAGATTTTCAAGGTGAGTATTTGTAGTGTATTGAAATAGAATCATTGCATGGCGTTTACAACTACATAACTATATGTTCTATACTATCAGATTAGAGGATGCAGAAGAAGCTGTCAAAGCTCGTGATGGTTACACTCTGCTCGGATCAGAGATGAAAGTCCATTTCGTCGTCGATGGTTGTAATATTATTAGCAATTAATGCGGAAAATTTAATCGGACTGTACGAATGTATCTTTCTGTTGATACCTGTATTTTACAATTCTAGGTGATTTTCATCTCGACAGTAGTATTCAAGGATTATCGCAAAATTGTAATTATAAAGCTATGAGATCATTATTAGTGAGCAATTTGGATTTATCTATTGGATCTGAATTTTTAAGAGATTTATTTAGCCGTTACGGTAAAATTTTGGTAAGTCCATCATTTAGTGTTGTTGTAGTCTTTATACTTGAAATGTAATGTAAGTTTTATCTTTATTTTCCACTAGGATATTAATTTGGAAGATCAAGAAAATGAAAATTTATCTTGCGCGTATGTACATTTTTGTTCTATCGATGATGCCATAAGGGCGAAGAACAACATAAGCAATGATACAACAGGAAAATATAAATTTAAAGTATGGATGTGGCGATAGATATTGTTATTGTTGCTATTTTACTATCTGAAAGAATACTAATTAATTTTAACTTATAGTTACAGTTTACTGTTGGTATACCGACCAAGAGTATTTGGGTTGACAATATTAGTTCTCGGACAACAGATGAAGCCATAAAGCAATTGTTTAGTAAATTTGGAAAGATCGAAAAACTGTCAATCAATCGGCTAAATCGAGCTGCTTTAATCTTTTATGACAACTTGGAAAGTGCTAAAGTCGCCATAGACCAAATGACTGGTTATAGAATTAGTGATAGAAGTCTAATGGTAACTAAGTTGTTTTATTATTAAAATCGATTGGCAATATGATAATTAAATAATAAATCTTATAAAACTATTTTTAAATTAGATAAGTTACGCAAGTACAGGTACCACTGCGTCTGTTGATTCTGCGGATAGCTGCCATTTACCTAGCGATCGAACACATGAAAAATATGCATCTTCCAAGACTAGACGATCTCGCAGTATTGATCATTCATTTACAAATCGTGGGAGTCGTGAATATAGTAGGCATGAACAGTTCAGAAGCCGAGGAGATCGAGGTAGTTATTCTTCCGGTTATAGTGGTACAATTCAAACCCATTCATACAACTGTGAAAGTAAAAGTCATCGCTACAGCGGTCATCGCGAATATGAAAGTGATGATTATTCAAAGGAATTGCATGATTACGACTACTTACGCCAAAAAGATCGCGAACGAGAAAGAGTAAGGTCTTGGAAAAGAAAACGTTATGATAGAGAATTTACAGTTGATGAAGAAGATGCCGGTAGTTATCAAAAAGATGATACATTCTCTGAAGGATCTAGGGAGGAGAGACAAGAAATTGTTTTCAGTAAGAGATACAGAAATGAATCTGATACTAGTTCTTACGATAAAGAGGATATCGATGCTGCCACGGATGAGAAATTATATAACAACAACGATGAAAAGGTTATCTCTGAAGATTCGTTAAGCACTACAATGGAAGGTAGTGGCGAGCGTGATTGTGTACGTAAAGATAATGATTGCATGCAATCATCAGAAGATACTGGCATTCAGTGCAGCAATGGGAATATTGCTAACGAAGATGCCGTTAAAGAATCCGTTGATATGATAGCTAGCGCGCCGCATGATATGAATGAGGAATTAAATCCTGTAAAGGTTGAAACCGATGTGATTGATGAACGGCAACTAATTGAAAATATTTCTGCGCCTGATTTGCAAAAAATCGAAGCTGACAGTGTGATACAGTCATCCCATGAGCTTTCTGCGTCCAATTCTGTAGATAATTCAACGCAATTGCTTATTAAGGCGGAATCACCTTCTCTGCCACTTTTAAATAATAATGTTAGTGATAATATGACACAAAAAAAGGAATCTTTATACTCATCAACTACAAATATTGTATCCAACACAACTGGCATTACAGATACATTTACAGAAGAGACAGAAAAATTGGAGAAATCACTTCCCGATAACTCATTAGATGAGCCTGATGATTTCAACGAATCATCGGAAATAATTCCGCGTAATGCAAAGCCAGCAGATGATGTGACTAATATGGAAAAATCAGCAGCTGATGATGATGGCTTATCTTCTCCAAATTCTCAGTTAAATGTTGACGAATTGCTACAAAGGTATCCTCTTGTTTGGCAAGGAGTGTTAATGCTAAAAAATGATACAGTCGTAGTCCAAATGTATTTACTGTGCGGAAGCAAGGCTATAGCTACCGAATCTCTTTCGGTACATTGCAAAGATGGGAAAATTTCTCCTTTAAAGATTGCTCAAAGAATGAAACTTGAAGCTAGCCAATTAGAAAATGTATCTAAGAGGATGCAGGTAGTTTTCTAGTTATTATAATACCCGCAATTTTATATTTATGGTTATTATATGTTATTTGATTACGTTAAGAATACAACTTAGACTTAAAATTATTTTAGAATGATAAGGAGTTTTGCCTACTGTTGGCTTTGCCATGTGGACGTGATTTTACTGAAATGCAAAAGCAAACTCATGCACTCCAAGCAAGTTTCGTATCTTACTTACAGCAGAAAGAGGCTGCAGGGATTATCAATATTACTTTACCAGGATCGGAAAAGGTAAAGCGTGTAATTCTTAATAACTACTGATAGTATGTTGTGTACTATTTCATCTTAATGGCGTATATTATTGCTAGATTGGATATGTTTTGCACATATTCCCACCCTGTGATTTTTCAAACTGTCATCTGATGAAGAATGCACCTGATTTGATTGGCCGTGCTACTGCTAGTGGCCATCTGACAGTTTTGGTAGCAATGGTTTGAAGTTAATCGAACGATCGGTCTATGTTTCTGTAAGTTAATTTACATATGGATTCGCTATTAATATGCCATCTATGAAGCATGGTTAAAGAATAGCCCGATGATGACAAACTTTTCCAAATGCAGTTTAGATGTATGTACTACGTGTACCGGAGTATTATCATTTGATCGCCGTCAGTTTTAGAATCGATTTGATATACAAATTTTAAATGTTCTTAGTGATGTACAGTTCCGTGGAAGCAATGAAACTATTTGTATTAAACTTTTTCTTACAATTATGGCGTTGCGGTTAAACAAGTGTACTGAAATTAAATTTTATTTGTAAAGAGTATATTTGCTTTTTATATTGTATTAAGGCCTGATTTGTACTTATTTACCGCGATCGTTATATTTACGAACTGCGAATGTTAATACTTTGCATATGGAGTTTATTGTGACGATATTTCTGTAAGTATTGTAGCCATTAAGATATGAACAACATTATTTGGAGCAGAAGTAAGTCTGCCAGCAAGGGCTACGAATGATGCCAGATTCTTTGTACAGTTACTTCTATTTATGTATTACAAATATGGTTTATTAACTGTTATTTACAGTACGTAAATAAACGCAGATTTTTTTCAAATTAATGTTTCATGTTACTGTGTTAACATCACAAAGAATAGGGTTCTGGTGCGATACATTGCTGCTGATGTTGTATAAAATATATAAGAAGTTTTGAGCTAATAGAGAAGTAATGCTATTTGTGATTTGTTTAAATGAGAGTATGCATTTGACAAGTAAAATACTGGTGCGTACGCATTGGTAATGTATTATTGCTGATTGCTATAAACCTGCGATAGCCTTGCAATTCATGACTCAATATCATAGGTAATATTACGCAGATTATATTGATTTCGTTGGTAACCATGCGTAGGAAAAGAATGATGACACAAAGTATACAATTTATCAGTTTCGAATAGTGATACATGTCTATAATTACGCCAGGTACTGAACATAATCATTCACATATATTGTATTCAATTTCGAGTACATCATGGTGATGAGTTACACCTTTTGCGTTATAGAACATCTAAAATAACAGTATAGTAGTGCGCGTTAAGAAAGAGTGACGATTTAGGAAAATTTTCGGATAAAGCCTGTTTAATATAAAATGCTGCAATACTTTATGCGATATTATTGACTGTGAATTGTCGTAATCTATTGTGAAGGCACTGGTCTCAACCATACTTGTACGTTAATTCTTCTTCTTCTATTCTCCGAATGCTATACTGCGAGATTGCACAATACCGTATGTAATTAATTTATTTATTTATCAACCAATTTGATTGAGCATTAGCTGAACACATTATAGTAGAACGCGTAAAGCTTGACATGTGTAATTTGAGGTTCATTTGCTAACATTTACGAGGATGTTTGTAGTTCGAGATCAATATACGTATGTATTACTTTGCTACAAGATGCGGTAAAATTACTGCACCGGTGCCTGCTGGTAAGTTAGTGCCTAAAGTCACTTCGTAGTCGCTACAAAATATCAATCAGATACTGTACTGTCGTGCTTACAGAACAGTCGTGGATTACTAGAAGAAGACCAAATTTGGACTATATAATCACTTCATCGGACAGACGGACTTTTCTTACCGAACGAGGCCTTCAATATCCAAAATGCTTACTTACAGTAGTATGGATCTTCCGTGCCTGTTTTCTAAATCACTGATACTAATTTAAATAACATCGACGATCTTATATAACTTTTTCCAACCAGAACTTAGCAACGGATAATAAGATTTAACGTAATACTATTTCTTAATTCAAAAAAATCAGCCCATTGAATTAAATCGACCGTCTGTATAGTATAAAGTACTAAAGTACTGCCATAACGAAGTGTTTGAAACGATATTTTGCTGAAATTAGTCCGAACTGATCTGTCCGTCCAAGGGTGATTAGGTTGACTACTTGAAGGCAAAGTCTATTTACTACGAATTCAGTACAATTGACACGTGTACACTAAGGGTCTCGACTCTCTAGTGTACAGTACTGTACTGTACAGTGGATCTGGGTCTATTCGGACTATCGTACTGCACAATGAGTGCACATGCAGTACAGTACAGTATAATGTACTGTATAGTACGGTACTGTACTGTACAGTATTCACTCATTGCTAAGTCGCAGTTTCACGTTTGTACAGTACTGTACCGGGTGATACTACTGTACTGTATGGTACTAGATAAATAGTAAAGCAGTACCGCTTAGACCTACTCACGGTTCAGTTCGGTTCCATTAAGAAATATACAGTACAGTAAGCTTCTCTGAAGCGTGGACTACGTTTTCATAAAAATAGCAATTACAGTATAAGCCCTTGATAGACCAGTGGCAGTACGCGCGGTGACGGTACCATAAAAATACCTGTCGAAGGTTTGGTTAAAATACAGTACAGTAATACAGTAGAAAAGATTGCGTTTGACTTATTTTTAGCCTAGGGCAATTACTGTACTCTATTTCACCATTATTTCGTTCATACAGTACAGTGTACTGTACACCACGTTATGTTATCATGTTGATGTTCTTATACAGCCAGTTATCGACTGTAAGTACGCACGCGTAGGCTCTTGCTTGCGAATGGTTGGCTGAATTTCTTACAGCCAATCGTTGTTAGATACGCTTGTCACTGATTAATCCCGTCATGCATTTCCTGCTCGCACTCATAAGAATCCTCCAAATTTATCCTTCATACAGTACAGTACTTCTGGAATAAGGAGGAACGGCGACAGCAGAGGTGAAGACCAATAACGCCGAACGCCAAACACCAAACGCCAAACGCCAAACGCCATCAAGGTGAAAGAACATCAATACAGAGCATCAGAAGGTTCAGGCCGACACGTGGCGAGGTCCGGGGAATCAGTTTTCTGGTTATAACAGAGTAAAAAATACAATTATAATGGCTAATACAGCAACAGAACAGAACATCGACGCTGGTAATGGGAACGATTCCAACGAAGGCAAAGAACTTGTCGGTATGTTACATTACAATACACTACAGTACAGTACTGTGCCACGCACGGATTATCATTATAATACAGCACACTAACATCGGAGTTTGCAGAAGAATTACTATACAGTAGGATTGTGGATCAAAACTGATTACAAACTGTGTACTAATATACAGAACTGTGTTAGGAGATACGCTTGTTAAGTTAACTTTATTCATTGATACTCTGCTGTCGAATTTTAAACTTCAAAATTCGGGGTTCTTTTTATGAGTAATCTAACGACCGCGATGAATGCAAGTGACTAAATAGTATGATACTAAACTGTCACTGTATCGGTGTAACGTAGGATGCAGTTATGTATTTACTGTCCAGTACTGTACACTAGGTACTGTACTGTACATTTGATTGATTTTACTATGTTCCTTGCCGATTTGAAAGTACTGTACAGTACCGCATGGATATATACGATTATATATTTTATTTTTAAAAAATTATGATCAAATTACGACGATTGTCATGTCTTAAAAACATGAACTGCGATCCTTTCTTGATTATTAACATATACATAATTATATTTATGCGTTAATACACATCCACGCTATTTATATTACGGTATACTGACTAATAGCTGTTTATTAGGATGACATGTTGTACGATGCTTTCCGGAGTTGTCCAAGGCTAAATCTTATCATCGATTATAATTATACGAGTACTGCATATATATTTATTTATATCAATCGCAGCATGCTAAGAAAAACGATAGTGTTCTTTCTTACTGGTATGCGCTAGTCCCGTATGGTCTGGACAGATACTCTACTATACTGTTCTGTACAAAATGCTTGACTAAGTCAATGAGTCCAGCAAGTTATTAAACTCATTTAAGCTACGCCAGCTACAGTACAATAATTGCTGTAACTGCGGAGTCGCTGAGGGACTATCAAGGGCATGGATCAACTTCAAAGACGGCCAAGTTGAAACTGTATTTTAGTGCTACGGTCATTGGCTCTAATCACCGACTTCTAAAGTTCCTGCTCTAATTTGTAGTTAATAAAGTAAAGATTACAATATTGTATAATAAATGATCTAATCTGTAGGTATTCAATTTATAATGCCATCTACTACTACCTACAATCACCGACACTATAGTTCTGTAATAAATTCATCGAGGTAATCTCGATGAATAAATCTCGCTTTATCTTCCGGTACAATATTCCATTTAGCAGGCTGTATTAGGTAGCATACCTAATTAGGTATAGGTCTCTGAAATTTTTGATACTGTTTATGTACATAGGCATGAACTACTAAATTACATGTAGTAGTTAGTCTATGACATAGTACAGCAATGCGCTACGCCTTTCGAATTTTTAACCATTGACATGAATACATCAGTAGAAGTACTGTACAGTATTCCACGGAGATGTACTAAACTTATTCCGTCGACTCCTGATGATTCGTTTATTGGTGCTTTTTGCTTAATACTTTAATACTTTTTCATATATTCTAGTATATTGTAGAAGACAAGATCAAGTGTACCGAATATATTTGTTTTTCATTTCCTCGAATAGTAAATGATAGAGTTGTGCTACATGATGATTATTCAGTATAAACTTATGAATCTAATCCTCATGGATTGTACTAGCGGCGGCGTGAATTACCTACCATACGTTCTTGGTACACGCGGACAGGAACGATTGACAATTTTGGTATTTGTCCAAATGTCCGAATGTCCCATTACTGCACACTGCACTGTTGTGCTGTTGCGCAGTAAAATACGGCCTGGAGTGATAAAGTGGCACATGTGTGTACAGTAACTGTACTATATTTGCTATCAGTGCACTACTGCATTATAAGCACGCGGTGACGGCGCAGGCCACTAGAGTAAACTGTTTGTACTCTACTGTATGCCGTATTGCATGCTGATTCGACCTTTTATACCGAAGATTGATAGGAAGGAACTGTCATTTATACAGTAGGACTAGGTACATGTAGCTCGATACTTCATTGTTACTACTCCATATTTACTGGCAGCAATGATCTAGTCAAAAATAATTAGTAAGAGCTTACAGAATAGAATTCTTTTTAGTCGCGGGATTGAAATTACGTAATATACTGTACCCACTTCAAATCATTTTCTTATAGAACAAGTGCATGTTATATTTTCAAATTTTCTTTATTATTGTGTGGTCGTGGACTGCTAGTCGATTGTACGATTACATTGCCAAATCAGCGGCTTCTGAGAGGAAATTCGAATTCCCTCTTAGAAGTTCCTGGCCTATTACAGTCAAGCTCAGGATTATAATTATCGCAGATTGAGAGATGGAGAAATGATGAGAGAATTAATCCCTTTCACAATCGCTACAATTTTAATTTTGAAAATAAACGCAATCTTGTTGAACGTATTATTCAGTACTTTAATACCGAATCTATCAGCTACTGCAATGTCTGAATTATCGAGAGATTAATAATATAATAAAAATTTTATCAAAAAGGTTTGAACGTGAACAATAAGTAATTGAAGTTTGATTACAATTGGGCGTGCATCATGAAGCGCTATGAAGTTTGAGAATCTATCTATGTATTGTAATTTATTAGTGTATATATATACAGTATATATATATGTACCAGGCTTTATACTTGTCCACACGGTATTATTCTTGATATACTACTACGCATTCTCTTTCAATTCCATTGCCTTTCTTGAAGTATCACAATGAGTAAAAAATTCATTAATTTATGTTTCGTTAGACTTACTTTATTTTAACGATAAATTATTTTACTGATTGAAGTATGTATTATTTTTTAAATTGACTATAGCGAACAAAGTAAGCGGCAAAGTTAAATGGTTTAACGTAAAGCGCGGATATGGATTCATACACAGGTAAAGTACTACGCTAATTCTTGTCATAAGTTAGATCTTATGCTTTAGAAGCATACGAGAGGTACGCTAAATATACAATATTTGACATAGATATAGTAGTCTAAGTTTGTAGTATTTGGCAATCATTTTACCCCTACCATTTTTTATACATTTAATTGGATTTACAAGTACAGTAATTTCTGTACGATACTACTGTTATAATGTTAAATTGTCAATTAATTAATACATCGTGAGGATTTTGTTACAGTGTTGTAGAAGCTCATTTGAAGTATCTTGAATGTATATATCTAATTTTTATTAATATTTTCTATTGTAGAGATGATACCGGTGAAGACGTATTTGTGCACCAGGTTAAAAGCCGATACACTTACGATTTTTAGTAACTATAATATTTATATTTACTTATTCTGGTAATTGTTATTTTTACTACATGTAAACTGTTGCTATCCTGGTATATTGTAGTACCCGCGCCAGAGCATAAGTATTAGTTATAGTTAATGCGATACTTGATTCAGTATAAGAATCGCTGCATGTTAGAGATTGTTAGTGCATACTACTTTCTTCATACGGAGTTACGTTTTTGTTCATTTTGGATAATCCCTAGTGTTTGCACACTATTGAACGTATTTTAGTTAGGGGCGTGCGTGCCTTAGATTGATGGCGAATTTGTTAAAGTTACATAGTCATCTGGGATAAGGTTTTTTTAAGTAGTAGCATATTTGGCAAACTTAGGGTACGGACGTAAACAATGATGCGCATGGCTTTGGCTTCGAAGTTAATTAGTATGCTTATTAATTATATTAGACTGCAATACAAGCTAATAATCCCAAAAAATATTTAAGGAGCGTTGGCGATGAAGAAGTTGTTGAATTCGATGTACTTTCTGGGCCGAAGGTATTGGTCGTTTTGTCGATCTACGTTTAGTTATACAGATAGCTATTATATTACTTTTTACTGGTAAAAGATAAGCACTTAGGCAGGTATTTTATGATCAACGTGTCTATGTTGTTTTAGGGTCTTGAAGCTGCGAATGTAACCGGTCCAAATGGTACTGCAGTTAAGGGCTCGAAGTATGCTCGCTTCCGACGCCGTAGATTTCGTGGAGGTTACGGGCGTCGCTATACCGATGAAGAGTACGAAAATGCTGATGATGGTGGTGATATCGGACGTCCCCGCAGACGATTTCGTAGAGGTTATGGTAGAGGAGGAGAAAGATCGCGACGAGATTATGACCAGCAGTATGAAAATGATGTTAGCGCTCAAGAAAACATTGATACGATGGATGCTGCGCCTGAGCCTTATTATAGAAGGTCATTATTATGTTTACAAAAATTTATTTATGGTACTCAAATGTAACCACTAAGGTGTTAAGATTACTGAAAGATTTTTTCTTCACTTCAGAGGCCAAAGGGGTGGTTATGGACCCAGAGGAGGCCGTGGTAGAGGCCGTGGTAGGGGCCGAGGTCGATTCCGTGGACGTGGACGTGGTCGAGGTGGTTTTAGACCTAGACCAGTTGGCGAAGAAATCAATAATCAAAATGGTAGTGGTGGCCGAGGTAGAGGAAGGTATAGAGGTAATCCAAGACCTTCAGACGATAGGCGACGACGAAACAGAAATGATGGCCTAGGTGATGCCGAAGAAAATTAAGACTTGCATGCCAATTAATACAGCTACTGCCATGACATTTCTAGTGCCTTTTCCGTCACTCATTTACATACTGGCAGTAAGATCAGGATTTGCCTAATGTTGAAGCTAGCACCACAGCGCAAAGATAAGATTAATTTGTTTCTGCCGGTCAATCCGTAATCGACTCGGTAATAATACTGTTTTGGCATCTGTTAAGATAACTTCATAAATCATATGTACTGTAGCGTGTGACCAGTGACACCTTGTATTGCATGAAAGTGTAGGATTAAATCAAACAATGCGTTGTGATATCATCTGCTTCAGCGTAATAAAGCTGCCATTTCTTATGTATCTCATATAGTTGTTATAGTTCATGTGTCTAGTGTTATGATCAATATTGATAGCGGATAATAGAACAGTGGTAGATCATTAGCCTTATGGTAATCTACTTATTTGAAATACGCATATTAAATGAGTAAGGCTATAAGCGGACTGTACTGGTTTCACAGGATACAGATATAGCCATTATGACGTTAAAATACCAGTAGTTAATATTGATTATATTATTAATTAGTTAACGACTTTATAGCTTTCATGATTGGATGATTTAACCTACCATCGCGGTAGCTACAGTGATTGCAGAACATTAAATGTTAAGGCAATCATACTGTATAGCGGGGTTTTTATATGCACACTTAATTAATAGTTCGTGACAGACCAGTTCAACATCGTATATATTAAATGTCGTTGCCAGAATCTTGGAAGTGATCAGATTCTAAGCTAGTTTAAGAGATGATTTCGTTTACTATTTGCGTAGCACTACCGTTTACTGTACGTACACTTGCATGTATACAGCACAGTACAATATACACTAACATTGAGCTGGTGCAAGTGTCATAGATCATTGCAAAGATAAAAAAAAATTGAGTACAGGACAGTCTCATAGAGTTGAAGTCTTATCTCAGTCCCCTGTTGCTTATCCGGAATATACTCTGTTGTTAAACTGTATAATGAAATAGTCAATGAGTGCTGTGTAAACTTTGAACTCGAGCTACGGAACAGCAACTTTGCTTGAACAAGGGAGAACGATCTTAATCGTTGCACTATAAAAAGTCTGCCGATTTCTTCATCTCAGGGGCTACTAAATGAAAAAGAAAGAACTTACAGTACAGTAATTAATGATACAAAACAAGAAATAAATGAGCTTAAGCAGTTTCTGAAAAATTAACAGCGTGGTCGATGCTCTGTGCTTCACTGTAGTTTGAGCTGATTGTGACCGTAACAGCACAAGTGCACGTAGAGGTAAAAATGCCTTTTCCTTTATCTCTAACTTTAGGATCCAAAGTCGTCGAATTTTGTATGTGCCCTGCTGTTTGCAGTATACCGCCACAACTACATCTGTTTACGGTTATTACTATGATGCAAGGTAGACCATTGTAATGAGACCGTAACAACAATAGGATGGCTAAATGATAGAGCTAATAGAAGTACAGTATTGTTACTCATAGTGTTACAATAGATTATCTTTTACTTAGTTTTAGTACAGATTACAGTACTGTACTATTAATAGTAACCATGGACGACTTTAGTAACAGTAGTGCATTGTACAGTACTGTACAGACAGTACAGTACCGTACTGTATACTTGTACTGTAATGCTGTACTGTACAGTACTTTCTATTGGTTAACAACTTAACATACTGTACTATACTGTACAGTGTACACTGTACAGTACTGTACTGTACAGTACAGTATAGTACACTACAGTACAGTATTTACAGTTACAGTGCACAGTACAGTACGGTAGTTGCTACACACTGTACAGGTACTGTACTGAAACTGTATTTAAATTAAATTTTCCTTTCATACTGTAATGTAAAGCATATAAGACTCATAACATTGTACTTCACTTCCTAAAAAGCTAATTTGCTACCTCTCCCTTAACGGTAAGTGCTTCGATGTGGTAGGCTTCTTATTGTGCTGCACTGCTACATCATAGTTATACAAAGTAGACACATTATTTATATCTTATCTAGTCAATCGATGAGCTATTAAATTTCAACTGTAAAACACTTTCATAATAGGGAATTTTGATCGTTTCAATTTATCGTAAGTGGTCCAATACTAAGCGTTGAAGCAAACATTAAGAAGATGTGCGATTCTGAATTATCAGCTAAATTAGCTAGGCGGCAAGAAATTAATGAAGGTGTTCGCGAACCCGAAGCTTTGTCGGAGGCAAACGTTTTCAATCCATATACTGAATTTAAAGAGTTTTCTCGCAAGCAAATCAAGGAATTTGAAGGAATGTTTGCACAGTAAGTATTTGTAAGCGTACTGTACATACAAGTATACAGCAACATCTGTGAGTTTGCTCTGTTATTGTAATCTTTGTCAGCTTTGTACACACTGGACTGCACATGTTCGCGAATGAATAATACGCTTTAAAAGCAGGCTACAATACGCAATGAAAAAGACAATTAGATAATTATGTGCGTGGCAGCATAGAGTAAACTGTACCAAGACATAAAACTTGCAACAATTTTTTTTTTAAACATTTATCCGGTGTTAATGCACTGTTCAGTACACTTCTGTTACTGTACGTGTACTCTGCAGTACAGCATAAGTGTGCTGTACTGCACAGTGAATGCACGGTGCACGCGGATACTTACAGTACTGTAGTCATGGAACGGCGGCGTATTTTTTGTTAGCTTTAGAATAGACTTCGATCACCTGTTGCGGGCAGTTTCGACTTGATCAGCTATATATTTTTATTTATTATCAATTAATTAACTAAATGATTACTGTAGAAGTGAAAAAATAATTTTAGTTAAGTTAGTATTTTATGATACGACTTCAACTATATTAAATAATGATTGGTCTAGAGAGAATTTAGTCCTTGCTGCAGTACAGTAATGAACTGATGATATCAACATAAATTTCAATCAAACTGTAATTTGTAGTAGTTTATTCTTGGATATTATAGTAATAATTAGATGCATAGACAGTAAATGACTACCTGGGTAGTTATTAGGTAGTGAATCCCTGAATTGCTTAAGTTAAGAATTTAAATTTTACTTTAGCCGTATAATTCTGTAGCTTTATACAGTATGTGCCGTAGTCCAATAGGTAGGTATTCGATGAATTAAAAGTAGCAGTGTGACCACACTACAGTGTACAGTACAGTACTGACCAAGGATGGACATTGGGCAATACCACGGTAGATTGAAAATTGTTAATGTATACCTTGAGTTTGTCTATTCTCGAAGCTTTTGCTATGAATTAAGAGATAGTAAACCAATCCCTGGTACTGACAGTAGTCACCAGTGGCGGATGTAAATCTCCGTGACGCCGATGCTCAATACAGTACTTGGAATACGCGCAGAATGATTAATTAATATATCGTATTTTATGTTATATACAGTACTGTATACTGTATAATCAATGTTGATGCATATAAAATAGTTTATACACGTCGTAAATTAAATTGATAGCTCTATGGCAATCACTGCTTTGAAATTGTTACTATTCTAATTGATAGCATTATTATCAATGAGTTCAGTTGTCGGATCAAGTCTAACATCAATACTCAGGTCCAAGTCAAGATACTCGTTGAGCGCTGCCGTCTTGCATGCAGTGCACACTGATAAGGAAAGCAGACACTGTATAGACGAGCAACTGGTTGTTGATTATCTTAGCTCGTATTAAAGTTTTTTCGAGATTAGAAAACAATTACCTTTGGCTAATTACTGATTGCTATAAGAATATTTAAACCCAACATTGTTGATCAATAGTATAAATCTAATAGTGAAGCAGTAATCTTTTGAAGTGGGATTATTGAGCTAAATTTTCAGACTTGAATGGTTGAAATACTATTTGACTGTTTATTAACGTAATCCCTCCAATTATCAGCCTACTGCATGCGCAATTTTTTGATTTTTTACGTTATAGTTGATCGAATTATCGCGTTATTTCTGCGGTGCGGTATATACCTGTCACATTTATTAACGTATATTGTATGGGATGTTTACATTTTGATCAACAGTAAGTATAATTTATGTACAATATTAATCGCAAGTACCTGCATGTAAGTGAAAGATTATAATAAGAGTATTTGGCGTGCGTACGCTAATTGCAGCCAAAGAAGAATGTTTTACCGCAATTGAAGACAAAAGTCTTAGGCCTAGATGGCTCTGTTGTTACTTCTTGTCAGTGCGTTATATCATGAACGTAATTAAGCTTAAATTATCTTGTTCGTTATCATTATGTTCAAAAATTGATAATAGACACGACATTGATAAGAATGGTTTCATTGACATGCAAGAGCTAAAGCTAATGATGGAAAAGCTTGGAAATCCACAAACCCATTCTTCGTTAAAAAATATACTGTTAACTGTGGATGAAGATAAAGACAATATGATCAACTTTCGAGAGGTACACTTGGCAGCTCTGTTTGAAACTACAACAGTTAGTGGCTCTGGCTTTATTAAAATTTGTAGTCTAATTTTCCTTTTATTTTCAGTTTCTTCTGCTATTTCGCCATGTTGCTGCTGGAGATTTAACTACAGATTCGGACGCTATGACGGCTTTAGCCAATTTAGCCGAAATAGATGTAGGCACTGCTGGAGTAAAAAATGCAAAGAGCTTTTTCGAAGCAAAAATCGATAAATTAAGCATTGGCAAGAAAAGAGAGGAAGAAATTAAGGCTGAACAGGAAGAAAAAAAGAAATCTTCAATGGAAGCTGCTGAACGTCGTAAAAATTTTAATGAAAAGATGTCCGTGTTTAAGTAACTTTGTTACTTTCAGCATAGCTTAACGTACAAGGCACCTAGCCTAATTCTAATACGCATTAGTAGTAATGCAGCAGTTATCATTTTTTTATTTTACAGTTAATAAATTATTTAAAAATAGTCCTTTGATCGAAATAAATCATGAAATTGTCGCTATTCTAATTTTACTGATTTATTAATATAAATTTTTTCATGCGTGAGATAATCACCAAGTAATGTTTATTCGAAATGAGCGTTAATATTCTTTCAATTGCTAATTTCTTTGACTTTGATTTGTCTTTTAGCACGTGAAGTAGTCCTAGTCCTGCTATCATAGACAGATGCAAGTATGCGTAATATTTCAGATTGAAATAGTTACAGTACACCATCAATCACCACAGCAAAAATGCTACGAGGTGTTAGATGGTGCTTATGGTACTATACTATAGTATTCTGTAGTCTGTATTTTTGTCTGTTGACATATAAGCCTTAAAATTTCTCTTTGGCTTATATATTATATTCAATGATAGCCAGAAAGTTATGGTATGCCATTATACATTGGCTGTTAGTGCAATAGTATATTTTACCGATTTATCAATATTAATGATCATTCAATAGCTTGCCAACAGATTTCGATACTGATGATTTTCTTTAAATTATCTTGAAATAGTAATTTCAATTTTTTCTGTGTAATCGTAAATGTTACCGAATAATTCATTGATATGATGTTTAAGTAACATACGTATTTGCAGTGACTGATTAAAAGCGCTGCTTTTCCGATTTTGGTTATTGATCCTTGATTTATTCTTTAGCACACCCGAATCTATCCAATATTTCTATATAGTTGCCTTATAGACACCGTAAATACATTCCTAGTCCGTAAATTGCATCTTAAATTGATAACTATGTGATAGAGAAATTTGCATTAGGAAACGTATAATGATTTAAGAAACAGCTTCAAATTTTGGAAGAGCACACCGATTGTTAATATTGAATACCCAAAACCTAAATACTACCAGTAGTAGTAGCATGTTATTGACGTATTTCGGTTAATTAACCAGTTCAGGTACTTGCATTCTGATGCAGTATACTGCACTAGTAGTACTGTTAAACATGGCCTTAATATTTAACGTGCATTACATTAACTGACTCACGCACACCCAGCTGTGCATTGTCACTATGTATAAACTTAGTAAACTGCTCGGTGGAGATACTCGGTAGTCTTTATGTACAGTTCATGCGGTCGTTGGTTGACTCTTACCCCAAGTCCTAACTGCATACTATCGTCCAATTAAAATAAAAGAAATTAATAAGTAATTGAGTATTAACTTGGGAAATTTGATCCTGGCAATCAGCCGAATACCTTGTAGAAAAGGTTCCGTATACAGATTTTAGTTATCTGGTCGACTATGCTTACTGTGTTGCCGTTCTTCAAAAATTGAGGATACCCGTTCCAGGATCTGGCTGGGCATGATTCACTTCAGTTGAAGCACCATCTGCGCATGCGGTTTCGGGCGAAGAAAAAGTAAAATTCCTCAGCTTGTGTCAGTATGGTTACTATGGTATACCAGCAGAAGTAGAGGCATGCCTCAAACTTTAGTCCATTATCATAGTAGTGGTAAGAAACAATTTTTTTCAGTCTATAGCAACATATTGTACATTCTACAGTATACAGTATCTTGAATTATGCGCTCTGTAACTGTACTGCATAAGTTAAATCAAGGCCAGACTACAGTACAGTACTGTACGGAGTACGGTAATGTGTTGTCTTGTACGGCCGTAAAGTCCCATGGACTACTTACAGTACTACATTAGTAGTTGTACAGTGTACAGTACATCTACCATTGTGGTTGGTACTGTACACTGTACAGTACATATGACCAGTGAGTGAGACCACCTGCCTGACGAATCAACTTACAGGCCCGCTGCGGTCTGATTTTCGTACCATGATTACCAGTCCGATAATTCCAATTCCCTTATACAGTACTGTACTGTACAGTACAGTACTGTAGTGACTACAGTACTGTACAATAGTACTGTACTGTACTGTACTGTACTGTACGTCCAGTACAGTACTGTACATCCTCATCTCACTTATTACGCACGTGCAACAATCTTTCAGCACTGGGAGCGATTCTTCTGCGTAACCGGCCATTTTTTCCTTCGATTCACGTAAGTTGAAGAGTTGAGAGATAGTTTTAAATCAGTTTTGTTATGCTGTCTTAGCATGATAGCTTGGAATCATCTTTGAATAAGAAATTGTGCTAATGATTTCGACTACCTGTATATTGATTATTGATCATTTTGTAAAAGTACTTGTCACTTCTTCCGAGATTTGATTGATTTTGAAATCAAGTTAATTGGGGTACTCTAATCGGAGTTCACATGCTCCCAGTGGCTAGCAAATATTGTAGAACACCTCATCGTAACAGTCAATGCCATCAATGGAAATGTTGAATGTGGGATACGGATGGTTGCAGATTATACTATGATATTGCGATGGGTGATTGAATGACCAGAAATAGGAGCTATCATTTCTCTATCCAAAGAGGATGATCACTTTTTGTCTTTTACTACTTTCTTATAGTATTCTCTACGATGGAAAGTATGACTAGGGTATAGAGTTCTAGCTTGAACACTTGCTTGAATTTATATTAGGATAGCAAATTGGGAATAGTAGTAGTGTAAATATATCTCCCATTGCTAACTAATGCAATCACTGCCAATTTCATAAATCGATTACAAGTAATTCTATCTTTTCGTATACTCTAAACCATGCCTACGCGCCACTCTCGACAACAACTTACGGCATCTTTGGGGATTAGTGAAGGCCTTAAAAGGATGATCGTTGATATATTTTGAAAGGGTAATCATCTAAATTGGACATAGCATGAATATCAGTACAGTAATACTACTTGGTTAGATATTCTACACTAATTATAATTATTGATGCTAACAACGGTACAAGCTTACTCCATCCGCGAAATAATATATTTCTGCCCATCGTCCATTGATCACACAACTCTGTCTAGTACTAGACTTGTACGCCGTCCCTGCTGTATTGTACTGTACTGGCTAATGCATAGTAAGATCTCTTTGAAAAACCCAAAGCATAATTGTGAATACGGGGTTGCAGTATGCTAAGTCTATAGTGATATGAGTACTTTTAGAATAATTTACTGTTAACTTAATTCACAGCAAGAAGTTGTCAAATTGTTTTCTCCATTTAAAGCACTACTGAACTTATTCTATCGTTATTATCATCAATGTGGCGCAATTTTCAGTAACCGCACTGTGCGATATTGCCCTTTGATCGTATTGAAAGCGTTATAGTTCATAATTATATTATAATACTCAGATGGAAGGATTCAATTTTTTATCCGCATCAGGTGAAGACACAAGTCCCCCACCTTTAATACCATCATTATAATTTTAGGGTCTGATGTTTTCAATCTGGAAGTTATCATTATTGCTAGTAATGTGCGTTTTGGTTTGGTGGTGTAAAATATGACAGTGATTCAATAGTTGAAAATGTCAATTCTTTGCCTGGGCGCACTCTAACTTTTCTTCATCGATAGGGGATAGTAACTGAACGGTAGAGAAATTACTCTATTAAACTTTAAATTAAGATAGATATTACCACAGAACGGATACTGAGATTTTAGCTTAATTTGTTACAGTTATTAAAATAATAATGATAGTTTTAAATTCCGATTTCGTTCTAATATTATACAACAATTATGGTATATGACTGTGCCAGTATTTCCGAGCACGTATCTTGCGTTGCATCCTTAAAGGCGTTCGACTTGCAGCTTAACATTACGCGAATTTGACTTTGCAAATGATAAATAACATAAAGATTGCAAACTGCGAATAGGACTGAGATCATTAGATGCAAGAACCATGAAATAGGTGTTGATAGTTCAATTTTGAAAACGTTACTCAAATGAATGCTCCTTTGTTAGTAAAGCATAGCTCCAACTAAAGTTCGTCGGATGTGCAACTATTTATTATTGTAAGATTTGATCTTGATGAAGATTTAGATAAATCTGTAATAACAATTCGATAGTAGCTTGCTAGTATACGTTGGCAAAGTTATTTAAATTATTGCAGCCTATATGAGAGAGCAGAGCGATTTATAAAATATTTATAGTCTTTACATATCAAATTATAACAGGGAATTTTATTGGAGATTTTAGCACCTGTTCACTTATACCCGTATAGTAATACTGTACAAAGGTATACATCTTAATTACTGTCGAAACCTTAGCTTGTTAAATATCAAATGGCTACAACACTCTAGTGAGGCAAAGTTGAGTGTAGCTAATTACCAACTTTAGCGTAGCCGGTGAAAATCTCTTGGAATTGCTTTAATTAAGAATACCGTAGTAACATACAAAACGGCAATTATTTCACGGATTTTGAACAAACCTATAGTCGTTATATTAATTGATATTATATTTAAGTAAGTTTGTGGGTAATTTATTGATGAAAGTTTACCATTACTTGAGAACGTCCATTTAAATTTTTCTAAGTTTTGCGTATATTAAATTAATTATAGTAATAGATTAGAATGCTTGAAGACGATTTCGAAGGAGGTGATGCAGGTGCATCGTCGACATATCCTGCGCAATGTTCGTCACTTCGTAAGAATGGCTTCGTTGTGTTGAAAAGTCGCCCTTGCAAGATCGTTGAAATGTCGACGTCCAAAACTGGCAAACATGGCCATGCTAAAGTGCATCTTGTCGGTATTGACATCTTTAATCAGAAGAAATACGAGGATATCTGTCCTTCCACGCATAACATGAACGTCCCTAATGTGAAGAGAAGAGACTTCCAAGTAAGTGTCATGAAACGCGTACAGCAATGAAATAGTTATGAATATAGCTTTCTCTAAACATAGCTTTCTACTTGACAATTTAAACAGCTTATCGGGATTACCGAAGATTACTTAAGCTTGATGGACGACGGTGGAGAAATTCGGGATGATCTACGCATGCCTGAAGGGGATCTTGGAAAGGATATACAGACTCGTTATGATAATGATGAACCATCTCTGGTTACTATTTTATCTGCTATGGGAGAAGAGGCAGCAATTGCTGTCAAAAATATGGCTAAATAGATATCTAAATGTGTACTACCGTAAGCGTATGAAGTATACAGGTAGATTCTGTAACTTGCTACAAATGTAATTTACAGTAGGGTACTAATCTTCTTATCATTCGATATACTTTAAATTTTGTTGGTTTAACGTGATTAGCATCATCTGTTTACCTTTAGCATAATTGTAATCGTTGGCACCATCGTCTTTGTAGCAATATGTTAATAATGGAGGAGTATGCTATCGCTGCAAATACTGCAGTTATCTATTACCCAAATTTCTGAATTAACAACAGTTGAGCAGCTATCGGCTACTTAGACCGCTGTAATTTGTCTAAGATTGCAAGAGAGTTGTAATAAAAATGTCTATTAGAACTTGCGTGAAGTATTTACTTGAAAATTGAATAGGTGATTTAAGTTATCTCACCGCATGCATTATAACTTATGCGGTTTGTTGCAGAAGTACATACTTTCGAAGGTGTAAGGCATGCTATTAGTATCGTCGATTGGATGATATGGAAAATTTGTACGTTTGTAGATAATGCTATAAATAAGCCTTTTCTAAAGATTTTAGGAGGGTTTATTACAAGCTAGCAGACAATATGCGTACATTGGAAGATCTTAGAGATTTTTGACCAGCTATTTATTAAGTAATGGCTCAGTCTGGTCGTGCATCTGCTTCTTCTTGTTAACTATTGGGAAAAAGTTTAGATTGCTATATAATCATAATGTCATCGTTAATTTTTATGCTGCATAGCGGAGATATAGAGTGTAAAGTCTATAGATTCCCTAGTATAGTCATTGTCGTAAAATATTAACGATTATCGTCCATTCAGGAATGTCAGCACATAGCTTTATATTGGTATTCAGAAAGTATAAAGTAAATTTCAGCGTATTAGAGCCTGACTCTTGTTTAATTAAAAAAACTACCGTAAATTTATCTTTTGTAAATGCCCAACTTCATGATAACAAAAGCTACTGTTTGTTTAATGTAACCAGGAAAAAACAGTTCCAAGGCAAGCTACTTCTGTAAATGCAGCGAATAAGATATTATCTATTAAAGCAATCGCATTACATACGAGCAATAGTGTTAAAGTTGATTTCAAGATATAACTATAATAGCTTACACATTTAAATATATATCTTAAGCTGAAACATGTTTACATTTTTGTGATGTGTGGGGATGAAAAACGGAAGCACATTTTTGTGAGAACTCCAGCACTATCAAACTGTTCGTAGAATTACTTCTGCAGTCACAAATGCGAACTAATTATTTTGATATTGAATCTTTCGGAGCGGTGAATGTAGACATCGAAATTTGGAAGTTGATACAGTAGTAATTCTAGGATCAGTTATTCGTGTACCGTTGTTAACGTGATTATATTATTTATTAAACTCTCATGCTTTGTTATCTACTTTATAATAGTAGCTAATTACACAGGCTATACAAAAATTCAGTTTACTGTATGCATGCTAGTGCAAAGCGATTTTTAGAATCAAACCTAATTCACTGTATAGACCCTTATATTTATGCTTATCGTATTCTTAAAACTTCCTTCAAAAATCGTGGTTAAAATAGAATTCAAGACTTCTTAAATAGAACGTTTATAATTATTAAAAATAGATAGATCAACGGTCGTAGATTAAAAATGAAATTTAGTCTGTCGTAGTACTCGTTTATGTGTACAGTATTCCTTTTTTAGCCTTTACAACAATGTTTCAATCAGGAATACTATATTATTAAAAAAATTTAATTCTCAATAAAATACCGTTTAACATTAGTGCACAATCTTCAAGTGCCCTGATATTTAAAATTATATTTTATTCCGCATTATGTTATTGCTATAAATCGTTTCAATTAGCTAAACCTAAAATAGTGTAATATTCCACTACAATTCGCTTTCGATTCAGTGAAAGTATTAGTTCTAGTAATGGCTGCCTGATGCTGTTCTACATGTAAGCATTTGAATATATAAGTGTAACGATTGCAAAGTTTAGATAGGGAAATCAGTGAAGTTGTGCTGTAGCAGAAAATATTATAAAATTTATGTTATGACTTCAGAAAGATACGAAACTTTAGAGGCAAAATTAAACACTCTTATTATTGAAGATATTTAATTGCTTTTTTCTAGTACAGTTCGCAGACTGTTATACAGTATTTATTCGGATGGAATGGATCACATCAGATAAATTTACACCTTTGCTTTAAAGGAATGTAACAAGATATGATTATAATATTAATATATGTTTAATAATAAGAGCGGAAGATATCGTTAATGTAAGCACATATTGCTAACAGTTCAGCGTTCTTAAAACTAAATTTTAACAAGTCTGCACATGAATATATTATAGTTAAAGTCTAATTAATAGCAGGCTTATTTATAATAACTAGAAAGCTGATCGTGACGAAAACCCAATCCATTACAATAGCATCGAAAACTCCATTCTGTGACACCATAAATTACGTATGTTTTAATACGCTACTTCTTGAGTTATCTATATTACTGCCAGACATTACTCACTAAAGCTCCTTAAAAATAGATTTACTACTTCAGCGATTGTTATCAATCGGGGATAGCTAATAGAAAGATTCGGAAACACGATAATAAATTATCGTAGCTGTAATAGGTAATTTAATCCGTTTAATTGGTTAATTATTTATAATTATTCATTGATTGGGTACGGGTACCGATTACTTTTAAGATATATCTTTGATTTTAAGCACTATGATGCAACCAAGATAAATTAGCTTTTAAAAAAAAATAAAACGCTGATAATTATAATCACTTGTTGATTCATTCTACTGAACGTAATACCACTATCTTGGTATTTGGTCACATACATTTTAATACATCGTTCCGTATATTTACTTAAAAATAAGTCTACTACAGCAAGATAGAGCTTATAACCGAGTTTTGTGTAAGATGTAGATAATTTTAGCGGTAGCATATAGCAATCAATCAATTTGCAACGCAATTGAAATAACAGGTCATTCAAGTCATTTACCTGACCCAAATTTAAACTGTAATTTTAACAATTTCAGTGAATATTAGCTATTATACGATAATTTAAAACCTTAATTTATGTGATGTTGGCTATTTTAAATTGTATGTTAATAGATGAAGGTTGTAAATTTCCCTTCATATTGAAATTACATTTAGTTGATGCACATTCTTGATGAAGATTCGTAGTAAACGTATAATGTTAAATTGATCCAATGTAGTAAAATACGTTTTTGACTGGCTGATTGATTGATTGATTAATAATATTATCAGCAATATGCTTCGAATAACTGACGTCTAGCTAAACGAAAATTATAAATTAGATTAAGATTCATTATATAGAAAGTAACTACATAAAAATGTTGGTAATTAAGCATATCATTAATTGAATAGAACAGAGATTTCCATGTCATTCTGGATAAGAACAAGTAATAGCAATACTAGTTAGTGATTTAATTATTCTGTAACTCACTAATTATAAAAGACCAATATCATTACTGCCCCTTCACTGCAGTATAATTATATTAAAATTTGTCTGGCTTTTAGATTGAAGTCTTTGAAATTGCAATTTCTCCATTTGTTTTAATAACATAATCATGCTAATCTTTTTATGACGTCAGCTGTTATTGATTACGATTACTAACATAAAGTTTGATTCAACCTCGCCTATATTATAATGAAGAAAGATATATTATGTTGCAATATTGATTTAACATTAATTAATTTTTCCTCATGGTAACAGTGGCAATTGCATGTTTGTTATAAATTGGAATAATAATGATAGCATTGTCTTATGTATTATTATTATCATTTGAAGCACCGATCAGTTTTGATTAGTCAAGTATTTAGTAGCCTGAGCATCTAATCTCTTTTTAAGTTAACACTAAGCAGCTGAAAGGAGATCGACGTACCACGCTACCGCCATTGAGAGATGGACAAATTTACCGAAAAGACGCCGCAAGGCAATATTCACAACGTCAAAGTAGAAGCCAATCCAAATTATAAACTTAAAAGACTTATCTACAGCCTTTTTGTTGTTGTCATTTTACTTGGACTAGTAGTTGCAGGTTTAGCAGTATTTGTGGTATTCAACTCTAAAGCTCATGTTCAAAACGACGTTTGCACCACTCAAAATTGCTATCAAGCAACCTCTGATATATTGGCGTATATCAACGAATCTGTTGATCCTTGTCATGATTTCTATTCGTATGCCTGCGGTAGATGGCTAGCAAATAATCCTATCCCTGTCGATCGCCCACGGCATGGAACTTTATATAAGATTATTGACAAGAAGGAAATGATTTTGCGACGACTTCTCGAGCGTACAACAGCTGCAGCAGCCAATGATGGAGAACGAAAAGCAATCATGTATTTTAAGTCTTGCATGCAAGACATTTTTACACAAACAGAGAGCAGAAAAGATCTTATTGCAATGATACGACGATTGGGCGGTTGGAATGTTATTCCAACATTAAAACCAGCCGATATGACAAATTGGGATTATAATTCTGTTATGGCACAACTTTCTGCAAAATATGACGTCGATACTTTATTTTCTATTTGGGTTGGCGTGGACTTAAGAAATTCGAATGTTACTATAATTGAGGTAAAGAATAATATTTTTGTTATGATATAAATTATTATGCTAAAACTATAATGTAGCATGAAGTGGGTATAAATGCAACTGACTAACCATGAGATATTCATAAATTAGTAAACATCATTCTATGTTCAATTATATTGAAATCGTACGATTGATTATTAGGGTGTTTTCGTCAATTACAAAGTATTAGCATTACTATATTATTAATAGTTGTCGTAAATATCAATTGTACTATAGAATGTAGCAATAAGCGAACATTTATGGGTAATCATATGAGATCGCTTGATAATAGTACCTTACTTGTTCTGATTGTGGATCGAAAAAATGTGAGCTCATCAAAATTTTTTGCGTACAACTGCTATAAAAATATCATTCACTTAGTTTTATCGTCCAGCAACAATGAGTACCACTCAATTCTCCGATTGTAATGCATTTAATTCAGGTGAAGGCCTTTGAATTCTTGCTTGAATAGCACGATAATCTAAGCAAAATATGAAATTTAAATTTATTCACCAAACCATGTCATTTACATGTTGTTTATTAGATTGGCATAAATATATTAATGAATTTATGATTAGAGGAGGATCTCAAAACTGTATATACGAAAGACATATGATTGAATTTTTTAAATATAATTTATGCATTCATATGTTCAAAGTCATTATAACGGTTTCTATTAGCAAGCTGGTAAATTTCTAACCTATTTATATTGTCTAATTGAGATACAGATAGACGCCGTTTCTTCCGTTATTCATTCTGTTTATATCTTCAAAAATTTTCGTTATGACGCAGTGGCATTTTTAAGTCTACAGCTTGGGACGATATCATAATATCAATAATTTCTCCATATGTTTATGATTACTCATATTATAATATTATTATTAGTTGCCTTAATTAAGTTAAATAGGATCGTAATTCTTTCAATATTCAAAATGTAATGGAAATCGATACTGTACAGATGGAGGGAAATATACTGAACTAATACACTTTTCTATTTGTATGATTCATAAACCAGCACAAAGAAATATATGCTGTAAAAATGAAATGTACAGCAATCAATGAATTGGATTTAAAATATGTAAAATCTTCTTTCTATGTAGACATATGATGTTTAGGGCATTTGCTTGTAGTCAATATAAATTTATTAATATTCACTATTTTATTCATAATACAAAAACTAGTATAACATGTAATATGCTGAATCTATTAAATCGGAATTGCTACTAGACAGTAAAGGTAGTAAAGATAAATTAATTACTATTGCTAGACAGACCACGTCTCCTACATAAATCAAATTTAGCATTTATACTTATAAAATTAATACTATAGTAATTATAATCAATTAATATTTAGTAACCTTAATGAATGATAAGCACGAAGTAAAATATTTTTACGCAATCGCATGTATGACTTTATATTTTCAGGAATTTTTGCAATTATACTATCTATCATGATTTACACAAATTAAATAGCTATAAGACAGTACGGAAAAGCATCAACGGTTATTTTATTTGGTGAAAGAAACTTTACAGATTCTTTACAGCTATGTTAATTTCGGATTTAAATATATAGCTTTTTAAGCTATTGGATGTAATGATGAATTGTACTTTACCTTTAGCTGCCATTAAACAATACAGTATTAAAATTATTACAATTAATTCAGTATCGGTGTATCTGGTACATTTATTTTAATCTTAACCAGTTCATCGAACGTTCGTAACTCTTGTATACTTTTATTCTTAGATGACGCAATCTGGACTAAGCTTGCCAAATATTGAATTCTACTTCAAACCGGACGCGCAAGCGGTATGAACTATCTTACAAATTTCAAAACTGTATGCCTCTAAGATGCAGTACATAATAAAGAATGTGTATTAATTGACGCATTATGGTAGTTCTAATTTCTATCTTTGACGTCTAGAATAATTGAATACTTATTCCTATACCATTTAACTGTTATACTAAATTATAGGCAGTACAAGCTCTAATAGAGTATATGACTGATATTGCAATGCATTTGGGAGCTACGGATAGAAATAGAACCAGAGAGAAAATGACAGAAGTCTATCGCTTCGAGCAAAACGTTGCTAAGGTAAGAAATATGATAGCAAGTAATCCAGATAAAGAGAAGGATTAAATTTTCTATATATGATCATAAACGTGATTGGAATAGAAAGGAAATGACTCTAAATACATTTTCTATTTTCCCTCTTTCTGTATAGACACATATTCATAAGCTAAATAAAAGAAACGAAACATTGTTCTATAATAAAGTGAATTTAAGCGCTGTAGAAAATGTCTGCCCGGAGGTAAGCTTATAACAGAGATAAAATTTGATTTAGACTAGTTACGACATTCAATACGGGTTAAATTTCGGAATTCCTTTTAAATTTATTTCTTCGTAATTGCCACCAACGAGGTCAATTCTAACATTTAGTAATTCAAAGTACCTTCAAAATTCAATTTACTTTGCTTCGATTTAGTAGCATAAGGGTTTAGCATAGGCTTAAAATATTGCAGTAGATTAACAGAATACTTTGGTAATAGAACAGGATATGCACATATTAGTATCTCAATTTTAATGGAAAGCATATACAACTCATTAATATGATAGTCGTATCATACGGGTACTATCAGGCTTAATTTATTCCATGGCAATAATGCAGAAATTTTTAAAATTGTGATTTATTGCACTATACCAAACATAGAGCTAGCGAACGATCATACTATTCTAGTTTCTATCATGTCATCAAAGACATACATAGATTGTTTCAGATCATAAAAATTGAGATGCTGTTTCAGTTATAATATACAATAATTGTCAAGTTAAAAGTTAAATTATAATTAGATCACTTAAGTGAACCATTTCAATTCTTCTGGATAAATTATGTACAAATTTTCAATTTTCATCATCAGTTTGAAATTTACTAAATTAGTCATCAGTGTTTACTAACTGTATATCATGGTTATCTATGATAAGAATTTTTTCATATATATATTTTCACGTGCGAGTGTATGTAAACAACTTTAGCGGATGCTAGCTGGTTTTCGGTGTTGGCGGTGTGATTTAATATTTCCATTTTGTTACTTCTGTAGATTAACTTCAATTCCTATTTGAAATTAATGTTTGGCCGAGTTATTCCTTACGACGAACCTGTTATAAATTATGCAATGAACTATTTTAAAAGAATGAACGACTTACTCACCAATACAACCAAAGAGTAAGTTCAATATATGCAATCTCTAGCTCCGACTAGTATTATTCAATTCGCCATATATTTTATGAACATTACTTGTATACCTGTGGTGTTTTTCATTTTAAAATACGCTTTCTAAGAATTTCTTTTTTACTGGATCAATTTCTACTCAGGACATTAAATAATTATCTAATTTGGCATTTCGTGAAGACATTTGCACCAGCTGCAGACTCATACCTTCAAGCAGCTTTTAATAGATATAATCTAGCCATTGGTGGTAGACAAACAACAGGCTCACAGGGACTAATTTGTTCATCTAGGACCGATGCTGCCCTAGGCATGGCTGTCGGTGCTATGTTCGTAAAAGATTCCTTTCCAGGTCAAAGTCGCACAACGGTATTTAATAATTGCCTGATATGAAATATTTTATTACTATTAATCTATATAGATGTGTTTACATCACATTGTAAATAGTAACGAACATTCGTATAGTTACTGGTTCAACTGTAATATCCATTAATTACTTGTTGTCACACACCACTAGGGACAAAGTAAGTCTACACACGCCAATGCTGACGAAAAACGCCTCTTACTAACGTAAAGAGACGAGATTAGCTATATCACTTAACAGTTCAGCTTCTATGACCGAATACTATTGTATAGTTATATCGTCACTGATAGTGTAGACGTTCTAAAGTTATAGAAATTAATATGAATATTGTTTATTAAAGACTTCATATAAGATAATTAAAAATTCCTGTTATCATTAACTAATAGTAAACTAATAAAGAGCTTAGCTCTTAGCACAAATGACAATTCAACACCTTAACAATATAATTAATTAAACGTAATCAATTATCAAGAACACTAGCAGTGCATTATGATATTAATCGAAGACTAAGCAGGTTACATGAAGAAATGATAATTAATTAATAAAACGCCAATTCACACTAACAATATTTAATATTACTTAATAATTACGACAAGCTTACGCATCATAACAATTGTATTTTAATGATTAGGCCATCAAAATGGTAGAAGATATTCGGAATACATTCATTGCGGAGCTTCCCAACTTATTTTGGATGGATAATCAAACACGATCTGTAGCAGCAGATAAAGCAAGAGCTGTTATAGCACAAGTTGGTTATCCGGCATTTATTTTGAATGGCACCAGATTGTCTAATTTCTACGCTAATTTCTCCGTTAATGATAGTTATTATTTTATTAATACTGTTCGTCGGAGAGCTTATGCTTTACAGCTTAATATAGCTCGTCTTGGCAAACCTTATGATAAAAAAGCATGGATAGCAACTCCATCAACAGTGAATGCATTTTACAGCCCACCAAGAAACCGTATCACTATTCCAGGTGGTATCTTACAATCGCCAGTTTATAGTAATGACTACCTACGAGTGTTAAATTATGGTGCAATCGGATCTGCTATAGGCCATGAATTTACACATGGCTTCGATAATATAGGCGGCCGTTACGATAAAGATGGTAACTTAAGACAGTGGTGGAGTGATAAAATATTAAAGAATTTCAACCAAAAATCTCAATGCCTAGTCAATCAATATTCCAATTACACCTACTTTGGTTTAAATCTTCGGGGTTATGCAACTTTAAGTGAAAATATTGCTGATAATGGCGGTCTTGGACAATCATATCGAGCCTACCAAAAGTACGTTAAAGCATACGGACCAGAGAAACAACTACCTGGTATTCCACTGACAAATGAGCAATTATTCTTTACTGCTTTTGCTCGCGTCTGGTGCACAGCAGATAAGGAATATTATGGTAAACATTATGTTTCGAGCAATGTCCACTCACCACCGAAATTTCGAGTTTTAGGAACACTTCGTAATTCTGTAGAATTTGCGAATGCTTTCAAATGTCCCCTTGGATCACCTATGAATCCCGTAAAGAAATGTAAAGTATGGTAGACACGCTCTTTTACTCTTATTAATTTTAACGGTTTGATATCTTAACGCAAGCCATTCTCGATCTGCGTTGGATTTTCCCTAGATAACTTTAGTGTGGATAAAATAAAAATACTGGGTTGATAGTCAGACTTATTATACCTCCTATATGATAATAACGGGTAAATTCTATAGAGCTGATGCTTACATTTGTGTTGCTATTGATAATAAATCTACTTTCTAAATTGAACCCAATAAGAGCAGTATTTAAAACCATACCATTAAGTATAGAATTTTTTTTATCTACAGTAAAATAAGACAGTATATTTCTATACTCAATACACTTAAGTTATTTCATTTGTATTATTATAGATTGCTTAATTTTAAAAGATACATTATGTCCTAATTTAACTAATGAATACTGATTTAACACGTATACGGAATGTAAAACGTTGCTTTATCTATACTAAAGCAGTTTATTAGTCGCTTCATAAACTCCGATTAGATGGATGATCCAGTTATAAAAATTGTTGTATTATGTATATTATTTTGACCCCATTACCTGATCTTAAAAGTAGCATCGGCGATATTTACTGCCTACTAATTAAGTTAACTTGCTACTAGATCGGAACAATCCTATATTTGCAAACTGTGGAATTATAATAAACACTGGCAAAAGTACACTATGTCAGCATAGATATAAATGAGAATGCATTATTCACGCTGTATAAGAAGTTAAACATCTTGCTGTAGTTGCAATTATTTAAGTTTATTAATAATTATAGGCTTAAAATAGAATGAACAAAGACAAAAAAAATTGTTACATCATAAGAGGATGCTACATCATAGTCTGCGAAATAAATTTGATCTGCTAAAATAGAGATTTAGCAATTGCATCAACCAAATTTTTACTTTATGAGGAATTAAAATATATTTTAGAATTGTATCAGTGTTAAAATTATTTCTTTTATTAATTAAGTGATAGTGAAGTTACATTTTAAAGAAATTTTTCGCAAAATTGATCCTGTAGTAACGGTTGTTTCGGATGCTAAAGTCGAAAATTGTTTGGTAGCCTAGATTTAGTGAAATGTAACAACTGACTGACACTTAGAGATTGTGAATCACTTGAGATATAGATTTTTTATGGCATTAGTAAACTTACATCGAAAAAATGTATATGCGATTAATTAGTAAACTCCATTGATATCAGTAATACGAAAATTAATTTCAGCTCGTTATTTTTGCAGTTTATTATTGCCTTGAAGCCATGTTCTACATAGCAAGTTTCGTTTCATACATTGAAATTGATCATTTATTGCTTATTCGAGTACTTTATGAAATATTAGCTTAGATCTCCCTTAGAAGAGTACGACTTAGTGTACCTTAAACCAAATTAGGAAGAATTTATAAATATAAATACAAATTCATGCATGAGAGAGTGCGATTTGATGACTCCAAACGGATAGCATTTTAGCTTTCTACTTCATTGTTAAGTAATTCAATAAATTATCTTAGTTATATTTCTGATTAGGATTATTCGATCAATACTGATTGCATTTCTTCAGAATCTTCATTGCTGTTATCGTGCGGACACTCCATAACTTTCGTAAAATAGTTTGATGGAGAACAGGTCATAAAGAACTAAATGCAGGCTTTTGTAGGTACTTCCTATCTAAGTTATACTATTTCTCCTATAATTATTTTTTGAACAAAGTAATTATGCCGCTAAACTAATATTGACATTCACTAATGACTTTTCATGAAATTCGATAGCTTATAGCTTGCAATATAATTTTGCATAAGAAAGATTTCTATTGTAACAGTTATGACTGCAGAAAAAGTATATTATGATTGAAGTAAACATTTTGTAAGTGATTAATCTTTCACTGGAGAATAATTACTATATACTGCTTCTTTTATCTTAGACATTATCATATAGATTATAAATTAGATTATAGAGGTTATAATAGCAAATGGAATCTTTATGATAATGTTAAAACTAAAACATTTGTCAAGGACGTCGTAAGATACTGCGAAAAATTTATCGCCTAGATAGTATAAAATTAAAGGCGTCGCTTAATACGGGAATTTACAGTGATTAATGCGGTCTACGCTTAGTCTATTCATAGATAGAATCGAAATATCCGTTATTCTAAGTTTGAAGAAATGAAGCCCTTACATATTACTAAGATACTTGAAGACTGTCTGATCCACAGCTATTAAAGATGGAGAGGCGGATATAATTGTTGTTGCCTTGACGTTGCAGTACTTATTTGCTACAATATGGTTTGTTCTACGTAATTGCTGAATCATGATATACAGTGATATAATGCCACAAATACTTATAAATTGAAGATGGAGAGGCGGATACAATTGTTACCTTGACATTGCAGTACTTATTTACTGCGATATAGTTTTATTTACGTAATTGTTAAATCATGTCATACAATGATATCATGAGATAAACACTTATAATATTCCATCTACTCAGCCATGGCATTACTTAAAGTGGCTTATCAAGAGATAATAATAGGGAAACTGGAGGCATGGCATGGAATATTTCAATATTAAAATATTACGCGATAATTCTTTACCATCAAGGAAAAGTTTTCTCCTCTATCTTTCCATCTGTCTCTTTTATAAATGATCTAAAAATGCTGAAAAATCAAACTTAAGTACTCTAGATGTTAGATTAATAGGCGTTGGTATGAAGCATATGAGGTTTTATAAACAATTTCGCGTTGATTAAAGGATAATGAAGTTGTAAGCTTAAATGCATAAGGCTGCAGCAATGTTTACACGTATTAATTAAGTTTATTAATATATATTGGCTAAATTTACTTTGCAAAAGAATAGGAAGTGAGGGTTAAATACCATAATATATTCATAAACTAAAAATTATGACGTAAATCGAACCGTGTTTTAGAAAGCGAAGTAGCAATTTATTCGATTAAAGTACAAAATTCATGGAAAACTTCTATTTGCTTTAAATGAGGCTACCCGTACCAGGCGTATTTAACCACGTGTATATTAAAAGCAAACGTATAGCCCAATCATTTTCTTTAATTTCTTTGAAAGACTCTAATGTAAACAGCGTTTATGTAAGCATAATTATTTTAAATCATTAAGACTCTATTGTATCATTTATAAATTCAGATTAAATTTAAATTACCATATATTTCTTCTATATAGTAGTAGAATATGAATTGCCGAGATTTTTTAACACTTCTCCAGTATTAATTCTTAACGACGGCGTGGTAGCCAGGGCCGTGAAGTTTTCGCATTTAGCACTAATTGTTGCGATATTAATACGCTATTGAAAAAGATATGTCTTCCAAACGAGAATTAGGAGAAAATTTTGAAGGAGTACAACAATCGAAAGTTCGAGTCGTCAAAGGTGTTCAAGATCGTACACTAGTTATTTTCTTGTTCGTCTTGGTATTATTGCTTGCTATTGGACTTGTTGTGGCTATAGTTGTCATCAAAGGTCATACAAGGACTATCTATGTCTACAATAACACTGCTACTACTAGCAATGTCTGCACTACTTCCAGTTGTTATGCTACGTCATCTGAAATCTTAGGCACCCTTAATACATCCGTTAATCCGTGTGAAAATTTTTACGAATATGCTTGTGGTGGCTGGCTTTCTAAAAATGACATTCCTGACGATCGATCTACCTACAACACATTTACTACCGTTTCGGTGAAAAATGAGAAAGTCATGAGAAGAGTCTTTAATGTTAACTATAAAAATCAATCTGGTGTAGGTGAACAGAAAGCCATCAAATATTATCATTCCTGTTTTAATGATCTTTATACCGAGAATAGAAGCCGCATTGATTTAATGAACATGATTAAAGACCTAGGCGGATGGAGTGTTGTACCAAGCATCATGCCAGTCAATTTAAATACTTGGCAATATAATCCAGTTTTAGCTAAAATCTCAGCCAAATATGATGTCAATCCTCTTTTCAATGTCTGGGTTGGTTCAGACTTAAGAGATTCTAAGAAAACTGTTATTACGGTCAGTGTAATATTTATGATGATTACTTTCAAAAGTTAAACATATTACCTTTAATACTGTCTTGCAATCAGATTTTTTAAATTGGTGATTTCAATAAAGATCCCTGGTGGTGTCTTTGTGAATAATATTAGATTAGATATTAACTACTTAGGGGGGGGGGGAATCTTGGCTGGAAAAATTAGAATTGCGTAGTTTTTAGATTCAAATTAGCTAGGCTGTTTGAAATTAACTGCTCCTCGTATATTTGTATTTTATGCTACTAAAGTGTACTTTCATTCACGTACGGTATCGCATCTTCGCAATGGTTGGATAATAGTATAGCCTATATCAAATTACATTCGGTATTTTGTGACTCAAAGTCCTCGTCCTGCTAGCTTTGATTGCCCGTACTCTTTGTTCGAAGTTTAAGGCGTTTCTAGCATATTTATTTGCACAAGCCGTAGATTAGGCCTTGCCATTACGATGCTTTGGGATAACAAGATCAACAATAGTAAAACTGCAAAGTAGTCAGCAGCTAACATGTTTTATTTAAGGGAATAAAAATGGGCTATAGAAATTGATGTTAGCAGTGATTTATTGGTAATACTTTCGGTATTCGATCTCTTATAAATGTTAAATACTTTTGATATTTCTTACTTATTTTCAACATTAATGATAATAAACAAATACTACCGTACAACAAGAATTGATAATAAAAGAATGGATTGATTGGAATGAGTAAAGGTTATAGTGGAAGGAGATGGGTTCTTTCTGCACTGTATTAATCCATTCTCAATTATACTGCCCCGTGCTATTTACAAATTAATGCGGAAAACGATTATTAAATCTCTGTAGAGAATTAGCTGATTTAATAGGAATATGACTCTTATTTACAATTTTGATATTTAGGTTCTGTAAATACTAGAAAATTTTGTACGGTCTAAAATTTCGTTATCATGAATTAATGTTAAGAAGTACGACGAGAAGGATAGTTTAAAGCTCCTATAATTACTAAAATTAAAAGCATGATACAGAATACCTATTAGAATATAGATTACTTAAAATACTATCCTACTGTACTACAAAAAATTTAAATTGGAACCGATCTTGTTATCAGAATGGATAATGAGGTTATGATAGTTATGTCGTATATTAAATACAAGCCAGTATAAACCCGACGTAGCTGCATGTACAGTACATAGATTGTTCTATTTTTCTAGATTTAATGCTTTAAGCAGAAAGCATTCGATTTGAGTGGCATAAATTCATTCAACAATAATTACATTTAATTCTAAGAAAAAAAATAGTCTTTAAGGTAGACTAATAATTCTAAATTTTAATACGATACTAGGTATTAATTTATTCCCTATGCAACTTGCATGATTATTCAAGTTAATTTTAAAAACCAATACTGAAGCTAAACAATTGCCATTGAGCTAGTTTCATGTTTTTCAAAATTGTTTCTGTGATATTTGTTGGCTAGCATTCGAGTGAAATAACGTTAGCATCTCTATCGAAGTTATTGATTAAATTCTACTTATTTAATAGACGACACAAGGTGGCCTTACTCTTCCAGGAGTCCGATATTATACAGTCAATGAGACACATTTTGTAAGAAGAAATAATTGCAACTACATCTGAGTAGTGATACCATACTAATGTAAATTGCACTAAGTCAGCTACTATCGAATAATGTTCAATGACAGATAAATATTTGATGTACTTAGGCCGTCGTTGCATTTATTGAGTATATGACTGATATTGCTATGATAATGGGAGCAACAAATAGAACTGCAACCAGAGCTAAAATGGTGGATGTTTATCGCTTTGAGAAAAAAATCGCCAGAGTAAGTATAAGCTTAAAAAGGGTGATTTCAATTTTAGCAAATCAAAGAATGAAATGCTATAAAATGCATATCTTCTTGTATCATATTTTAATTAAATCAAAGTATACTTTTTGATACATCAGATATCCATTTAGTGCTGTAATATTTCTTTCCAAGTTAAAATTATCGGTTGAGACTCATGATTGATATGCCTTTTCGAATTTAGGCTTTCGTTCATAATTTGAATAAGAGAAATGAAAGAGCGGATTATTTTAAATCAAGCATTTCCGGAATGAAAGCTGCTTGCCCTGCAGTAAGTTTTATTATTAAAGTAGATAAATAATTTCAGGTAGAAAGAACAAATATAAGGACAAAACTAATCATTGATATTTGATACGCCAGATTGATTTTAGCTTGTACATGAATACACTCTTTAATAAAACATTTCAAAATAGTGAACCAATCGTCAATTACGCCATGCCTTATTTTGGTAGAATGAGCGCAATTGTGGCCAATACCTCGAGCGAGTAAGAGTTTCACTAAATTATGTAGTCGACAGAGTCTTAAGCATTGCAGTCCTCGTGTTTTAGGAGATAGTGTTAACAAATAGAATCAGTTTCAGAGTTACGGTAGAAATTTTACTGAACTATATGCTACATTGACTAATTTCAGAACAATGAACAATTATTTGATTTGGCAATTTGTGCATACTTTCGCATCTGCTGGTGATTCCATGTTGCAAGCAGCATACCAAAGGTATCGCAATGCTCTTTATACGGCAAGTGCACCAGCTCCTTTATGGAGAACATGCGCTTATAGAGCGAATTCTGCTCTTGGTATGGCTGTTGGAGCTATGTTTGTACGTCAAGCATTTGCCGGGGAAAGTCGTATAACGGTTAGTAGGACATTTATAGAATAACGCTATGTTAAGAAGGGCCTCTCTACCCCTAATATTTGATTTAAATTGATAGCTAATCGCCTAAATTGTTTTATGTTTATCAACGGTTCAATATCTATGTGATATCATATTGATAGGCTAAGAAGATGATTGAAGATCTTCGCTCTGAATTTATTAAAAGTCTGCCTACGATAGCTTGGATGAATGATGCGACGCGCAAAGTTGCTGCCGATAAAGCGAAGGCAATTTTAGAGTTGATCGGTTATCCAGATTTCATCCTTGATAAAGCTCAGTTGGCTCAATTCTATTCTAACTTTCCTGTGAATGAGAGCTATTACTTTATTAATGTTATCAACAGGAGGAAATACTCATTAGCTACTAACTTAGCTCAGTTAGGAAAGCCATTTGATAGATCGCTATGGTCAACTACGCCTGCTATTGTCAATGCATTTTATAGCTCAACGAAAAACCAAATTGTGTTTCCCGCCGGTATTTTGCAGTCCCCATTCTATAATAAAAATTATCCTAAAGCATTAAACTACGGTGCAATCGGATCTGTCATTGGGCATGAAATTACTCATGGATTCGATAATAATGGCCGTCGTTTTAATAAAGACGGTGAACTAGTTCAATGGTGGGATAATGGTACCATCGCTAACTTCAATTCAAGAGCTAAATGTTTTATTGATCAGTATGCTAAATTTCGGTACTTTGGCTTGCCGGTCAATGGCAATCAAACTTTGGGAGAAAATATTGCCGATAACGGTGGAATGGGTCAAGCTTTTCGTGCATATCAAACTTATGTTGCAAATAATGGCCCGGAACCACGTCTACCTGGTGTTCCATTGACCAATGAGCAATTGTTTTTCGTTTCATTCGCTCGTAATTGGTGTGGAAAAGATACCTTTCGCTATGGACTTAGTCTTCTTTTGACAGATTCTCATTCTCCCAAAATATTCAGAGTAATAGGAACATTACGTAATTCCGCAGATTTCTCCAAAGCGTTCAATTGTCCAGTAGGATCTCCTATGAACCCTGCTCAAAAGTGCAGTGTTTGGTAATTTAAATTTTACATTAATTCACCCATGCAACTATTGCATCGGCTTTTAATCCATCGCTTTGCTCTGTTTGCGTTATAATGTTAGTAAATATAAACTAAATGTAATTTTGAGAATTAAGAAATAAATTAGCAGATTTGTAAAAGTTTCCATGTGCTACGTATGCTATTATAAAATTGCCTCGAATAATAATTATCGTTCAAACTAATCCTTCATATGTTGCTAAATCGTAAACGACATCATACCAACTTCTCTTGAATAGCATCGGCATCGTACTATACTATGGAAAGTTTTAGAAATCGTCACATCTTCTAGACTAAATATAGGTTTAATACCAGTTTGATGCTACGAAAGGCTAATATAATAAAAGTTTACATTACAGGGATTAAGTGGCTCAGTTGCCGAATATATGAGTACTGATACTCTACCTTCAACGTACATAATACGAAAGTAAACGGAATCTCATGTTATGGTCATGAGACTATTGCATGATCGCATTGTTGATTACCTTTTGCATAGTCAATTTAGAAGAAAGTAATTCTGTTTATTATATTAATATATGCTTAGTCCTATTGTATTAATGATGAATTTGATGAATTGATCGTCGAACCTTGCAACAACCAACAGTAATCAGTACAGTCAGTACACAGTATACTCGTATACGCAGTGTATTTGATGCAAATATAGTTGCTATGTCTATCTCTACCCAGAAGGGATTGATGAACAGTTGAAAAAAGCAGAAAGTTTACTACGGATTATTATTATGCTGTCAAATTTAGGTTGCGTATTGCAAGTCACTACATGATATGATTCTAAGTGCTAGCTAATGCTGTCATGAGATTTTGATATACGAGTGTGGGATAAATTAATGCAAACGGGATAGTCGAAATCTACCATAAACTACTACAGCTTGTAATAATAGGAATGATCGATAGAAAAGGGCGTAGCTTTTTGAAGCACTATATTGCAATCACAGCATAAGTTCTTACTAATAATAAAGACCAATGGTATCGGTTTTAACTTAATTTAGAACATAGAGAAATCGTCAATAAAGTTTACTGTAATTTACCCTATATGATGGCTAGGTATGTTTATTATTAACTCAAGCCAAGATTTCAAGCTAATTTAATTGTTAAAACAGTGATCATCGGTACCAGGTTGCTGAATGCTGGATAATTATAATGAACTAGATAACATTATCCAATCATCTTCTTTGCTATTGTTATGCTGTATAATAATAGATTGATGGACTAGTGGCTATTGTTATCGAGTTTATAGGAGAGGGAAATTATTAGCGTTTACTTATGGGGATTGGGTTGGGTTAAAGATATCATTAATTGACTATAGTACTGCCGATCATTGCTAGTTTACTGGACAGGCAGTAAACCAGATCGAAGTTACTTAAAAAGCTAACATTGCTTTCCAGATTCTGCTGTAGACATTATGGCTCGCCCCGATGATGGAATGGAGGAACACCTTCAGGGATATGAATATTCCAAAGTTCGTGTTATTAAGGGACTCAAAGATCGCAACCTAGTTGGAGTTTTAGCTTTGTTAGTTGTCTTATTGCTGATTGGCCTTGTAGTAGCAGTGGTAGTACTGCGCCAAAATAAAAGTACCGGCGGTAACACCGCAAGCAATTCCAGTGTCTGCACTGAATCGTATTGTTATACAACATCAGCGGAGATTTTATCTACCATCAATACTTCTGTTAATCCTTGTGATGACTTTTTCCAATACGCTTGTGGCACTTGGATGGCTAACCATGATATTCCAGATGATCGTTCTAGGTATATGACATTTACCGTAGTGTCCGAAAGGAATGAAAAAATCCTACGAAAGCTTCTCTCAACTAACGTTTCAGCACAGAGTGGCGTAGGCGAGCAAAAAGTTGTAGGATATTATCAGTCTTGCTTCAACGATATTTATACTGAAAAGGCAAGCAGGCTCGAATTAATAAAAAGAATTGGAATGCTAGGTGGATGGAGTGCGGTTCCAAGTATTATGATTGTTAATCTAAACACTTGGAATTTTAACCAAACCTTGGCTAAGATTGCTTCTGGGTATGACATTAATCCCTTTTTTAGCATTTGGGTTTCTTCTGATTTAAAAGATGCCAAGACAACGATCATCGAGGTAGATTTGATTTTCTGTCGGCTAGTTGATTTCTAATTTTTTATCTGCTAAAATACTTTTCGATCTAAAATTTTACGTATTGGAGATTTATGATACCCTAATTTAGATAAAAAAAAAAGATTATGGAGTGATAGATTTATATAAGGATTTTATGCGTGCTTAATTAAGAATGCGACAGCTTAATTCAATCATGTCGGTAAGCGTTTGAATTCAGTATCTGCCATTTAACGAAAACGAAATGAAAATTTTCCCATTTCATCACCCTTATACAAACATAGTACAGATATATTAATAGAAGCGGTAGTACGTGCATTGTATATTTATCATGCTAGTAAACGTTTTAGACTCGATATCTATCGCTTTATAAATACGTATATAGAATTTCCTCGATCCGATGGCTTGTAATAATAAAGTAATTTATGATATAAATAATCTTCCATGTACTTTATTTATTTAAAATGTGAACACCAATCTGTCGAATTTACAGCTTATCGGAATCGAAAAAGGTTCCATGATTCGGATATATACTTATAGTTTATAGTTCAGCATCGGAAATATTGCAATTCTAACATTGATTAATAATAATTAGAAAATTATGCAGTATATTATGCAATGTAAAAGGAAGGGGTGGTGAATACTTTCGTTAATAATTTCGAAATTTGCCGTATTGAGTCGTATAGTACGGGATGCTTATTTTTGCATTTTGTTTATTAATGGAAGGTATAAAAAGCTCCGTATTAGTTAGGAAGACCGTCTCTAGTTCTATAGCTTAGAGTGAAAGATAATTAAAAGAAAATTATCACAAAGCTTTTTTGTTACAGTTGCCATTTAATCGTCAGTTCACATTCTAAGTATTTGTTCACTATCACTGAAAAGAGCCCCTACTGGTACTAGTATTAAAATATTTCACAAATAATCAGAATTTTTATGTTTACTGTAATATCGATTGATTTATAATACTCTATTAAGGCTTGCATCAGCTTAAGCTATTATTATATGAGCTTGTAAAATAATGTAACAATTTAGTTGACTCGGTAACACATTAAAAACGAAAGATATCTGTGGGTTGCCATTATTATCAAGTGACTGTCATTGTACTGAATAGCATGTATTACTGAACCAAAAAATTGCTAAAATAAATCTGTGAGAATGATTTGCATAGGCTTGATCGGATCTCGGGGATTATAAATCGCATAGGTCATAATATGTAGCAAATTTATTAACTAAGAGCTGTATGGAGATTGATAAGTTAACAACTATTCTAGATTCTAAGTGACGCATCTATCAATGATAGGCATATACTCGTATGTCAAACTACTAAAGATTAAACGTGATCTTCGCCTGAAAATCACGTTAGACGTCGAAATATAATTAGAAGAATTTCATAACTTAATGCTTTATGGAAACGAATGAAGACTTTAATTTTAGTTGTTGGGATCTGAAAAACCTTGTCTCAATGTGTCTTTTATTTCATCATTTTACAATAGATGACACAAGGTGGAATCACTCTACCAGGTGTTCGTTTCTATACTTACAACGAGACTCATTCGGTAAGTGAATAATGTTTTGCCTTGAAAGGGAATTTTAGATGGATAACTATTTGGATTACAGTAAATTTGTATTGTAGAGTTATTTACTAGCCATTTCGATAGGATTCGCACAATACAAAAAGTTTTATCAATATCATGGCAACTTATTTACTTATTTGCTGATCATTTCTGCATCAGGCTGTAGTTGCACTGATTGAATATATGACAGAAGTAGCAACGCTACTTGGTGCAACTAACAGAACGAAAACGATGGAAAAGATGACCGAAGTTTACCGATTCGAAAAGCGTCTGGCTAGGGTATGGTACCTGATTGTATCTGTTTTCGTTACCTTGCTATAGATCATTTCAGTTTATGTTTAAATCTTTTGAAATGATGTTGTGTATCATAGCAACTCACATATAGTAGGCATTGATCGAAAACGGAATTGTTTCATAAATTATCGATACTAATTTCACGTCAATTTATTGCTTTTAGGCATATATAAGCAACTTGAATTTGGAGAATGAAGCAGTCAGATACAACAAGGTTATGCTTAGCCAAGTTAAGGCTGCATGTCCAGCGGTAAGTTTCTAGCAGTATACGTGTCCTTACTTAGGTTTGTCTTGGCGACCACTTAGTGTTGGCCGCATAAAATTACAAATTTCCGATTAAATTAAATGAATTTCGATGAAATTCTATCCTTCGGTGCGTTATTGACATCATTTTCCCATTAGATTGATTTCAATCAATATGTAAACCTACTGTTTGGTAGAACAATTCCTAATACTCAGCCTGTCGTTAATTATGCAATGAATTACTTCAAGAGAATGAGCGCAATTATTTCTAATACATCTAAAGAGTAAGGCATTTAACTATAATGTTCAAACGTTATAAAATACGATTGTATCAGTGTTGTAATAATGACTAGTAGCTTAAAGTTAGAGATTTACCTAGTTCTAGTAAACTATTACAACGTCTATTTATACAATTTATTTTTTGACTAGGACTTTAAATAACTATTTGATTTGGCATTTTGTGAAGACTTTTACATCTGCAGCAGATTCGAAACTGTTGAGAGCTTACCAGAAATATCGTGAAGCTCTATATGGCAAAGCAACTCCTTCTCCGCAATGGAGAACCTGTGTTTATCGGGCCAATGCTGCTCTTGGTATGGCTTCTGGTGCGATGTTCGTACGGCATTCTTTTAATGGACAAAGTCGAACGACGGTAAGTGATAGTGTATATGACAAAGCAATGCATCTAGTTAACTCTTAACTATAGTAAATCAATCAGAGATGATATGGCGCTACTTTTACGCTCGTTATTTTAAGCATACTTAAATTAAAACTCTGCGTTTCTTTCAAATCAATGGATAATAGGCCCATTCTATGGTACAAGGAATTCGAAGTGCATTTCTGAAAGCTTTGCCATCGTTAAATTGGATGGATGCACAAACACGTAAAGTCGCTGCTGAAAAGGCCAATGCGATCCACGACCAGATTGGTTATCCAGATTTTATCCTTAATGAAGCCCAATTAGCACAATTTTATTCTAACTTTCCTGTTAATGAAAGCTATTATTTCATTAACGTTATTGCCAGAAGGATTTATGCTATGAAAGTTAATCTAGACCAACTTGGTAAACCTTTCAATAAAAATCGTTGGTCTATGACTCCCTCCACCGTAAATGCTTATTATAGTGCTAATCGGAATCAAATTGAGCCTGAAATAGTGATCTAAATATTTTTTTTACTTTAAGAATGATATCAGTTTGATAATAGCAATAAAATTATGTTCGACTCTGTACCAACGCATAGAATGATTGATAGTGATGTTAGTTCGCAGTCCATATTGAGTCGCTCAATAACATCAATGCACATAGTGATACACAGAAAAGGCTTGCAAAAGCTAATTTTAAGATCACCAAATAACTACCAGCCTCTGCTAGTGTTAATGACTTGTGATGTACATAATCTTTGCTATTTTTAGTTTTATCATATGGACTACGATGTGATATTGAAAACCAGCCGTTGTATGTAATCATACCCTTGCTGCTTAAGGTAGAGAAGAATATCTAAAGAAATTTGATCACTATGTTGAGGCCATTCTGTGGCAAAAAACATTCGACAGCATTCATTCATTAGCCTATTGCCGTGGCTAAATTTTATGCATGCACAAGCACCTGTAGTCGTTGCTGAAAATATAAAACACACGTATTCGCGATCAAATTGAATATTATTCAAAATTTATTCTTGATGTACCAATACTGCTAATTATAATCAAAGTTATTATGTATATTAGGCTATTGATATGAATAGAACTTTGTAAGAACTAATGCTCTGAAAACTAATTTTAAAGATTGAGTATAGGTCTCATTTATTGACAATGAGGATAATTTTCTAATATATCTTGGTATCGATTTCATTCGAAGCGAGTAATTGCTATATTCTATCTTAACCTATCCATCTTATTCGACCTAGAAAAAATAGAGTAGTTAGTAATAGCTAAAGCATATCTTAATTCTAACCTAGGTAAAATAGAGCGGTTTATTCCAATATCGCTTGTCTCTATTATTGTTATTATTACTGAGGAAATATATTTGTCGTCCATCATACATTACTTAAATAGCAAATAAAATATGTCTTCATTTAAGCCTCATAAGTTAGCGTACAATATTATTTGATGAGACATATACTGCACTTGCACATCTGGCGAAGAAATGCTGTGATCATCGTATAAATATTTTATAAATATATTCCATTCGTAGTCATACTGTAGCTGTACGGTATTCAATGGATTAATGCGACGTTGATCCAAATCTACCGCGTTGCTACTTAATGATCTTGATAGGGGAACGAACCAGATATCATGAAATTGATATCATTGGACACTTGACTAAGATAGGATTTAAATGAATGTTCATGCACTGCAGTTTCGACTTCATAAGCAATTGATCGACCAATGGCTTCTGCTTTCTTTCTAAAATTGCCCCAAAAAGTGCCATCACTTTTATCTCGATCCTTTTCTGACGGTGTTTTATTGTCGGAACTACAATTCCCATTCAGTATCGGATGGACGACGACATTATAAGACTCAAACAATACTAATAGGTAGTCTTGGCATTCTTGAAGTGAATATTGATTCGTGAGTTTCTTTTCATCTTTCAAAACTTGAAGTACTATTTCAGAAATAGCTCGTTCTGTAGCCATAATGTTAGCCGCTTCTTGCTTGTTTTTACCCATAGTACGTAGAGAGTTGTATCTACGAAATACATATGCCAAAGATTTATCTTGGGATGATAACGTGACCGCAACAAGAGATACATGATCTTTCTCTTTGATATGATTTACAACCATGGTCGATTTTGTGTTCGGGATGAGTTTAGCTCCACCATAACAAATTACTACTAAACGCTTAGTGTTTTGTTGTTCTACCAAGTTGAGTGCAAGATCGGTCAAGGTTGCACCATGACTATGAGCTAAAATAACACCGTAGATAACATTTGGGGGATCACAAGACGAATAGAGAGTTTGCATTTTATTCTGAAGTACCGTAGCTAGTCGACTGGCCGATTCGGCTTGACGATTGATTTCTTCTTGGTGATCTAAAAATGTGCTAAAAACATAATTGACTATATTGGTTCTGTTATGGAATAAGTCAACAGAGAATGAATTGGAATGCATTCCCAGTAAATCAGTAATCCTGGCAACCGAGTTTTGAGCATCAGCAAAACTATTTCCAAGTCCATTGACATAGAGGAAGAAAGCTCCTGATTTGAGTTGCATCTGGCAAGGATTACAATAGTTGGACATGGTTGTTCAGCAGTTGTTATTACGTTTCTAGAGTAATTGTATGACAATCAAGTTACTGGTGTCTCCTTCTCTTCAATGGTACGGATTGGATAGCCCACAGATCGTCTATCACTTTAATTTAATATTATGTCAATCTTGTCCAGGCTATACGCGATACAAACTTTCACTCCGACGATTTCGGATTTCAAGTTAGCTATGGTCTGACATTATATCATCACTAATCCGTTCTTAACAATATTTCCAAATAGGTCGCTAAGAAGGGTCCAAACTTAGCAGAAAATAGCTTGCTATTACTTGCCTAGCTAAATTCATAAGGCGTATTGACAGGTCTTCACTAGACATTCGTCCATTCAACCGTAGGATACAGTTGAACTGTCGTGACTTAACAGTTCGATCTAGTTCTGCCACTGATCCTAATTACAGTACAGTACTGTACAGTACAGTTACACTCCATTGTCCAGTTGCAGTTCATTAGTCTGTACTGTAGAACGTCATTGTCGATGTCTAAAAATACTGTACAGTAGTACAGTACGGTACAGTACAGTAGAATAAAGTATTGATTGATATGATTCTACAGTACTGTACTGTACTGTAGTACTGTACGTATACTACTGTACTGTACTGTACTGTATACTGTACTGAATAGTGAACACTGTTCAGTGAAGCTTCGTTCTGAAGCTGCTGACGGAGAAATGCGCCAGAAGAGACATTTCGCCTTCATGTTTGTATTATACGAAATCTCTGTTCTGGCGATTTTCGTTTCCCAACTTTTGCATGGCAAAGTATATAGTAATTAATTAATTATGACTATGTGCTTCGACTGTTCTTGCATAATGGTATAAAGTATTAAAAATTTTTACGTTAGTTGAACCAATATTTCTTCCCTTTTTCTCAGTCTGAAATGAAAAATAAAGCACATCGTACATTAAGTTGTGCCTTGTACAGTACAAGCCAGTAAAAAGCGGCTACAACCAGGGACTACTCGAATTCGAGAAGTCCCTACTATAACTAGCTCATAAAGTTAAGTAAAAAACATGTCTAAGAAAAAAACTGTTTTTTTCTTAACTTTTTGAACTAGCTACAATCAAAAGTATGCCTAAATTTCATAGAAGAAGCCCTGGACGGGACTGATCACTACGGGATGGACAGACATTTCCCCCTTCATCTCGTCAAAATACAGTCAGTACTGTAAAGTATTGTACCAACCACCTCGCTATAGCTCTGCAGTACTTTTTTAGTATGTAAACGGTCGATTTCGAATTGATTGATACTTACTTAATTAAGTCATGATTGAATCTTATTGTCTGTTACAAAGTTCTACTTGAAAACGTATTGATTCAAAAACAGCTATATAAGATCATAGACGCTATTTAAATTAGTACTAGTGATTTAGAAAACAGAGATGGAAGATCCATACCACAGCAAGTTGCCATTTTTCGATAACAGATATACTGCACTGTAGACAGTACAGTATAGTTAGACAGTACAGTGCGATACTGCACTCCGTGTCCGTCTCATTTGGAAAGGAAAGTCCGTCTGTCTGAGGGTTGTGATCTGTCCACTGTGTCCAGTGAGTGTCCCGGCATTCTTCTAGTAGTCCAAGACTGAGTAGTAAAAATTAAATTATGAATAAAAAACATGAAAAATACGATCATTATGGATCTTTCTAGATACGAGTATGAAGGTCTACAATAATATAAAGAAGCCATCAGTATTATAGAATAGGATCCGTAAATGAAATTATCCAATGTAAGGGTCACGTGGTAATAACTGATGCATATTGCCGAATAGGCGCCTGCACTTACTGTTCACTGCAGCACTGTACCGTACAGTACTGAGTGAAATGTGGTATTATGTTGAGTAATTGCTAATTTCTATTAATGACATTCATAATTTTTCTTACTTTTGCCTCGATGGAGTACTACAAAACGGCCATACTGTAAGCTACTCGAACTAGACGTACATACGTTCTTTGATGGCGGATACGCAGATCTCAGAATCTTCAATGATAGTAGGCTGTCTTAGAACTAATCAAAAATAAATGGCTGCATTATAATAGCTAGTCCTACTTGTCAAATACGAAACGCCTACAATAGATCAGCTCACAATATAATAATGAAATTCTATTGATAATAAATAAAAAATGGAAACTAGCCTCGATCAGTTATTTATATTCTGGTATAGAAAAACATATACACCATAATAAATATTAAATGAAGCAGCTATGCCTCACAATAATTTAATTTACTTGCTTTAGATACTACTGCACTCGTGTGAAGGTGTATAATGTCGCTATCTTATATTACCTATATAACAACAGCAATGATCGAAAAACTATCTAGCGAGTAGAGCTCATGCTGTATATGAATATACAGTACGAGCATACTGGTATTTATTGTTGGAGTAAGGCCAATTGATCGTTTATGCTAATTCATTGTATTATAAATCTTGCTTTATTTTCGTTACTGATGAATGAAAATTTCAATTAGATGTCGGATAATAATCTTGATCGTAATATAACGTTCGCGTACGTACAGTATAACAAATTGTAGTTATGAAATTACGGTATTAAAATTTTTAAACGTTTCAGAACTAATTCGTAAAACTCGTACTGTAAGTACTCACAAGTAAATACTGATCAAAACTGTCAGCTATCGCTATTCTTAAGTCGAAATTAGTATAAATTTAAGGTCTACTTTAAACTACATTAGAGTACGCATACAACATGACATTTACTATAAATATATAATCAGAATACGGTCTGACTTTGAACTCTCTTATACGTTAGATATCTAACTAGTACATTCGGCCTTCCCCCCCCCCCCCCCCAAAAAAAAAAAAAATTAGTTTTACAATTCTGGATATGCTAACAATCTACGTATATAACATTATTACCGTCACGATGCTCGTGACAGATGGCCAATGACCACATTGATATCATAATGGATAAGTTAAGGTCATAATGTGTTACAATTTTTTGTATTTGAATAATATATGTGCTTATCACAATTATCAATTGCCAGATATTGTTTAATATTGTCCCTTTCACCTACTTTAGTATTATCGTATAAGCGTATACATACCGCATATTATAAGCTTGTATCATCTCATTTTGTTTATTTTGTAACACTATCTTGCACTATTCTTTTTATTAACACCGATAGTTTTATTCATATCATGAGTTAAGGCTGATTTTGATAGATCATGAATTGATATCAGATGATTTTATAATATAATTTGTTAAGAAATCACACTCGTTTAGCACATCTTCCATTTTAATTAAAATAGAATGGTAAAAGAAATCAAAAGTGACCAGCAAATAATCATAATGTCTTCATAATGCTGAGATATCCTCTAAGTGGTAAGTGGTAGAGATCGCTTAATGTTCTTAAATTATAAACTTGATATTAATTTAAATTTTTACCTTGAAGACCTATAATCAGGGGCAAATAAGTCTGCTACTGCTACGGTTGAACTAGAACGTGTTCAAACCTAACCAGGGCTAGAAATTCAGGGATGGAAATATTTTAGAGAGATTGTACTATATTGAAAGATGTAACGATTACTTTTAAAGACACAAAATCGATGCATGCATGGTAACTAGTCTCAAAAATAAGAATTTACTAATACTTTAAAAATTAACCAGGACAGTAAACAATCGTGAAATATAGCATGGAATTAAAGGGAGAGATAACATCTGCTAAATATATCTCAATATTATGATTATTCATAATTGAAGATTTCAGCCGTAATATGGTTAAAAGGTTACTTATTTACGATAGATAAAGAGGCAATATTAAATCTTAAATGTATAATTAATCGGGTAAAGCGAATAATCTTGCGATCGCTCTAAGCTACGAGGTAAAATTTTACTAGTGAGGTAGCAAAGGTAATAGAATAGGCGTAAGTCACGATTACATATGTGTCTTCTGACAGCCAATCATTTATTTATTTGTCCTAAAAAATTGCACGTGTATTCGACCATATATACTATACTACATAATGGGCCAGTGTTTTCTACTTTAAGTGACATGTTTTCATATTTTTAATGGATTAAGTAGCTATAACTATCATTGAAAAGGAATGAGCAATGCAGTTACTGTACCTTAAACGGTATCTTAATTTATGGCGCTAACATATCGTAAGCCATTACTGTAGGTAGGGCATACAAAAGGAATACCTAACAATTTCCAATCTATCGCGGTTTTGCTCATCTTTGTTATTGAAAGGTTTCTCATCCACTGCCATAATAAATTGGGTTACTATCTAATCGTATTGATCAATTTAATCGAAATGCGCAGAAAATCAGACATTATTTAATCCTGATTACATGGACGAAGTCGTATAGTTATGGTACTGCTATTCGTTGTTCTAATCGATTCGCTTTAGTGTTGTTTATTATAAGTAAGGTAATTATACCCTTTATCAAAAGATTTTTCATTCACTGCTTTAGTAATATTGATGCTGATGTGATTTGTGTGGATAAAGTTGCTGTTTTCCAAGTTACTCATTGATAGGTGCATGGCATCTTGATGTTGACGACGACAGCATGTCGCTATCATGTCTTGACGAAGACTTTTATTAAAAATAAGATAAACAATTGGATTGATAAAAGCAGTTAACATGATGGGCACGGTAGAAAATCCTGCAATAGTTCCTTCAAAAATTTTACCACTTGCTCTTAATGACATAAAATTGGCACCAGTATAGATGAGACCTAATGTTGTAGCCCAATATGGCCACGTTGCTAAGATAAAAATGACTGTAATACCAATTATTAAACGTATTGCTGATTTTCTCATTTCCTTATAAGCTCGCCGTTGTTCTTGTGTACTTACTCCAGGTCGAGTCATATTTTTTAATTTACTGATGACTTGGCAGTAGAAAATTAAAATCACAATGATTGGTAAGAGATAAAAGATAATTATGATCATGGTATAAATAACTTGAACACTGACTAAACCTAGTTTGTATGATAAATCACAAGTAAATGGGAAATAAGGGTCTACGATAGTTGTCACCGATATTAATACTCCAACAATTGTACCAAGAAGCCATGATAAAATAATGTAATATTTAATTCTTCGATTATGACTTCTTTCATTCGACAACGGAGTTATAATTCTTTTGTAGCGATCATAGCTTATAAAAGTTAATGTAACTATGGAGGTACCATAATTTGTACCAATTAAGAAAAAGGAAATATGGCAGTTAACAGACATAACTAATATCGGTAATGATATTTTAATGTAAATAAATTGTAAGATACCGAAAAATAATAACGAAAGGCTATATAAAAGATCAGCAACAGCTAAGTTAGCTATTAATATAAATGATGCTACGTGCATTCGTTTAATATACCAAACAGTAACAATAGTCCATGTTTGAAATATAATTCCAATAATACCACAAATCATAGTAATAATAGCAAATAGGCCATAAGATTGCTGAATTTGTTGTAATTGTATGGGGTTAGTTGAATTTGTTAATGCCGATGCTGCAGCTTGTATTTCCATATTTTTGGGGAATTTAATTTTTGGTAGTAATAACGATAATCTGATCTACCTAAATGATCGGTATAAAGAAAATCTGTAAACTGCATTGATTTATAGTACCATCAATTCCTTTTGTAGATATCATCAGGCCATTGTTTAAAGATGAACTAATACATTATGAGCAATTCATGAACAACTGTTTAATTATTAATCAATACGTTGAATAAGTCGTAATAACGTCTGAGATTGGATCAAGGAAAAACCAATGTCAATGCACTATATTAATATTGTCAATGTTATGCAAGAATAGCAAATAGATCATTCAGTTCTCATTTAAGTTTTAATCTTATTTTTTATATACTAACATTCGTTTTAAGTTATTCTATATTAAAAATATTAGAAAACCAAAAATGAAATGATAACAGTTAGTGCAAAGTAATTTTAATCTTCTAGCAGTTTATAATGCATGCCAATACTCTAAATATGTTATAAATTTGACTGTAATGATTAAGGATACTAAGATGTAAGAGAGTGTATTTTTATTAAAATATCTAAACTTTTATAATCCGTGTAGCATACTACTGTAAATCATTTGATTTGAGCTAATCGAAATGATATTTATTACCGGTTTCATCGATTGAGGTATGTTTCCATTTCAACGTACAGAATATAATACGAGTATTAATAAAAATATACCTTTAACGATAAATATGATATTCCTGCATGCTTATCAAATCTGTCAATCATTAAAAGTTGAGGATAAGCAAGGGATTTTATTCAAGGAATCAAATTAAGCATTATAAATTGTTCTGGCTTGGATACTACTCGTATTGTAACCACTATAGATTATAATCATTCCTTTATAACGGATTGATTTAAATAAGAAAATTCAATTATTTCTGTTTCTACTTCAGCATAATACGAAATTTCATAGGATAATAAAAAGCAGAGAATTTTCTCAATTGTCGTAGTAAAAATTAGATAGTTATTTTCGTCTAGTCAATTAGTCGTTAAATAGTGGTGGTAACCAAAAAGCATTTTTATACAAGAAATGAAATCAAGCATTACGGATAGTTGTGATATTGGTGTAATAACGAATGAAAAGAATTATTGATCTATAATTATAATAATAGATATTTCAATGAGATGATTTAGTTTCAATTTAGTTGGAATCAAAGATAATGTTTGTAATATCTTCATTGTTAATGTTATACTTGTGCAAATAAAACTATCCGATAACTTTGAAGAGTGATTATTAATTAGATGATATACAAAAGTTCATTTTATGTCAATTATCAATCAGGTTGGTCTATTCATAATTTTATATGGCGTTTATAATTTATATATAGAAGATTTTCCCATTACATAACGGTGACTAAATTTATATTTAAGGTTCTGTATTTTCATTTTGCTTTCAATCTTAAGTATCGCATATTATATACGTGTACTCAATGCATCTTTATCACCGTTAATAAAGTTGTAAATCACACTGCTCTTTTATTAAGGGAAATATAGTGAGCATATCACCATAAAATCAGTCTTGCATACATGTTACTAGCGTGCTTTTCCTATTCAATTTTACAAGATTGCCCTAGTAAAAGTAACTGATAATAAATTAAGCTAGAGTAGGGTACGATCAATATTTTATTTTGATGTAAGACATGCTATTGGATGTTAGATCAGGCTACTTGTTAATCGCAATTACGGTCAGAATGATAGTATTCCCGAATAATTTTAATAATGAAAATACACTAGATAATAATAACTACACATTGATGCTGAAAAGCAGACAGTTTTATTCCTTTCAGTCTAAAGTTACTTTAATTTAGAGCTAAAGAATTTTTATTAGTGGTTTATTAATAATATCTAGGTCTGTCTTATTCTTCAATTGTTTAGCCTATTCAGATTATTTTACGAATTTATAGCATGATATGTTAATAACTGATTTACACCAAACTTACAAAAAAAATTAATTATTTCATTTAGGTAAGATTACTTAGAACGTATAGCGTAATTCTTATGAATAAAATGTTGAAAATTCATAAAATTTTAGATTGATTTAATAGCCTATTGTTTTGAGCTACATTGTGAAACGATTTCAATGAAAGTCTGAGGTAATGATGATATTTCATGCCTGCTATTAATTAATTTTAGATAAATTTATAATCATTTTGTAGGGATTGCTGTTATCTGTGAGTAAAATTGATTTGATTTAATAGTGTAGGAGTTGTTTGCCGCCATGTATAAGTTACTAGACCTGTAATTATTATTTCTAGCCACTTATTATACTAAGGTTGGTTATTGGCTGTATAACGTAGAATAAGATACGTTACTTCTATATCAATTTCTTTAAAACTAATCCCTTAAAAGTATAAAACTCTCAAGTTTTATTCATGATCATGGAATATTTCTTAACAAGCTAGTGCATTTTTTGCTAATATGCTTATGATCAGTTAGTATTTATGTGCAGCACTATCGAGAGATTTGATTCGTTATCATCGTGTATTTGTTTCTCATTGCGATATTAAAACTGCTTATTACATTCATGGTGCTTATTCTTGCATTGTAGGATTAATTTTTGAATATATAGTTTGTACTTCTAATGATCAATTTCCTGCTGATAAAATGTAACAGTAGCTTTGATACAAAAAATAGTGAAAAGTATTATGCTATAATTGTGGTATCCGCTTTAAATTCTAATTTCAGGTAAATTTTTAGAATATTTGTATTCGCATTTTCTAGAGGCTCTAATATATCAACTATTCCATACTATATATACCTTAATTTTATTTTTATCTCTACAAACTTTACCAGTTCGGCTATTTTCCTCAAATTTTGTAATCGACTTTAAACTTGAGAATATCTCTATGGTACCAAAATATTTTGACGTTATTAAATTATTAATACTTCACAAATGTAACTAAATTGGAATAAAGAATATATTTTAATTTATTATTTTTTAGCATATTTCAATAAAATCATTCTATTTATTGTTCTCTGATTAAATTTTCCTACTTTATTATAATATATCCGATAAAAATGATTTATTTCTGATAGTATTTTCTGCTTTATATCCTATAATCATTAAGATAGTAATTCAGAAGGTTTCCATCCTATATTGGTATATCATAGGTTGAATAAATGAAGATGCCGATACATTAATGCTTCTATTAATAGCACTGATTCTCAGGGCGATTGAATAATTCATGCTGCGAATTGAGCTTCAGATGCGGAATGTAACTGGGTGGGTACATATTGGGTGCAGTATTTTCGTCTGATACAATTGAAATTTCGAGCTTCGTTTCTTAATGTGATAAATAACTGCAATCACTGGATTTTAACCATAAGTTCAGCAATCTATCAATTTAAGATTTGAGCTATAAAAAAATAGAGCAAATTCCAAATGCAATACACACTGATCAATACTGCAATAAACTTTGAAAGTTACGTTCATAACGGCTAAGTCTTTAGGAAAAGAATCCATTTTCTTTCTCTCAAAATAAGAACACAGTTGAAAGGGGCTAAGATACACCGTATAAATGACTTTAACTCTGGAATATCAATTTCATATAACTTATACAAAACAAAATCAATCAATCGTATACTATTTTGCAGTGCCTTAAGCAAGAATTAGAAATAGTATCGCCATACAGTCAAGAATAGTACTTTATATAACTGTCGTATGTTACGGCCTTTTATACAGTTAATAGCAGTATTACAAATGCCATGCATCATATCAGTCATAACCTATCATTACTGTACTTTATTAAGCACAATCGACTATGATATATCATATTTTATTTCATATCACGCTTGCAAATCATGAGTACTACTATACGAGTAATTTACTGAAATAACTAAAATAACTAAGTATTTTCTGTATTTCATGCAAAAATTTATACCTTACATTTTGTAGATCAAAGACATTAATTATGAAGTAGTTTACGCAGGGGAATATTCCTGTAAGATTACAAAAGAACTGTGTGCTAGCTAGTGCTAGCTCGATAGAACATCGATATATAATATTCAATGGCTGAATATCTGATTTTATGTATGTGTTATTCCCAGCATGAATATCATGACGTTTTTAGTAGCGTTTGGTAATATCAAATTTTCTTTTACTGTGAGTGCATGGCAATATTATCTCCTTATTTCATTTCCTATTTGCATAGGATATCATCGATAGGGCTGCCTTATTTTTAAATTAAATTTCCTGATAACGATTCGTATTTACAGTGATAATTTTATCAATACCATAAGCGCATGATTTTAATAGTTTGCCCCTGTTATACGTAAATCTGTTTGGAAACCAGGTGTACTTGAGATTAATATAGCAAAATTTGTTTTACTATACTACAAAATGACTAAATTAATTGCAATTATTGTAAAATTACGCTCGCAGGCTAATATTAGATTAAGTAATAAAACATTATATCATATAATTTTAGTCATATTTACTTCAGCGTTTTTATAGAATAGTCGAACAGTATGATTTGCCATTTTATTTGCATTATATTAAAAACTACTATTCTAGTATTGTACTGATAAATCAGATTTTAATTTCTAATATCTACCTATAGCTTTGGCATACTATGAATCTAGGCTATTAATGGATACTTAGCGATGACATTTGACCTTACTTCTCACGATATTGTTTCCGTCTTCGGGCTAATTTAGATTATGCTTGAACTATTCTTTTAGCAATAACATCAAGTTATCTATTTTAAATTTACACTTTTTTAATAAGATTTACTGTTAATTTTATTGCAGATCATAACAGGATGTATGAAATATAACATTATTCAATGCTAGAAGCAATCTGTTAATAATAGCATAAAATTAATAATTATATTATAGACAGTTATTAATATTAGGAAATGGATAATTTTCTGAATTCACAATTCAAAGGGTACTCATATTTTTATATGAGCGTTATTAATTGATGATTAGAAATATGAACATGTTCACCAAATGGAAAGTGTCTGCTTGATTTTCAAGTGATATTTTATATTATCTAAACATGGACTATTTTGGAATCATTTTCAGTAAGGAATTATTTAGTGATAAAAGGAAAGGTAATATAGAAATTTGCAGATAGTTGTATCAGGGCTCCTAGCTTGTACGGTTATACCATATAGTAAATTATCAGTATTTCCTAATCTAATCAATTTTGAAATTGTGTCACTTACCTAGTTAAAAGTTAATGTAATATATAAGCGATCATGCACAGGTGAAGATGAAGAAGTGAAATATACGCTTAAATTTGTGCACACATTTGGTATAAAGCTGCGAATTCTTACTAACGGGTCTGTATGCATTTGATCAAAAGTAAGATTAAAAATCCTTTTCTAATATATACTGGGGTAGCTGTCCCGTTAACAGATGGTGATCAACATTGAATATATTTTATTATTTAATCATTTGGATTACACTGTCTGCTAGAGTATTATAATACTTAATGTTTTTAGACTAAATTTACAGAAGGTTTTTGATATGTAGTAGTTTGAATATGACGGATTTGCCCGCTTCCTTTGAGGAAGTGAGTTGCAGAGTATTAATACAATTAGTAATAGTAGTTACTATTTAGACTCATGTGATATATACCAATCACGAGATTCCAAATTTTAGAAAAATAAGGGCTTTATTGAATCTTATACAAAGATTAACTACACAGCTCTACTCTAGCCGAATACTACTTCTAAAGACTTCTAGAACGAACTAACAGAATAATCTAAAGTTGCATGCTTTTATACTTTCCGTAGCATTCGCAGCTACAATCCGCATGGCAACCTTTTACCTTATTTTACACATAGTTAAATTATTCTTAATAAGACTATTCTACTGCGGGCCATCATTAATCCAATATGGATACGACTACAGTACTTACGTAGACATTATTCACACCAGCCAAAGTACAATGAATTAACCATATCCTAATATATGATTTATAGTTCTATTTTTACCTATAGCCATATTAGTAACTCAACAGCTTACTGTATATAGTCATCTGTACTCTAGCATAGAGTCTCTACCACTACAGTCTATAGTTACAGCTACCAAATATCTCTTAGGATAAATATCTACTGTACATTATACTACACATGGCTAACAGTCTACAATCACAATACTAAGTTACATTACAACTCACAATATGCGTATGCATTTATTTTAAACAGTTATTATTAGGCTGAGGGTAAATGAATGTTGTATGACGCTTAATTGCCTTTAAAATATCCAATATACATTGGACAGCATTATATTGCTTTAAATAAAAGTGCTGCTGCAATAATTTTGATATTTTGAAATATTTATGAACTAACTACTATATATCCATGTTTTATATCCATAAATCTGAAAATTACAGTACATAGTGCGAATATGTCCTGTCAAAATTATTATTGATCACATTTTTCAACTTCTTGCAGATCACTAAATTATGTGAAAGCTATACTTATTAAATTCAGTTGTATCTATACAGTTATAGTTATTTTCTCGAAATAAGATAATAGCAGACAGAAAAAATACTTTATCTCATAAATTATCTGACAGGATTGGCTAATTGATTAATCATTATTGCGTTCTGTCGTATCAGCATTGTTGTTAAAAACATTGTATTTTTTTAATTAATTAATATGTGATTATATCGATTGATTAGCTCGTGTTTTTAAGATTAGATTCCTTCATTAATGCGCTGTGATAACGGATAAATTATATAGTATATAACATATATACGAATATCTGAAAGATTAGGATTTAAATTTAATTGATGGACGATTCTCTTCATACAAAATCTTTTTCCACACGAGACTATGAAAGAAATTAGCATCACATTGCTAACAGTATATATATAACATATAGACCTTTTAAATTCTAGACGATTTTGTCCTCTCTTGCTATTTGTACTATATACTATTTAAAAGTAAAAGGTATTTATAAATTTAATTGGGTAAATTTATAAAAATATGTTTGCTACAAGTAGAATATTAATTACTTGTATAATTAGTTTATTAATTGCTAATTTATATTAATATTTTTAAGTTACTTAAAAGAGAATAAAATAAATTGGATCAAGTAGATAATATTAAAAACTGAGTAATTTTAATAATTTGAGACGATTAATAAGCAGTATAGACCAAAATGTTTAGGAAATTTCAAAGCTTTATTTAGATAATATGTTGAACAAAGTTGAAAATAACAGCATCATTCACAAATATTATGTTAACAAAATAGGATTACATTTCTACATATGAAATAGAAGCTTAGAACGCGGAAAATAAACACTTAGGACACAACTACCAACGTAAGTTTAAAATTTCGCACATAAGTGTTATTAAATTCTATGTGTTTTGTGGGGCTCTGCGACAAGGTAATAATGTTTCCGCAATACTTATGGACATGAAATATGCACTAAGAAAGCGACTAAAATTGAATCCAGTTACTATATTACTAGAAATTTCGAAAGGTAATCGTAAAATTATTTCCAACACTTATACAAGTGAAATATGAGAGAATATTTCTCTGCAACAATTCTAATTCGAGTTTGCAAAATACTATAGGTATTTAGTGCAGTAAATATATACACTTTCGCGTATATTTGCGCTAGCCTGGAAAGGAATAGTCAGTTTACTATTATTAAATTATTACCATATAGCCATATCCACTACGGTTAGTTCTTCAATTGCAAGCAATCATTCTATGCATTTAATAAACTGATTGATGCTTTATCGTGTGACACATACTTAATATTAGTATTTGTTGTCGATGCTGTGCGCGTCATAATTATAATTTGATTTTTAGAACTGTAGGTTCTTCTCATTAGTAATGGGAGGCTGGCATGCCATGGACACCGTAGTATGGCTAGCATATCATGACGGAGGCTTTTATTGAATATCAGATATAAAGGCGGATAGATAAATGCAGTTAACATGATGGGTACACTTGCAAATCCTGCTATGCTTGCTTCAAGAATCTTACCACTAGCGCGCAATGAAACAAAAGTGTCTCCAGTATAAACTAATCCTAGCGATGATACCCAGTAAGGCCAAGTAACAATAATGAAGATAGCAGTAACCGCAATAATTAGTCTTATGGCTGAATGCTTTGATTCATTATGGTTTCGCAATTGCTCTTTGTTATTAATTCCTGGACGTGATAAATGTCGTAGTCGATGGATTAATTTGCTGTAGCATATCAATATGACAATAACAGGTATAACATAAAATGCTAAAGTTAAAAATGTATAGATCGCTTGCGTACCAGCTAAACCAACATTATACGATACATCACAGGTAAACGGAAAATTAGGATCAACTCCTGTTGTTAAAGCTAATAGCATACCTACTAAAATACCTAGTAGCCAGGAAGTGATGAGGTAGTAAACAATTCTTCTCTTACTGCGGCATTCACTCGATAATGGCGAGATGATTTTGTAATAACGATCGTAACTAATAAATGTTAACGTTATAATCGATGTACCGTAATTCATACCAATTAAGAAAAATGAAATATAACAATTAACAACCATAACCATTAAAATCGGAGAAGTTGTGATATACATCAGCTGCAGCACACCGTAAAAGAATAACGAAATGCTATACATAAGATCAGCAACAGCTAAATTTCCCATTAATATGAATGATGCAACATGCATTCGTTTCGTTAGCCATACTGTAATGATAACCCAAGTTTGAAATAGCACACCAATACACCCTACAATAATACCTAATATTGCAAAAAGTGAATAAGACTGCAAGATATCTCGTAATGTTACGCTTGCGTTTGAATGCTGTGAAATATTTTCATTCGATTGATAAGGCAGTTTAGTAGTCATTTTTATAATTATAAAATGGCTCTCGCTATGGAGACAATATGCTATTTTTTTCTGAAAAAATTATTCTAAATGCCGAAATAAAATTGAAAAATTGATATTTATAGATGAGCTTGCCTAATTATTATTAAATATAACTATGAAATCTCTAACCCTATACGGAAATATCATAGTTATTAATTATATTGCAGTTCCTGTCATTGTTTCATAATAGAAAAAAGACGGCTATTGTTCATTGATCTAATTACTTGATCATTATTAATTTATTATCGCTACGAATTCTGGTTATTATTTGAATATGTACAGAAATAAATATATTAGTGATGTGTACGGATACCTCAAGTCGAATTTTGTAACGAAGAATTTAAAACTGCCACTAGGAACTATGAGTCTACCACCAGATTTGGCCTCCCAGACATCTGCTCGCGTTATGGCTATACATACTAATGATTTCTCATTATCAGGAGCGTATAGTAAGTACATATTTCACTTCTAATACAAAATCGGAACTTATGCTTTATTAGAAAGTAGTTAATTTATAGTGCTGTTTTAGTAACATTAGTTATCAGTGCATAAATAAAGTAAATTATGAATGTTACTACATGTAACGATATTATCAACTAATGACAAGGTGTATTATCGAACGAAAATCCGATATGTATTTGTTTACAAAAGCCACTACATGACATGGGATTATTTTATGAGCGTGATATTATTTTTAAGTTAATATGCAAGTAAATCGCCATTTTTATAATTTGATATCGATCTCAGCAGTGACTGTTTTTATCTTAAAGTTACGGTACTTATCAAGCTGTGTGATTGGCTTTCATAATTGGTTCAGTGAATTAAGAGCCACGAAAATTATGTAACTGACCAATTTCCAGAAGTAAACTATGTAATATCTATAGATATAATTATATGTTGAATCCGTGCGAGTGCATATCTTTATTGTTGTTCGCATATGAAAAAACGAATCAATGTTTTCACAATGATATTTTGTCCCGTATTTTTTTACTTTTCTCATCAGTAGACTTCCTAATAGTTTTGAGGTAGCAATAAAGCAATAGAAAATACAGATGTAATTCTTTAGTGAGTGTATGTTATCACTGCAATTGCCACATATATTTTAAATATTGAATTTGATATTTTACAATTTTATTTACCGCTGTTGAGTTCTAATAATTATATAGACCATTATGTAATTTACATTTATAAAGATATTACGTAAATAAGTAGACCATTATTATTATTGGCATCCGTAGTAAATATTTGAAAAGTTGATTTGTTAGGCATGAAAATGCAGCTACTAATTTTAAAAGAATAGGAAAAAATATACGTTTAGACATTAAATTTAGACAGATAGCTTATTTCTATCACAGAAAATTCGTTTACGTTATAACCAATTTTTCATCGTTTTGACTAGATTATTTGTTATAGCGCATATCCAACTGTAATTAGATGCGCAAATTTTGCTAAATTCTCTTCTTATTCGAAGTGAAATCCTAGTGATATAATTTACTACGCTTTAATTTTTCCAAAAAATGATCAAAGAATAGTGTGAATAAACAAAAAATAAGAATGATGAGAATTTGCTAACGTGCATGACTGCATATATAATATGATTATATGTCAACTATCGGAATATCTTAATTGCCATTGACATGACTAAAAATTTAATGCTTAAGAATTTAAGATCGGGAGAGGATTATTTCCTACAACTTTATACCTATAGTGTAAGTATTTGACTTGATAAAATAGTTTTAAAGATAAGAACGAGATGAAGAACTGGTAGAAAGTTGACTATGAAATTAATATTACAGTACCGGGAATTTAATTTTTTAATTTTTAATTTTAATATTTGAACCTTTGGTTTATTTTAATTATTTGCTAAAAAGATTTAATCTTGGGTTGCTATTAGCAAAGTGGTGCAAAACTGCTATCTTTGTCAATATTAGTCTTTAGATAAGCTATGAAAGGATAATACTTACTATGAAATTATGAAAGCTAGCTTTATGCGGCCATTGCCTGAAGTTTACTTAATCCGAAAATAAAAGGATTCGTTGTTTGAAATATTGCTGTATTGCTATTTGTTATTGTATTAGCAGAAGGTAGATTAAAAAATATTGTACTATTCATTGAGGCCTTAGCACTATAATCGCACCATTATTATTTTTTTAAATAATGAAGCTGCTAGTAACGATTAATAATAAATTTAGCATTATTCCCTTCCTATTTAATAGATAAAATAATTTTTATATTCTAACTGGGATTTACCCCTCTGATTTTGAACTTAAAATTTGCAATTTCGTTTCACCATATCTACGTTTATCAGCTGAATAGTAGTTTTTGTTTAGTTACTGCAAAAACAAATAAGAACATATCAGCAAATTTTGTATTCTAGGGTATTTGCAGTGCTCTGTTTGCGGTAATAGTTTTTCAAATCAGATGAAAATAGATTATCATTTTCTGAAATTTTATAATTATCAAAAAGACCAGCATTATTTGATTTTGTTTATTTTAATATCTTCCGATTTGATAAAAAATTAAATAATATTTAAAACTTGCTATACAATATAAATATTGGAGCATGTGGGATATCCGCTTAATATTTGTATCACGTAGAATATCTATTAATCATTCTTTGTTGCTATATAAAATGTTCTGATGCAATATTTGCTTTCAGCTCCTCAATGTCAATTATAGTGTCTAAATATTTCGTTGCCATAGCAGAACAACTAGGACAGGATATAACTAGAATCAAAATTCAATTATACTTTTATAAAATGCTCTAATTTGATTATAGCAATTATGGCTATTTCCTCATTATCGCGGAAATTCGTCATTGGTCGGAGTTTAGTCTGAGTGAAAGGTTTTCATCAACGGCCTTAATCATGTATAATTTGCTTAAAATAGAAGCTAAAGAATATCGATATGCTTAGACTATTGATTAAAATTAACTAAAAATTCAAAGAATATCTTTGCCTTACTCAAGTCTCGAATATCACTAAGAGTATTGCAGGCGAATTTTCTCAGAGGCAGTTGATTTTTATGGCCATAAACCCACATCCTATGAGTTTGTAAATGAAATTAGATTAAAATTAAAAATTAAAGATTGCTAGTAGAGTTTATTGAAATAATTTCTATCAACAGAAGATCCGTAGAATACTAATTTTATTTTATTGACTTAAGATAGTGAATGCAACCGCTACAATAGAATTGATATCCTTATATTCCGAGAAATTCGAGTATTTGAAAGCGGAACGTTTTTACCTCGTTATTGTTACCATAGGGTACCTCATTAGCTTAGGTGACTATAAAGCTTAAAAGTAAAGAATAGGTTGAACGGCAAATGTGATAACTCCTATGCTTGTTCAATAATTAACTAATGTATCCTATCCACGTAGGACTAAGAAACATCAAATAAATAATTCATCAATATATTTTTCGGAAATTACCTTAAAAAGAAAAAGCGTTATAAATATATTTTTCAGTGTTAATAATTTTAATCTGGCGTTCTCGATATTTTTATTCCTCGGAAACATCATGAATGGTAATTGCATCAAGGCATGTTTTATTTTGTAACCTAGCTAACTATTCAGCGTGATAGTAATCAATATCTAAGGTAATTATGTAGCGCTATTAAGAATGCAAAGGGTAACCTAAACGTAAGCTGTGATTGTCATCCATTCCAAAATTTAGAGAATAATTATTGTGTATGCAGAGTTATTATGGTCTATCTAATAATGCCAAATGGCAATCTGTATGTACATACGTGAATATTATGTTTGATCTATTAGATCATAACACTATTATTACATAAATGATTACGAAAGTTCAACGAGCAATTCTGAGTACAATTAAGGTGTACATGATTGTTTTAATGCAACTGAAAATGTAAGTAAAATTAATGTTTAGTTGGCATACCACTATAAAGAATTGTAATATAACAAATATACTAGTAGACGCGATTATTGTAGCTTTGCTAAAATATCAATGTAAAATTCGTTTCTTCGTAATTGTATACCGTATTAAGGGAATTGATAGCCATGGCTTTATCAATTAAATACCATTATTCATAAGAAAAGGCCCTCTAAAATACCTTTTGCGATGACGTTTAAGATATCATCGAAGTGTAGTAAGCCGAAATAGTGCCATGTTCCACAAAAACTTTGTTGTATGATATACATTGGCAGTTATTATATTACTTTAATTGTAATAAGAGTTAGCAATAAACTTTGAATGGTTCTGTGATGTATTTCGCTTATAACGAGTTGCATAAATGTTCGTTGGTCCGATTTGGAAGTAGGTGAAATTTTTAATCACCATTAAATTTAAAGATTTTAATCTACCATAATATACTTTATTAACTACTCGATCAAAATGAAATGTCTTATACGTAAAAATAACTCTTTTTAAAATATTGTGAGATTTGTTCGATAATGCACAGTTTATTTCTGTGATGATATGCGTTCAGAAGGGCCCAACTTGAAAGAAATTATTTTACTTACTGGAGTTCAGCTAAATAGCTAAAGCATAGCAAATATCTAAATGGTTATTTTAGCTTGATTGAGAAATTAAAATTAGTCCTTACTGGTATGCTACAGTAGCCCAAGATATAATATCATTACAGTGAGAGTTACACAATTATGAGTTTCTATTATGTCTTTATCACTGTATACATCACCGTAAAAAGTAAATGACAAAAATTGGAGGTTAAGATTTATATAAGGAAATAGCTAATAATGACTTACATTAAAAACTACGGTGGTTGGTATTTTCTTGCAGTAAATTATGCTGTACTGTAGTGAAAGTTTTCATAAGGTAACTAATGTCAATTGATTATAGTCTTGTAATACTCATGATGAATATCCTTAAGATATTCAATTATAAAGGATATTATAAATAATTTTGTGTACAGACATACTATAATCTAATTATCTAGAATCGTTCAGTACATGTCTCGGATTATGAATAATTTCTGTATTGATTTATCTATCCAATATGAAGTAAATTTCATGAACCGTTATGATTCATACATGATAGCAGCTGCTGAAGGATATTTAAGCTCGGCAGATAATTGAATAAAGCAGAGTTTTGTAGTTGTTTAACGTAGCAGCAAAGACTTTTAAATTCTTGTAAGATAGTAAAGGGATACTGAATCCCGGAGAGTACAGTAATTTAGAGATTTGTTTTACGTTAACTTTGTCACGAAGCTGGTTTGTGACAGTCCTCCAGTTTTGTGTCTCTAAATAGTTGTAGATGCCGCTACAAATCTAATTATTGAATGAATGTAGTAGTTATGGATCTACATTAATTATAAATTTTCAAGTATGAAATGACGTACATGATCTAAACTGAAATCTGTAACAAAATGATTTAGTATTGTAAATTAACATTTTTACTTCCCAGTGAAAGTAACGAAGCTTGTGGGCTCTGGTTGCGGAAATCAACTACTTTAAACTAATTTAAACATTGATACTATATTTATTTCTATTCAGGTGTTATGCATAATCTTTACTTTTTTGCCTTGTCGTTAGCGAATAGGCCAATGAATGGCGGATTCAATAATCGTTAAATGGAATATTGCAGAGGAGTTCAAATTCGTTTTAAGGTCAAAGAATTTCATCGACGATAGCTATCCACCGTTCCATTCCAGGATTTTGCTTATAATGCGAAGTAATACCGAATATTTTCATTATAACGTAAGCTGAAAAATTACTATGGTCACTAGATAGGGTTTCTTATGCTTGTTGCAACGCTTAATAATCATCTTGCAAATTGAATATTAGAGTGCTTCATCGATTACTTTTAAGAATTACAATATGTGATAAGTTTATCTGTGTTAAGGCAAACTTTTTCATGCTCGCGGGTTTAGAATTGTCGTTTCCTGTAATATGAATGATGTTTATGGGTAATACTAATACGCAGCATACATTTAGTGCTTGCTTATTAAATTTTTATGCCGTTTTCTTTTTGAACCGTGAAATGGCTCTTAGCAAATCGGTTCTATTAAAAAACTTCTAATGAGCTAAAGAGAACGCTACGTACATCATAAGTCATCGCTGTTGACGAGCATATTAAATATATTGCTATGGAATAGTATTTGTACGATTGTAATTTCTAACGTTTTACTTTTAAAGGCTCCAATCGGCATAGCATACGAATATGCTAAGGCTGATGTCGTTTTCATGGCTATCCAGAATCTTTTCTGTAGATTTTGCTTTTGCAAAGTTAATAAGTAAACACTAGTTAAATGCAAAATATCGACCATTTACAATAATGATCTTGCAAGATTACTGTTCTAAGATAATCATTGGACCGTTACTGCACAACGTTGCCTAGCGGGGTAAGCATAAACACTCCAGCTGCAAGATTTATGGATACTGCTATACCTATTCATAGTATAATCTGTCGTTTTTATCATATCCGATTTGAAATAATTTTTCTTCTTCACGATAGTGTCATTATATAACTAGAATGCTCAAGATCTCAATTGTTTCTGCGATATCATCAATATGGCATTTAATTGCCCTATAATTAATAGATAACTTATGAAAAGCTGTCTGATATATATTTTAGAGCGAAAGATATCCTTTATTTATTGTAAGAGGAATCATGGAACATAGAAATTATATGACAAAATATTTCATTGATAGAAATGTCGGAAATTTCTAATTATATTGAATAACGATTAGAAAAGATTTGTGCACTGGAATCATAGAGTTAGTGTTATCAATATGGAATAGCTATAATACTGCTTTGCTGTATTATTTTCAAGAGTAACGCCTACAGGGCAAGAATATCAATTTCTTCACGTTAAATATCCGTAAATAGTAAAGCAATCATGAGAAAATTGATAGAATTAAGTATAATCTTGAACGCGTAGTAGGTCGTCCAGCTTTTGCCAATTTTTAGTTTTAAGTTGATAGAAGAATTCAGGCTGAAGAGCTCTATTTAAGGATTTAACCAAACGACTGGTATTAATTTTGGGTAAGCCACATTCAGCAAAGAAAAATTCCACATGTTCATTAGCTTTCGATGTGGTTAATCGTCTACCACGGCAATTTAAAAAGACGTAAGATTCATCTCCTTCAACTATTTTGGGTAAGCAACGCCTTACATAACGCCAAAAATTATAAAAGACCACTTTAGGATAGCCTGTTAAAGTAATATATATTGCGTTGTAGTCGTTAACATCGTGATCATATACCGTAATTGTGACTTCCTGATCTTGGTCTAGCCAATCGGTTTTAGCAGCTTCGATATCGTCAAAGGTCATATTACACAATGCAATCAATCTTGCTTTACACCAAATTAACACTTGAACAATCGTATAACGTAAAGCGAAAGTATAGCCTTGGTATTCAACAGACTGCCACCCTGGGGTAGGATTACATTTTAACGCCCATTTGGATATCATATCGTATCGTAGTCGATTATCACGACGATTAACTAGCTTAAATAGGGTAATTGGGTTCAAATAATAATCTCCTTTATCGGAAAGGCGAATTTCACGGCATCGCTTTTGCTTATCGGATTTATAGGAATCTAATAAATTATTAACAATATCGTGTTCGCTTTGGTCTAATTGTTCAATCATTCCCATTTTAATGGCATATTCTCTTGCTCGTTTAAGACTGAAGACAATATTATAGATAGATGATGTAAAGAGCTTAACTTCATCTGTTAAGATACTTGCATATTTATTAATAAGCTGTGTATCTGCTAAATATTGCCAATTAAATTCTTGACCATTGGCACACCAATATAAGAAGCGATTGACAGAATTGGTTACTTTTTGACTATATGAGCGCTGCTTTCCATCAGCAATGAGGTAATTAAAAAATTCATCCAACGATGAGCAATTATCATAGCGTTGATCAAGCCCAGAATCTTTTAAATTCTGATTCGCAACACTCCGACTTGGTCGAAAAGGAGTTCCTCGGACTTTATCTTGCCAATTACCAATTCTCATTTTATCTTTGATAGTCCGTTTTTCGCGAACAAATTCATTGTGATTTTGCAGTTGATTCTCTTCGTCACTTTTATTATTTTTAACACAGTACTGGCTAGAAATGCTAGTGACTTGAATTGTGTCCGTCTCTAGCTTATTCTGCTGATTCATGAAAATAAAATAATGTTTTTTGCTTTAGTTAATCAACGTAGACATACCCTACACTATCATTATAAGGCATATATCAATTGTTTGATGTCTAAAAAGTGTAAAGAGATCTTGAAGCAAGTTATTTGAGTTATAATGATACCAGATTGGTAGAAAATTTATGAAATTTAAATTCTTGATAAGAAAGACTAGGTTAGGATTCATGTGCAGGAATTCTGAATAATTGCAATAGCGGATGCTATTAGAAATCGATGCAATGTGTTGATGATATAATAAATATTCTATCAGTGGTCGAAGTTTGATCATCTAGATAATATTAACGCATTTCTGTCGTAGCAAGTTATTAATTCGTGATCTTTAGAATAACTCTGAAATAGTTCTTATTTAGAAAAGAATGTAATATAAGGTTAACTTCAGCAATTAGTTTGTAGTATTATAAATATTGATTGCTTTTCTACCAAAATTAACAAATTCGAAAGAGGCTGATGCTAGATCTACTTAGTTAAAGTAGTTTTGCGAAGTTGTATCAATAGATGATTACTCTAATATTATGAATATAGGAATGAGATTTTAAATTATTTTCTCATATGAATAACAATTAAATTGAGAGAAAGCTTAGATTGAGAAGAAAATGATGCTGATATTAAAGTATTAACAAACCTTAAAATTAGGAACAACATCGAAAGATTCCTCAGTGACAGTTATGTCGCTGTCGTTATCATCTGCATCTTGACTTTGAACATTTCTACTTGAGCTAGATGAACAAAGCTCTAAAATTTGAATATATACAAGCTTTAATTACGCGCTTTATACTTTATGAATAGAAAACTCTTTCTCATTTAAAAATAAGGATTATTACTACATCAATATGCTGCTTGATAAGTAATATGCCTTACTTTTGGTGGGTTGTAAATCCTTTATTAAGCAAGACTGCCTCTTCCCTAAGAAAGATTGTTCTCATTTTAGTGTAAGAAAATACTTCTTAAATTCGTTATCAATTTATGAAATTAGATTGATGGCACTCTAATTTATACTTAGCAGTATAGACTAACCTGAATACCATGAGCTTTCAAGCGTATCGTTACATTTTTCATTCCCTTCACTTTGGTCCATAACTTTTATAAACCTTATTAGATCAGCCAGGTAGTAATGTTGTCGGTAATAAGGCAATTAATTATATTAAAATTTTAATTTCATGTTGAGAATAATTGTAATTAATCAGAGATTTCTAAGTACAAAAAATTCGTTACTAAGCATCTTAAACCCAAAAATGGCTAAATTTATTTTAAATATCGTAGTAATAATGTCTAATTCATATAAAATAGATACATGGTGTTATAAGCGTGGTAATCCATACCTACAATTACCGTTTCGATATTTTATTTGTAATCTGCTAGTAATTGTACGTTTGTATTAATATATAAGTGGCTGAAATTAGAAACGAAATGACTGAAATAGATATTTGATCAGCATATATAGGCGTAAATTATCGTGAACTGTAATGTCCTAATAGCATTTTATGACTATTATCATGCTTAAAATTGAAAAAGTTCTTAAAAATTCTCATAGCTTAGCAACGCTAGGTATAGCATCTGTATATCAATATATACGATATATAAGTATACCAGTGCCGTAAAGCGCGATGTAATTATGTATTGATATTTTTTAAATATTATTTTAAACGATATGCAGACTAGGACACCTCGATTGTGCATTGCTTGAGTTATGTTATTTATCTTGAGCTCTGTCTATCATTTTGATTACTGTATTACGGGCTCGATTAATAGTAAAAATTCCAGGTACTTTTGACTCTCAGATACCAGATAGAAAGATGCGATCTCAAATGTTACAATATTTCTAGATCGATCTGGTACAATCGTATCTGTTGTCATGGTGACTCGTGATTAAACTACTGAGTATATTGCAATAACGAGGACATCGATGCTACATTCAAAGCTCTTCTTGAAAGGAATACCTAAATTGCACATTTGATAATTAAGCTACAATTAGCCTTACTGTACGTGTAGCCTCCATCGATCGATTCATTTACGCCCGAGTAGTGTTAGATCGTAGCAAGTAAATACTTCTAAACTCTCAGATAACTGGAACGAGACTAAGTAGTGTCTCCATAGTTACTCTACTTTATTAACTAGAGACCTGGACACAGCATAGAAACTAAGATTATCAAAGTGATGGTAGATTTATTGAATACCTTTTGAAGAATTCAACTTAAATGCATTTATCATTAAATATCAACTAGCTCATTATTGTGTGTATCAGCTACAAATGATGGGTTGTAAAATGGAAGTATATGATCTTAAACGGAGATTATCGTAATGAAGTATTAGCAAATTTGATATTATGTAACATTGATAGGAATAATATACGATACCATCCTCTATGTATTCGATAAAATTTCGATGATTATACAAAATTTTAAACATTTGGAAAGTAGCGTTTACTGTATGTTGAAAAATTAGCTAAGTTATGAATTGTAAAATTATCGCGTTTATAATGCAAATATTAATGATCGAATTTCGATATTATCGATCGATACAATAATAAAGGTGAAATTGTAGTTATCGTATGATGTTAGGATTGTATTATTATCGGTAAGCTCCTATAGTGTAAGAAAATATTCAGTAATATAATTCTAACTGTCAATTTTTCGCAATGCATAGAGTTTTATGAATATAAAATATTTATGTAAGTTATTTAAACTGATTGTATTAGTAGATATTAATGAATACTAATATTATAAGACGTTTATGATCATCACGTAGGCTCATATTTATTGTTGCGAACGAATTAAATTTATTACTGGCTATATCTTGCGATAATAGGTAAAGATAAATTAAAAACTAGCGTCTGTTGCGGCTCATTAGTATTATTTACAGACAGCACTATTGGAGGTATAAATAATTGCCTATATATCGCACTATTAGTCGAAAGAAGATTTTACTGTTGAATTTCCTTGGCTGTTTTGGCTTTCTAAACGTTTTCGAATAGAAATTGGTCTTTGGTAGATGCTATTGTTACCAAAGCTACTTTTATAGGTATGGTTGTCGCTGTAAATAGGACTTGATGTTTGGTCTTGCGATAGTTTGGCTCTAACTGCATCGGGTGTTACTTTCTTATACGTAGAAGCTACACTATCAAGACTGGAATAACCATAATCTTCGTCATTTCTGTCCTCCTCCTTTATATTTGCCTTTGATTTTGACATTGATGTTAGAGTTCCATTTGAAAAACTAGCATTAATTATTCCATTAGTACTATTATCACTGGAAGTATCAGTTGTGCTAGAGTCGAATTCATCCGGTTGAAATTGAGAATCTTCGTCAATGGTGGTTAGTGCACCAGTATGGTCTAATTTAGCTCGGTCATGGGAAGACATGTGTGGGTTCACTCTATCAATTTGTACCGCCGTCGATTTGGGCTGAGCATAGGATATGGATGTCTTGATAGAATTGCTTGGGATAGTAGAATAGACTTGGTGGATATCATCGTCCTCATCATCGTCTGTTTTTTTGATTTCTCCGTTTGATTCTGCTTTTTTCACACTATCAGCAATTTTTGCATTCATATAGGTACTATTATATGGACTACTTTTGGTATCTCGACTTATGCTTGTGCTTACTGGATCATCGTTGCCTTCAAATGCTGGGTTTTGTCTACTACTAGCATGATTGCCCTTAAAGATTGGATTATTGTTGAGGTTACTTATGTCCACCAATGGATGATCTAAAGACTGTTTTGATTTACTAACTACATATTTATTACGATAATAAATGAAGAGTAGTAAAACCGCGAAAGCTATTATTGCAGCTATTACACCAAGAGAAATGGCGACGAAAAAGAGTGGAGATACTTAAAAGTAAAAATGAATGTTATCGTTAAAAACAAGCTGTTTTAAAAATGTAATCAATGTCTAAATATATTACTAAAATGGCTACTTTCGTAAAAACGTTATTAAATATTTTAAAATGTGAATAATTCTAATTCGGAAAGAATTTTTGATTTACCTATGTTAACACGTGTGTCTGGAGATATTTGTAATCCTTGTATTTGGCCGCTACTTGTATCTAGGTGTTGTATTAATGCTTGCATAGCCTTTTGTGCATCATCTGTGCTAGTATTTGTTTGCTATAAAGTAAGATTTTGTAAAATCGTAAATTATCTGACAGGTTTTAATTCACTGTACAATTTCATCAAAAATTGGACGATTTTTGTAATGACCGGACATATACGGGTTTAAAATACGAAATGATTTGCTAAATTAAATATTTGAGCGTTTGTAAAGAATATTTCTGACCTACATAACTGAAAAAACTTACTATAGCTAGGGCAATCCGAACGTCGGTGCCAATATTATCTGTTACATTACATTGCAAGACAAGGCTAGTATTTGTAGCATAATTTTTCAAAACCCGGACTCTTCTTAATCGATCACATATCTGGTTGATGGTAGTACCCTGGGAAAGAATTATCTTGATTAGAAACTTTTAAGTAAAATTGAGATATTCTTCTATTAGGTAGCTAATAAAGCTACTATTAAGACTAATCTTTGAAAGAATTATGGCTATTCGGTACCGTAATAAATGCTTCATAAGTTAAATTATACTGTAAAAAGAAGTTGATTGCTCATTAAACAATAATTAAGTTCATAAATTACATTAGGTAATTTAGCTGGAGAGATTTGATGGATTTCTCGATAACAGTTCGATGGAGCAGTTCCTTGGTAGTTTAAGCAGCTAAGCCCATCTTCACTATTTTGGCAGTAGCTTTGTGCGACACATGGCGATTGTAGGCAATTAGATTCGCTGTAAGAGACGCAAGAACCACCATTTGTACAAGAAACACTTGCTGAACAATTGCTTGGACCACACCAAACCTAATAATTAAATTTATCCAGTTTAGGCTTTTATTAATTTACAGTAATATAAGGGTATTCATCATCGATAAAGAAAATTAATTGGAGAAATCGTTATACCTGTGTGCAGGTTACTTGGCCGGATGAACAACTGCACTCATTGCAATCTGCCGGCCATTTAACACTATCTTGATAGACTATACCACCGTAGACGCAAATACCTAAGTGTAAATGTTTACAAGATAGAAATATGCGATAAGTTAGAATAGAGTTGATTAAATACTCATGTGAGATTGGTGTTAGGTAAGACAATACCATGAACTTTTTAATACATACGTGTGCTGCAATGTTGTCCAGTCCAAGTGGTAGGGCAAGTGCATGTATAACGGTTGACTTGGTCAGTACATGTACCTCCATTTTGACAAGGATTCGATGAGCACTCATCGATTTCTAAAAATGTGCAGAGAAAAGCGATGAATCGTAACACAGTCTTTGCTAGTAATTTTAAAAATACAATCGAATGAAGAAATTAAGAAAGGGTTTTTTATTCTATATACTTTGATAACTTACGTTGCTTACATAGCGGACCAGTATAGCCAGCAGAGCAGTTGCATACATATCCGCCAATAAGACCATTACAGCCTCCATTTGGTGAACAAATATTTTCGGATATGAGACTTCCAGAAGTGTCATAAACCTTACAGTAATCGATTCGAGAATCACATAATTGACCAGTATAACCTAAGCCGCAATTACAAGTGTAGCCATTGACTTGATCAATGCAGGTAGCGCCATTTTTGCAAAGAGAACCGGCGCAATCATCGATATTAGTTTCGCAGATTGTGCCAGTATAGCCTGTATTATTGCAATTGCAAGAATAACTGTTGATCAGATCCAAACATATTCCTTGGTGCAAACATGGTGTAGAAGCACATTCATTAATGTTCACTTCGCAATTTGTTCCTGTATATCCGAATGAACACTGGCAGGAATATCCCGCAATTAGATCATTACATTGCCCGTTATTTTGGCACGGCTGGCTTTGACACTCATCAATATTAACTGTACAATTAGTGCCCGTATAACCAGACCTATAATAAATCGAGAGTTAAATTAATTGGCATTCATTAAGGTTTCATTGACAGCAGGAATAGAATTAGTTATTAACTAGGTATAAAGCGCTGTTAAAATATTTACCCGCAATTACACTTGTATCCATTTACTTGATCAACACATTGACCATTATTAGCACAAGAATTCGGCTCACAATCATTTATGTCTACCGTACAAAATGTACCAGTATAACCAGGTAGGCAACTGCAACTATATCCATCAACTTTATCTACACAAGTACTTCCGGATGCGCACTGATTACTTTGGCATTCATCGATGTTAACTCCACAGCTGGAACCAGTAAATCCTCTAGCACATACACATTGATATTGGTTAACATTATTAAGACATGATCCGCCGTTTTGACATGGACCACTTTGGCATTCATCAATGTTAGTTTCACAGCTTTTGCCGGTATAACCAGGATTGCAACTGCAGGAGTAATTGCTAACTAAATCGGTACACGTGCCAAAGACGCAATTTCGTGGATCTTGACACTCGTTAATATCAACACCACAGTTACTTCCGGTATATCCAGTGGTACAACTACATATAAATCCGTCTACTTGATCTATGCAACTGCCGTTGATACATGGATTGGAAGCACATTCATTAATGTTGGTTTCGCATAATTGTCCGGTAAATCCAATTCTACATCAACAGGAATAAGATCCGATTCTGTCTACACAAACTCCTCCACTAGTACAAGGTGAGCTACTGCATTCATTGATTTCTGTTTCACAGTGAGTTCCAGTGTAGCCATTACATTGGCAGGTATAACCGTTCACTTGGTCATTGCATGTTCCACCGTGTTGACAAGGAGAAGATGTACATTCATTAATATTAACTTCACATCGGCTACCTTGATAGCCAGCAGGACAAGTACAGTTATATTCATTAATGCCATCGTTGCATGCACCAGTAGCGCAAGGATTGCTGCTACATTCGTTGATATTTGTTTGGCATTGATTTCCTGTAAATCCATTTTGACAGCTACATGAATAGCTATTAATATTGTTAGTACATGCACCACCATTAGTGCAAGGGTTACTACTGCATTCATTAATATCGATCTGGCATGATGTACCAGTATAACCAGCAGAACAAGTACATTGATAGCCATTGCGTAAGTCAGTACAATTTCCGTCATGTAAGCATGGCTTCCCTTCACAGTTGTCAACACATAGGAGGCCTTGCAGGTTATTTGGACATTTGCATTGAAAGCTATTTACGCCATCTGTACAGTTACCATCATTATGACAAGGATTAGGCGAGCAATCATCGATATTGTTTTGACAAGACGTACCATTAAAGCCTGCAATACACTGACAGACATATTGATTGACTCGGTCGAAACAAGTACCATTATTAAGGCATGGGTTGCTGCTACATTCGTTAATATCTTGTTCACAATGCGTACCAGTATATCCATTAGCACAACTACAAGAATAGCTATTAATCTGTTCATTGCAGGTACTACCATGTTGGCATGGATCACTAGAGCATTCTGCGATATCAGACTGGCAAGTTTTACCGGTGTAACCAGCAATGCAATTGCAACTGAAATCATTGATTTGGTCTGTACAAGTACCGCCATGACTGCATGGTGTTGCAGCGCAATCATTGATATTATTTTCGCAATTGGTACCGTTATAACCAGCAATGCAATAGCATTGATATGAATTAACTTCATCTTGGCAGGTGCCATTATGATTGCATGGGCCACTAGCACATTCATTGATGTTAGTTTCACAGTTTACATCCGTATAGCCGCTGGCACATGAACAGCTATAACTGTTGATAGCATCTTGACATGTTCCTCCTTTATAACCAACAATGATAATTAATAAAGTACGTAATTTGATGGAATAGGCATAATTACAGTGCACAGACTAACTTAGGTATATTCATACTATTCACACCAATAAACTGAAATTAATATACAATATTTACAACTAGCTATATTCTTTGAATAAACGTGTGCAACTTATACTCCATTATTGGTCTGTAATAGCTTTGCTATAGCATAATTATCTGATGCGATACTTAGCATTAGTATATAATACTTTACCATGTCGGCATGGCGTTGATTGACATTCATTAATATTTACTTCGCAGTTTTTACCAGTATACCCTCCCATACAAGTGCAGCGGTAGTCGTTGATTTGATCCGTACAGGTACCACCGTTAATACACGGGGTAGAATTACATTCATTGATGTTTATTTGGCACGTTGTGCCGTTAAAACCAGCCTTGCATTGACAGCCAAATTGATTGATATCATCGATACAGGTACCATTATTCAAGCATGGTTGGCTAGTACATTCATTAATATTAGTTTGGCAGTTGATATTAGTAAATCCAGCTTGACAGGTACACTGATAGGCGCTAACAAGATCCTAAGTCGGAGAATATTGCAAAATGAGGAATATGAGTAATTATAGTAATATACTGTACATTTGTGTATGTACACATAATACTTTTACCATTCCTTATGAGATTTTACCTGGCATGTGCCATTATTTTGGCAAGGCTGAGGGCTACAATCATCGATATCTAGTATGAAGTAAGCAAAATTTATTTCAATAACCAAGTTTATACCTTAATTAAAAAGTGATATTAATGTAAATACCATTGGCTTTAATTCAGTTACATACTTATTTGGCACATTTTTCCGGTATAGCCTTGGATGCAATTGCAGCGATAATCAAGCACTTGATCAAAGCATGTGCCGTTATTTTGGCATGGGGCTGCAGTGCAATCGTTTATATCTATATAAAAAATCATTTCATTTCAGAATATTATACAAACAACAATTTTAAAATTATATATCCAGTATTTGGCATAAACTATTAGGGCCCATAGATGGTTGATTATACAATTGGGTAATTGTTAGTTGATAAACTGAATTGAATAGAGTAGAGGCTTACCATTTTGACAGTGGTATCCATTAAATCCTGTGTTATTACATATGCATGAATAACCGTTTATTCCATCTTGACAAGTTCCGCCATTCTGGCATGGATTTGATAAGCATTCATTAACGTTTATTTGGCATGTCGTGCCGTTGTAACCGGATGCACAGTTACAGCTATAGGAAGCGATCTGGTCTATACATGAGCCTCCATTGATGCATGGAGATGAAGAACATTCGTCAATATCTGCAAATGCGGTAGAGCAAATTGAAAATTAGAAAATATCGGATACTTTAATTTAGTAAAAGTATGTACGAATTACTTATTTCACAACTCTTTCCCGTGTAGCCGGCACTACATGTACAGCTATAATCGTTAACCCAATCCGAACAGTTTCCATTATGAAGACACGGATTGCCAGCGCAGTCATCGATATCTGAAAATGTTATTAATAAAGCAATTTGCTTCAACCATACAAGTACTAGTATCAAATAGCAATTATATGACGCATAGTATACGAAAAAATATATCTATGGCAATAATAGGGAATAAGTCTTACTTGTTTCACAATGAGTTCCATTGAAACCAGTTGATGTGCAATTACATGAATAACTATTTATACCATCGATGCACTGCCCACCATTTTTACATGGAGATGATAAACACTCATTAATATTGCTATTACAGTGGGTACCAGTATAACCGGCTGAACAGCTACAATTGTAACCATTGACTAAATCATTACACGATCCTTGGAAACATGGATTACTGGTACATTCATTGATATTGGTTTCACAATTGGTATCTGTATAGCCAGCTGTACATGTGCAGTTATAACGGTTAATTAAATCAATACAAGTTCCGTTATATTGGCATGGATTTGATGCACATTCATCAACATTCATTTCACAATGAACGCCTTTATAACCAGACTGACATGAACAGTTATACATGTTAACCATATCTTTGCATACGCCATTATTCAAGCATGGTAAACTATTACATTCGTTGATATCTGTTTCACATTGATATCCAGTATAACCAGGTAAGCATGAACAATTATATTTATTAACATGATCATGACACTGACCACCGTTCAGGCAAGGCAGTGAATTGCATTCATTATAGTCAATTTGGCAGTTTGTTCCCAAAAATCCTGGCAAGCAAGTGCAGTTATATCGATTGACGAGATTGTGACAAGTAGCTTGATTTTGGCAAGGATTACTATTGCATTCATCAATTTCTGTTTCACAATCGTATCCAGTATAGCCAGGTAAGCATGAACAGTCATATTGATCGATTAGATCGTTGCATATGCCATCATTTAAACATGGGCCACTTTCGCATTCGTTGATATTAGTTTGACATTCATTTCCTGCATAACCAGGTACGCAAGTACAATTATAGCCATTGATTAAATCTTGGCATGTTCCACCATTTTGACATGGACTGCTTATGCATTCATTAATATTAGTTTGACAGTCAGTTCCAGTAAATCCAGCGATGCAGTTACAGGAATATTTGTTAATTTGATTGACACATTCTCCATCGTTTTGGCATGGCATTGATAGACATTCATCAATATCTTGCTCACAATGTGTTCCCGTGTAGCCAGCAACACACTGACAATTATAACCGTTAATTGCATCAGCGCATGTAGCACTATTTTGACAAGGAGAGGAACTGCATTCATTAATGTCTTTTGCACAAAAAAGAAACAAAGATATTAAGAAATTGCGTTACGCACTACTTAAATTAGGTATAGATCACTAAAATATATTAATATTAGACTCGGAACTAACTTATTGTGCACTGATCGCCTGTGAATCCAGATGCACAAGTACAATTATAATAGTTTGGTGCAGAGTTGATGCACGTAGCTTCATTATGACAGGGCGTGAATCTACATCGATTAATATCTATATTTACAAAGTAAGAAGAGCAATCCAAATGATTAGTAACTCACTTACCGACGATCCACTAGGTAATTGTCGAATATAACAGAGTAGACAGTGCAATGTATGCTTGTATATATATATACTGTAGATTCTTACCATCTTGACAAATATTCCCAGAATAATCCGACGTACAATTGCAAGTAAATGAATTTACTTTATCAATGCATACACCATTATTTAGACATGGCTGGACATGACATTCGTTAATATCTGTTTGCAGTACAAAAATATTTATACCTTAGTAGCTTTATCATGTATTGATACTACACTAGGACCTATAATTTACAAAGTGTATTCGAATTTAGCATACAGTTTCCAATGGCTTTCTAATTGAAATCAGTAATTAAATTTTCGACTTACCATTTTCACAATTGGTACCGTTAAAGCCGGAACCGCAATTGCATCTGTATTGATTTGCACCAACATTGATACACGTACCACTGTTTTGGCATGGTGTTATCCTGCATCGATTATGATCTATAAGGTTGATAGTTATATACGGTAAAGAAAATCTTAGCATAATATTTTTCCTTGTTAAAGTCAATATTCTTTAGCTAAAAGACGTATGATACAAACAGAAAATTAATAAGACAATTGACTCTTTGGTATCTTTATTTATCATTAGGATCCTTACATGAGATATTCTACTATGCTTTACACGTTCAACTTACCGTGTTCACAAAGTGTTCCATTATAATCTTGTGTACAAACACAAACATATCCATTTATCGAATCACTACAGCTTGCATTGTTACTGCATGGGCTAGAAACGCATTCGTCGATATCTGTAGTACGAACATTGATTGGAGGGTTAGAAATAAATTTACGCGCTGGTAATGCAGAGACAGCGGCTAGCTACAATAGACATGAGGTATTGATTACTTGTTTCGCAATGAATTCCTGTGAATCCAGCAGCACAGCTGCAGTTAAAAGTATCAGGGAAGATATTGGAACAGGTAGCGCTGTTTAAACATGGCTCTAGGCGGCATCGATTATTATCTGTAGCAAAATAGGAAATTATAAAAAGTTATTTACACCGATAAATTTAAGCTAACTTATTTTACGTCAATTAGAGTATATGAATTCTATTTTGAAAATTATTATAATCCTTAGGCCTTAATAATCGCAAATATATGGAATAGATAACATTTTACATACCATATTGGCAATTAGAACCACTAAAATTGGTTTTGCAAACGCAGTCGTTACCCAAGACACAATTTCCATTAGCTGTGCAATGGTTAATAAGAAATATATGTATGACAGTCAATGATAATATCTTTATAGCTAAAGAAGATCAATTCTACCACTAGATTAATTTATTTTTTACCTGTACATCCCTCTTTGATCACACACTGCATGCAGGTGTTTCCTGTCCAACCACTATTGCATCTATTTGGTTTGAAGTAAAATTTCATTATAAATACACAGGGAAACATAATCTTTTGGACAATTATTTTTAAGACAATTTATGAAGCTACTGAAAGTTTTTTGGAAAGAATTTAATATTTTTAACCAACTTACAAACACTCTCCTGGCGCATTTGTACAATTGGCATGAGATAAATCGCAGCCATCCCTACATATAGCTTTAACAAAAAGTATATACGTATACAATAAGTCATTTTATTTAAATGAAATAGTAATTGCTGTAATTCCATTTTTTAAAAGCTTCATTTAGTTTTAAAATCATTATAAGTTTGTTTGGATAATCAAAATTACCAGTATCGCAGGTTTTTCCTGTCCAACCCGTAGTGCAAGAACAGTTATAATGGTTAATCATGTCATTACAAGTAGCATTATTTAAGCATGGATTGGAGGAACATTCATTGATTTCTGTCAAAGATATGTTGAAAAATGTATTGGTTACTTCATTAATCACAGTTACATCAGAGCTTATGCGATAGTTAATAGTTGTAATATCCAAATATTGCTTTGTAAGTATTTTAACCAGTTGCGTTGAAATGCAATAACTAAATAAGTTGAATGACTGACTACTCGGTGTAAAGTTTAATTAATTTGTTAATGGTTGTATTAACAGACCTGTTTCGCAATTATTTCTAGTATATCCTGGAACACAACTGCAAGTATAATTATTAACTCCATTATTATTGCATGTGGCGCCGTTACTACAAGGGTTGCTTCTGCAAGAATTTAGGTCTGTAAAACGATATTAAAAACGCTTACCATGGGGTACATTGAAAAAATGGAATTTTAATTCTGTTTATAGAAGAAACAGTATATCGAAAATCATAATAGATGGAAAGATCAATGGTACTTGTAATATCCTACTTACCATTTTGACAGTTTACACCTGTATAATTAGCCATACAAGCACAGCTGTATGCATATGGTGTGGTATAAGAACAATTTCCACCATTTGTACATGGAGGCGCTATTCTACAAGGGTTCATGTCTACAAAATATGTATAAATTAAGTTCTTTAGCTGGATCGGAAATAAAATTAAACTTAAAGTACACGAAACAAAATTTATAGCTGTTAATGACAAAAATTATGAGTCTATTAGCGCTTAATCATGAAACTTCTAAATATCTATAAATTTGAAAGCTGGCTTATATATCGTAGATCACGTTTTCATTTACGGCGTACATGGCAAAGTAATCCCGTTTTTGAGGAACATTTTATCTGATAATCCTGACACTAGTGTGATAGTAGCAGCAGTATTTGCTGTCATTTATTTAACGCTGCAGTTGCATTTTAATAATGGTACCCTACCTTGTTCGCAATGAACCCCTGTATACTGCGTTGGACATTGGCATGTATATCTATTGATTTGATCGATACATGTTGCTTGTATATGTTGGCAAGGATTGGATGCACATTCATCGATATCTTTGAGTACAAACAAATATAAAAATAAAATCGTATTATTCAATGATCAATGATAAAAATCTTTTAAACATCTCAAGTAGAATTAAGCTAAATTACTTTGTTCACAAGTTATGCCAGTATATCCAGCTGCACAATTACATATGAAAGAATTAGCCCCATTATTGATGCAAGTGCTGTTGTATTTGCAAGGAGAGCTGCGACAGCTATTTAAATCTGTAAAAAGTATATAAGTTGGATCCAGTGGAATAAAAGAGTATGTATTTAAATTTATTTAGTGGCACCTGCATAAATGCATTTAATTACTAAAATGCATCTCAATCCAACATACCATTTTTACAGTTATTTCCAGAGTAATTGGCTGCACACGTACACGTATAAGTGTCAATACCTGTGGCTGAACATGTACCGCCATTCTGACATAAGCTGCTGTTTTTTCGACAAGCATTTCCATCTTGTGAGAGTAACCGCAGTATAAGTTAATTAAAATGAGAAATTACTATCTCTGTATGCTTAAATTACAATAGATGCTCAACGAAATACGACTAAATAATTTATATCAAGTTTAAGATTTCTATACCGGTTTCGCAATGATTTCCAGTCCAGTCAAATAGACAATTACAAACATAGAAGCTGACTTGATCTTGGCATGTACCACCATTTTGGCATGGATTTGAAGAACACTCATTTATATCTATAAGAGAGTTATGGACGTAGAATATTAATTTATCCTGAAATTAGGAACTAATTGATTTTAATTTCTAATTATCAGAGATCTTACTTATTTGGCAGTTAGTGCCAGTATATCCGGTAGCACAGCTACATGCATAGTTATTAACGTTATCTGTACAGCTACCACCATTCTGACATGGGGTTGATTGGCATTCGTTGATATCTATGTGATTATATACCAACAAAAGGATTATATAAAAATGAGACGGAAATTAAGTCTATAAACTATTGCAATTTCATTAAAATGTAACAGATTGTTCTGTGTTAAAGAACGCTTATTTGTTGACAAAATCTGTAAAACCTTGTTACAATATAATCAGATTATTTATATTCAGCTTATTATAATAAAAGATGTAACGAATCTAACCTTGATCACAATTGGTTCCTGTATAACCAGGAGCACATGTACAAGAATAAGTAAATACTCCTGTAGCAGCACATGTAGCTCCGTTTTTACAAGGTGCACTTATGCGACATTTATTAGCGTCTAAAGAATAAATAAATAAATGTTAATATAGATCCTCGTTAAGATAACTTGTAACAAGTTGTAATTATCGGTTCAGTATTAGTTACACTGTCATAATCAGTTAAGTAACGAATTACCAGTTTCGCAATGTGTACCAGTCCAATCAGAAGGACAATTGCATGTATATCCGTTTATTCCATCAACACATGTAGCATGGGTATGCTGACATGGATTCGATGCGCATTCGTCAATGTCTAGCATTAAATAGGTAATATCAAGTCGTGTAAGAAATGGTTAAGCTGATCTTAATTATATAAGTTTTACTTGTGGTACAGATAGCTCCAGTATATCCAGCTGCACACGTGCAATTATAATAAAGATGGTAATCGTTGCATGTTGCTCCGTTAAGGCAAGGTGTAGAGGCACATTCAGCAACATCTACAAAAGAATTAGATAAAAGTTAGACGATAAATTAGGGTAATAAAGTTACAGCAATTTCATTACAATGTAACAGTTTTTCTTAGCTATAGAACGCTTATTTGTTAACAAAAACTGTAATAAATATTATATTGCTTTCGTAAGTCTACATTTAAACTGGTCGAAATGTTTACCTAATGCACAGTTTGATCCGGTATAACCGGATGTACAAGTGCATGTATAGTCATTAATACCATCTGTACAAGTTGATGAGTGTTGACAGGGATTTGATGAACATTCATCAATGTCTATAAATAGCAAAATAAATTGAAATTATTGACTTCAATTTCCTTACATAAAATTGGAAAAAGATAAGTTTTAAAGGAAGAATGTGGCTCAAATAATTTCTGTCTTATGCAAATTTCTCTCAATTTGACTGAACGAACAAATATTTTAGAGTTTAATATAAATTTACTTGTTCCGCATTGGGTTCCAGTATATCCTGCAGCACATATACAATTGTATTTATTAACCAAGTTATCACAGGTTGCACCATTTAAGCACGGAGTCGATATGCATTCATTGACATCTAAATCATTCAATTTCGACATAAGAGTTTAGCAAGTGTAGGCTAATATCTCAAATTTTACAGCATGATACGAGTGAAAAACATATGAAGAATACGTGCATGGTTACCTTGATCACAATTTATTCCTGTATATCCTGGCGCACAAGTACATGTGTAAACGTTGAGGCTAACATAAGAACAAGTACCTCCGTTCTGACATGGTGAAGATAATCGGCATAAATTGCCATCTGGTGTAAATGAAAACAATGTTATTCATTAATTATTTTATCCAGTACACAGTACAATTTAGAATTATATGTCATTAATTATCTTGATACAATTCATTATATATATATAGTTAAGTATTCAGAATTGATGATAGATACCAGTTTCACAATGAGCTCCTGTCCAATCAGAAGGACAATTGCAAGTGTAACTATTTACACCATCAACACATGTAGAGTAAGCATGTTGACATGGATTCGATACACATTCGTCGATATCTATCATGTAGTTTAATTAGATAGAGTAGATTAAGGGTAAGTAAATACCTCAAATACTATCAGCCAGCCTCAAGAATATATTTACGTATAATAGACACTATATTGCAGTCGAGGCTACTTTGAAAGCTGAATTTAATTAAGTAAAGTTTACTTGTGCTGCAGATCGCTCCTGTATATCCGGCTGCACATGTGCAATTATAGTAGAGATGATAGTCGTGGCATGTTGCTCCGTTAAGGCAAGGTATAGAGGTACATTCTGCAAAATCTACAAAAGCATTTTATAAAATTAGACGGAAATTAAGTCTATAAACTATTGCAATTTCATTAAAATGTAACAGATTGTTCTGTGTTAAAGAACGCTTATTTGTTGACAAATTTTGTAAAATCTTGTTACAACAGAATCAGATTATTTATATTCAGCTTATTATAATAAAAGATGTAACGAATCTAACCTTGATCACAATTGGTTCCTGTATAACCAGGAGCACATGTACAAGAATAAGTAAATACTCCTGTAGCAGCACATGTAGCTCCGTTTTTACAAGGTGCACTTATGCGACATTTATTAGCGTCTAAAGAATAAATAAATAAATGTTAATATAGATCCACGTTACGATAACTTGTAACAAGTTGTGATTATCGGTTCAGTATTAGTTACACTGTCATAATCAGTTAAGTAACGAATTACCAGTTTCGCAATGTGTACCAGTCCAATCAGAAGGACAATTGCATGTATATCCGTTTATTCCATCAACACATGTAGCATGGGTATGCTGACATGGATTCGATGCACATTCGTCAATGTCTAGCATTAAATAGGTAAATATCGAGTCGTGTAAGAAATGGTTAAGTTGATCTTAATTATATAAGTTTTACTTGTGGTACAGATAGCTCCAGTATATCCAGCTGCACACGTGCAATTATAATAAAGATGGTAATCGTTGCATGTTGCTCCGTTAAGGCAAGGTGTAGAGGCACATTCAGCAACATCTACAAAAGAATTAGATAAAAATTAGACGATAAATTAGAGTAATAAAGTTACAGCAATTTCATTACAATGTAACAGTTTTTCTTAGCTAAAGAACGCTTATTTGTTAACAAAAACTGTATAATCCTATTACAACATAATCAAATTGTTTATATTGATTTTATTATTAAGGATGATATAAAGAAAACAAACCTTGATCGCAATTGGTTCCTGTATAACCGGAAGTACAAGTGCATTTATATGTGCTTACTCCTGTGGCAGCACATGTTGCTCCATTTTTACAAGGTGCACTTCTGCGACATTCATTAGCATCTAAAGAATAAATAAATGTTATTATAGATTATATTTACGTTCAATTTTAACAAATGGAGTTTATATTGGCTTAGCGTTAATCAAACTGTCATACTAAGTTAAACAACAAATTACCAATGTCGCAATGTGTGCCAGTCCAGTCAGAAGGACACTGGCACGTATATCCATTTATTCCATCAAGACATGTAGCATAGACATGCTGGCATGGACTGGATGCACATTCATTAATATCTGGTATTAAATTTGCAAATATTAAGTCTTTCAGCTTATATTTAAAAGCAATCGTCTATTGCAATGAGGTGTATTTAAAGTTTGAGAATAATGATCGAAACAGGATATTAACATACTTGAACTACAATCTGATCCGGTATAGCCATTAGCACAACTGCATGTATAACTGTTGACACCATCGACACAAGTTCCACCATTTTGGCAAGTTATACTGGCACAATCATCAATATCTAAGGATGACAGAGATGAAAACGATACATATGTAAGTGTTTTCTTTAATTTTTGCTTAAAATATCTTTTGTAACGAGTTGGATTCAGAATTCTATCGCAAGTGTATTTAAGCCATGGTATATTCTTCTAGAGAAAAATTCTTATGGAATTATTTGCAAGCTAAGTATATTATGAACGATATGTTTCTATCTTTAATTGTGTATATTAAACCGCAATATATATGCAGATCTAATTACATATGTGAATATTTTCACTTTATCTAATTAATAACTTTGGTTTCTTACTAGATGCGCAAGTTGATCCAGTAAAGCCAGTTTCACATGCACAAGTATAAGTATTGATTCCAGTATAGGTACATGTGCCGCTATTTTGACAAGGAGTACTCGATCGACAAAGATTTCCATCTATTTTTGTAGGAATGTAGATGAGACGTTATACTAAGTATGAATTATTGTAAAACAGCAATTTGTTATTTAATTAATCAAATCATCTAAAGCTTATTGCAGAAATCCATTCTGACAAGGTATAAATTAATTATCCGTAGATTAAGAATCTTACCGGTTTCACAGTTAGTCCCAGTCCATTCTTTGGGGCAGGTACAGGAATACGAATTGACGTTGTTATGACAAGTTGCATAAACATGTTGGCATGGATTAGATGCACACTCGTTAATGTCTATAGTTAAAAAGTAAATATTGTAGTTAGTACGTATGAATCCAATTTCTTCCAGAGTCGGCATTTTATTATATGCGTTATAAAACAATTATTAGACTACTAGGCGATTAAAGTTACGCGTACATTCTTTATCGTAAGATAATAGTAGAAATCTTATAGTTAGTTTACGATATACCTGTTTGACAGTTTGTGCCAGTGTAGCCTGTCACGCAGGAACAAGTGTAAGCATTTGCCCCATTATTTGCACATGTGCCACCATTCTGACAGGGGGTACTACGACAGCTATTTAAATCTAATTAAATTAAAACAAATAGTTCTTTAATAAGTATATAAGTTCATGAATTTAATACAGGCATGTATTTCGTTAATATATAGCTAAAACTGTCTTTTCGAATATCAATTAGGAACAAGGAATACCTTGAAAAAGTGATGGTTCAATTAATGCAAAAATTAAATTATATTTATAGGAACGCTTAAACTCGAAGTTTACTTGCACTTAGAACTGCGTTTATCTGGTTAAATGTATTTAATATCTTAGATATCGTATTTATTTGAATATTATCAGATTTATAGATGCAACTCGTGCAAGTAATGGCGTATTCCTACCGGTGTTACAATCTGTCCCAGACCATGTACTTTCACAAGTAACAGAAACCTTTAATGTAAATTCGGATTTATTATCAGTGATGGGCCGAGAACCAGTCATGGTGATTGTTGATGAAGATCCAGGTATAACATAAAATGTGCTTGAAAGTTTGTCAAGTAAGTCGTCAGCACCATCACTATAATCTTTATCCATAGATGTAATATGTACATTGACATAGCCCTAAAGCAAAGATCTTTGTTACTCCAAAACAAATTGATAATCCAAAATAACTTTAAGTTACATTTTTAAACACTTACTTCGTATCGTTCACTGATTGAACCTTGATAAGGATTATTTACGCCACTATCTGTTAGCGCTTGACTACTTGTGAAAGTTATAGTTTCACCGCCATCCCATACTTTAGTAGTTAGAGAACCATAAGTACATGCATCATTGATATTGCCTTTATTACTGCATAAAATGAAGTAATAGTTGCATGAAGAGAAAGTATCGCATTTGCCATTATCCCAGTTGCGTTCATTCTTGTTGTAATATTTTTGAAATTCGTAAGTGACGTAAGCATGAACATCAGCTTCAACGTACTGTAATTATTTGGAAAGGTGAGAAGAAAATATTAGGTGCTTTTACTTAAATAATCGATAATTACCGATTTTGGCACAGATACATTTATTTAAATCCGTAGTCGATATAAATAACTAAACAAGGAATTATCAGAATTACTATGCTATCTTCAGTAAAGATAGTCTTCATGATCACAATATTGTCAACAGTTCATTGTTAATGTAAAAGACATAAGCGGAAAAGGAAAAGTTTAATATAGCAATACACAGCCGCCCCTTCTGTTACAAGGCAGTGTTGATCATGGCTGTGCTACGTTTTGAAACTATAAAGTTGAAGGTTAGGCAGTTGGGCATTATGAAAATTACATTATTAATCTTTAATTTGATGGAAATGTGTTGCATTTTTACTGCATTAGTAAAGAAAGGACTACTTGTAAGAAGAATTTTAATCTATGATTTGTAATGCAAATTCTCCCATAGTACTTCAACTTCTAACCTTTAAGCTTTTGACCTATGAAGTTAAAAATTACTTGATTCTTTTATATTATGATACTGTGGAATTCTAACGTATAATTGTGGGTGTATAATATGTGATATTAATACTGTATTATTAAAAGCACGTTGTCGTCGATGATGAATTTGAGTGCGAGAAAGGAATTTATTTATCTTAATACATTCTCATCCTAAAATCTGATGAAATTGATGTAGATGTCAACATCGGGTGAAATCATGTATCTTATTGTATCTGGTATGATTGTTACCGTGATGATGAGTGTCATATCGGGCAATTGAAGCATGAATTTTTATTATCTTTTCAGTAGGCGTATGATATTATCTATGTCTTAAAAAGTAATCATTCTAAGAAGTGCATTTGAATACGCTTCAGCGATAATAAGTAACAATCGATAATGCATGATATTACTTTAATTTCTAATCTGAGTTGAAGTTAGTAGATAGCATGTTTTAAAGCAGCCGTAATAACATAAAGGAACTACAACATCTGGCAATTGCTTATCAATTAAAATTGTAAACGATGTTATGATACTAAAGGCATAGTATCACTTCCAATAAAGATAGAGAGTAAGTTTAAGTAATTTAAAATTTAGAATAATGATTTTAATCCTATCAATATAATATAGGAAATTTACCAAAAATTTTCAATTATTTGGCTAACATCTGTTACTCATTAAGGTATTTTATAATAAGATAGTAGAAGCTGATATGTTATACATATATATAAGCTATGCTACATTGGGCTAAAGAAAAATATGTACGCCTTCATGCACTAGAATGTTCAGTCATATTTATTAAATTACCTGTAAATTAGATAGCGCTAGAACAGCTATTAATAGTAATAACTTGATATTGAGATGGATCATTTTTGTCGAAAACCGATTTGATATGATGAACGCTGAAGAGAAGAGACTTCAATGGTTAGTTAAATAAAATTAGTACCATGGATTAAATTTCAACCAGGGATCAAAACGATTGTAAAGATGACAAATAAAGTTTAATTATTGGTTGTATAGTATCCAATGTTTAAATCAAATTCGTAACATGAATTGATTTAAAGGTATTATAAACCGATCTATGTCGATTTAGGAAAATTTTTACGATAGTTACCAGTGCTTTAAGAACGTCAATAAGTTAATCAAGAATTAACCAAGAAATGACTGATATATGCGTTCAATCTTTGACACGAAAACAATGTAAAACTTGTTGAATGTAACGATGTTGATATGAAATTTTGCATATCATTGGCTACTATTGAGTACCGGAATACTATTGTTCTTAGTGCGATGCTATTTCATAGTATCCAAGTCACGCGGCTGTGTTATCACTCAGGGTGGTTAAATCGCATTACGGGGCATTAATGCGTTTATGATTGACTCCAATTGCATATCAAATTTGGAAATAGCCCAACTATTATCTTGAAGACAATCAAAAAGTTGACGATTGTTCATGAGGCTATCCCTTGATTGTACTAAAACTAAAATGCTATTATTTGACATGGTAGTGAATGAGTCATTAATTGCCTTGTGCTTTATGGTATAATATGCTAGAATTTAATATGAATAATGTTCAACTAATCGCTACAGATCTGCTCTTGATTTACAACGATGAAATACTTAATGGCTAAGAATGCGAGGATCACTTCTACCGCAGTTATCGATCTTCCTTTTATATATCATGTTTTTTTCATTATATGTACAATTGAATCACGATAGTATAAGGAACATAAATTCAATAAAGGTTGGATGTCTGTGACCTAGGTATATGAGTTTAGGTGTGCTTTGTAATTGGATTTATTAATTATTAATAGCAGGATGTATTAATGATCATGAGATAAAGGATCTCTTGAAGGAATCTAATCGATAGCCAGTGGACACGTTTGATTTCGAGATTGTTATAATAATGGTATTTTAATTTCTAAAAATATTAATAGATTGTTCAATTTTCAAGAAATGCATACTAAATTAAATCAGTCGGAATTGTAGTTCCGAATGATAGTGATGTAAATAGTAAGATGTTGAAAAAGCTGCAAATAAATACAATACAAAGTATCCGTCAGTTTATGTGATGCAATACAACCTTCTATTCAATATTTGTAGAAAATGCTTTCGATAGAATTGCAAAGTATCTTTCTGATTAACTTTCGACTATGAACGTAAGTGTAATATGAATAATTTGGTACATCTACATTCGTATAACTTAATATTGTTGTTAAAGGTCGACGAAGAAATTTCAAGTGCAGTAGATTATATCCTGCTATTGGATATTAATTTAGTCAAACGTTGGCACCCAAGATTTCATTTTGAACTCCATTAAATATGTTCTCAGGGCCATCAAGACAATTTAGATTAGTTTTAGTTATTCAAAGTGCTGTATATTGATTAATTCTAACATTCTCATTAATAAATGTTAAACATTAATAATTCAGATCTAACTACACGAAAAGCAAAAAGTCCAACTTGGGTGGTGTAGATTAGCATATGTCAATATTATTGTTGATGATTACGGAGAAATGGAGAATGTCTTACAATATTGCAAGTAAAGGTCAGAATAGCTTTATGTACGTAGAAAATATTCTAAATATCATAGTTACACCCTCTATTCTAGCCATTGTTGACAAACGACGAAACTTTGTTGACTGTTTTATAAAGTCAATACGTGATTGTCCTTGCAGATAACGTATATTCCTGTTGCTTGGAAACAACCATTCTAATTGTAATTTACATGAGACGATTACCTATGGTCAGTTGTTTATAATTATAGTCGCTGTCATTACGAGAATATAATCTTATTCAATGTCTTCAACAAATCTGTAAGTGGTAGTCAATTAAATTCATGTTTTAATTGGCGGGATAGCAAGATTCCCTGTAAACCGATAAGTAGTTATTGTTATCAGATAATACATTAGGATTTACGATCCTGTCATTGTTACGGTGTTGCCTTGTCATTAGGATAGTTTACTAAGTACAGTAGTAGCTAGTATGGAGAATATCCATTTTTGTAGTACTAGGTAAGATAAGTAATGCCTTAACGTGGATGTTGTTTGTAATAGTTCATTACATACTTGATATTGATTGTTATTATGTGACAGATAGTACTAAGATGATTCAAGTTCTAGTTGATGATAGTTGAATTAGACAACCTACGAGCTTAGATTAAGATTAAGTATAAGTAAGAGATTCAAAATATTTACTGATAGGAAAGCTATGTAAGGAACATCTCAGTTCGAGATGTTTCTCCTAGTAAGATATAACAATAATACTGTTGTTGTTTAGAAATTAGACGGTTCCTATATAAACGGAAACATTTTGAGTTCAGTGTTGGTAAAAAGTAGTAGATGTATCTTTGCTAATTTAAGTTTCATCTTTACAGTCTTTTGCTGAGTGTGTTTAACGTTAAGTAAAAGGGCGTTTAAGTCAGTAGCTACTCATAGACTTTTACTGTACGTTACCTTGTCGCAGAGGTGAAATTGTGACAGCCATTTATTCAGTACCGTTGGCGACCGCCTGATGAGTTAGACAGTCTAAATTCACCTTCCGTCTTCATTGTTATGTTATAAATGCCATAAGGATATTGTCCTTTTAGGTTCATAACAAAAGTTTTGAAATAGTTCAAAGCTGGATTGCCTTTAAACTGCACTAATTTATAATTACGGTCATATCTTTATTTTTAATTTCTATGTAATGATATTTTCCTGATATGTAGACTGTATTGTGCCGGGTGATATGATGCAATTGCTATGATAGGCAACATAATAGTGGCTATGGATAATTACTATTTGCTAATTAACTTAATACAAGTTTATTTTCCTTTATGTATACAAGGATTATCAGATAGTTTCAGTTTTTTAATAGATTTAAGTAATTTATAATTAAAGTGAAATTAGCTAATGTTAATATAATATTGTATAGTTTAAGATTTATTCGTTAATTATCTGTAAGACAGTGTAATATTGTATTCTAAGTTAATGATATATTTAGTAATGTCTACCGTAGGTGTTGTGTTCAACATGTGATAGATATTCTCGTTAGAAGCTTAAGTATTAAATATAGCTAGCTTAGTAACTGTAATCCTTTTGAAGAGGAGCGCTACAGTGCTCACACTAGAGCTTCACATGAAAGGTGTAAACTATCCTGTATGTGAGATGCTAATACTGAAGTGTGTAGTAAGTAAGGTGCTAAGACTGTAAACGCGGAAAAGTATATAAGCGAGTAGTTTAGTATAGTAAGATAGTTCTTTCTCGTTAGAGGTCCTCAGCTAATCGTTTACGTTCTATCTTCGTAAAGGAGGTTTTGTTCAATAAATCTTAATTTTCTAAAGTTTTGAAGATTCTTGACCTATCAACCTCACATTATCATTTTGCAAAATTGCGATAAAAATATCATACACGAACTTTGATTCGTTATAGAACTTTAAGATATTGCGTAAATTGCGTAAATTGGTTTTCTTGCAAAACAGATTATTATACGCCTTCATTTAAAATTATTCAACTTATATTTAAATCTACGATTTAAGCAGTTAGTTACAGGCTTACTTTTAGCTCAATCCCACCTTGAAAGTTAAGTCGTAATGTGTATCAGAGCTAAAAATTACTATTGCACGATTTATCAATAACTACCATAGCACCTCTAATTAAACTATCGCGGTAGTTCTACTCTGTACTAAATTACTTTTCACAATCTATTAATATCTCATAACCCTAAAGTAAGTAATGTACTACTGTAAAGTGGTAACAATGCGTACCACAGTGGCGTAATCTACTAAATAATACTTGCACAATCTTATAATGTAATATGCAATTTGAAATACTTTCCCGCCATCCTACGACTATAACGGCATTGCTATTTCAGCGGCTACACTACAAGTTGTCCTTGTTTTGAAATTTAATTTTGTTTAAATGTCAGTGAAATCTATCAATATACGTCTAGAGTTCGTTGATTAATTTGACTTTGTTAGATCAAAATGCTACGTTAGATTATCTTGTGGTTTTTTATAACATGATGATATTAAGCTATATCAACAGTTTTAATAAATTAGTTGGCGCTCTAGATGTTGGGCTGATATAAAAATGTTAATCCTAAAGAGGTTTAGATGATGCATAATAGAGATGATTCCAAAATGTTGAATATTTTATGCCAAAATTGACTTTCAAATCGACAGTGTATAAGAGTAATCTTTATGATGTTCATATTAATTATGAGTGGACTAATGACGATTTTCAGGTCATATTTGTCTTGAAACAGAACTTTCGATATCGCGAAAGAAATTTTCTGTGGCAATATTAGCCTGCACAGTTGTTGTAGTAAATCGACTCATGAATACCAAAGTATTATTCCAATATTACTCAATTAAATATTGATTAATCTTAGTCTTTGCCTGCCCAGCAAACATTCACTTGAAATAATAGCAAATAACATTTTATGTCAGTCGTATTTTACTGCATAATGCTGCTGTAGTATACCAGTAAATTAGTCTAAGATTACGATTGCTAGAATGCAATACTTAATTGGCAAAATATGATCGCGTTGAGGAAAAATCATTCTGTGACTGATTGTAAAAAACGATGAAATTACTGTTATAATTTACTTGATAATCTGATAGTAGCTAACTAGTTCTTGGTAGTGGTAAGTTGAATCGAATATTCGTAATAAAGGCAAAGTTTACTAGAGAGTTTAGTTCTTGCTACAATATTTTTGAGAAGATATTTCATTATAGCTGCTCATAACAGGTTGATATGTGCGTATATTAATATAGGATATTCTCGCGTACGAGTACTTATTATAAGGGTTTGTTGATTCGAGAAAAGTTGAGTTACCAGCCCTTTAGATTAGCACATATGCAATAAAGGTTATATTATTCAAAGGCTTGTAAATGATTGATTGTAGTAAAGCTAAGAAGCGTAACTATCATTTTATGGCATAATTGTATACCAATTTCGCAGTGCGTTCCAGACCAATCACTAGGGCAGTTGCAGCGATATCCATTTTTTTCATTTGAACAGTTAGCATTTATATGTTGACATGGATTTGACTGGCATTCATGCGAATTTTGATATATAGAAAGCAAAATGGTATAATACTTAATTGTTTGTGGGATGATGAAAGATTATATCATGACCAGAGCAAGAACTACGCTTAAATACGTATTAATTAATATTTACCTTCAGTACAATTTTTATCCTATGTAGACAGATAAGCTGCTGCAGTTATATGAAAACGGACTAGTCCATAGGTACAATGCTCCATTTTGGCACGAAGAATATTTTCAGCATGGATTTAAGTCTAATCGATTTAATCAATTATTAGGTTAATTTTTATAAATAAGATAGGCATAATGAAATAATATAGATATGCTATATAAATGACTTATACTAGTAAAAGATTTTTTAAATAAAAAAGCTATAGAATGATGCTCAATCCAAAGCAGTAGTAAAAACCATATTTCAAGTATTATGATTTACTTATACATGCCAATTTCGCTGTGTATTCCAGACCAGTTAGGAGGGCGTTTACAACGATATCCATATATTTAATCAATACAACTAGCTTTCATATGGCGACGCGGATTCGAATAATATTCATTCATATCTGTATGAAATTTTATGCATTTCAAGTTCACTTCTGTTTACTAAAATCTATACTATCATTGACTCGCCACTAATTATAATTCTTAAATAACCCATAAGTGATGTTCTGTTATTGATTATTATTAATCTATGGAAATATTAGTTTATTTTAAGAATTTATTAGTATTGCCCATTACATAAATTTATTAGTTATGTTTTCCTAGCTAAGTATTTTCCAGTATATCCTTCTAGACAAGGACAGCTGCAACTGTTGTGTAAATAGTGGTAGCTACCATTATTTGTGCAAGAATGGGAAAGAAATTCATCAATTTCTTTTAAAAGTATAACTATATTTTTAGCTGAAATAATTTACACAGCTTGATAAGAATCTGAAACTTTTAAGTCCTTTTGATAAGTTACTAAATGAAGTACGAGTTCTATAAGTTGATGGCATTCTTAAAGTTATTTGTAGTATTTTTTCGATTGACATTGATCTGCTAATAATTCTAGCACATAGATGAGGCATACCTTCGGTACAATTTTTTCGTATATATCCAGCAAAGCAGTTGCAGTAGTATGATAATGGGCCAGTCCATGAGCGTGATGCTTCTATTTTACAAGGGAAGGGCTTTCGGCATGGATTAATGTCTTATCGAATAAATGGATTATGATATAATTTTTGTTTATTATATAAAGGTAATGTAAAATGTTACTTTTATGTTATAATATAAGATTTGCTCAAAAAAAGATTAAATTAGGCAAAAATGAAAAATACTATCCTATCTGAAGTACTTTTAAAAGTGATAATTAAAGTGTTGAGATTATGTATTAACCGATTTCGTAAAGTGTTCCAGACCTGTCCGGAGGGCAGCTACAGCGATATCCATTTATTTCGTCGGTACAGGTATCATTTACATGTTGAAAGGGATTGGATTGACATTTATTTATATCGAAGAGAAATTACATATGTGATTTGTTACTGTTGAACTCTTAAATTGCAAACAGATAAATATTTTTCGGAAATAAAGACATACAGCTATTTTATCTACTATACTATAGCATAATTTAACCAACAGAATTTCCTATCTATCAGTTGTAATTTATATGTTATCATCCGTTGTCTAACCTATTAGGCAACTTGTTCCAGTATAACCTGCTCAACAGGAGCAGTTATGTAACTGTTGAGTAATTCGTAACAGCTTTCATTATTCACGCACGGCTAGGGAAGACATTCGTTGATTTCTAAATTGAATAAATTATCAGCCCAATTGCAAGTTACGAGTGTATTATAGCATAATTGTAAATTATAAAATTATGACCTAACAGGGTTATGAGTTAAATATCTTCAAAATAATTTTTGAATTTACTAAGTCATTTTGTTCATTTCTACGTAATAATATGTGTTTATTGTCATTGCAGTATACTAAGATGCCGTGGTGTGAGTATATTCGTGCTATTATACGCTAATATACTTTAATTTTCAGATAATGCATACCTTTGGTACAATTTTTTCCTGTATATCCACTTGAGCAATTGCAATTATATGACATTGGTCCAGTCCACAGGCATGCTCCGTTTTGCCAAGGTGCATGAGTTCGGCAAAGATTCAAGTCTTATAATTTGAATTCGAATGAATTTAATTTAATTACGAGGTCAAATAAGCAAAGGCTATTAACGATTAGAATGCTTAGAATAGTTGATATAATTTGTTTTCGTCGTCACTATAAGCATAGTATGTTAGCTATATTATTAAATGATGTAAAACCATTAAATAGTGTTTTAAAAAGCTGGGGAAGAAATTAAGACCAATTTTTCATACCAATATCGCAATGAGTTCCTGTCCAGTCAGAGGGGTAGTTAGATTGATATCCATTTACCTGATCAATGCAGGTGGCTTTTTTATTCTGACATGGACTGGAGTAGCTCATTAATATTTGCGCATTAAATGTTTTTAAAATGCATTAATCTCTTTCACAATGTTACCGGAAAATAAATTTATTTTCTTTCAATTCCCGTTCTATGGTATTGATTATTACAGAATATTTGTAAAAATTTTTAATTACCAGTACTGAACAGATACTGCAGTATATTAAAATTTAAGATAACTTTAAGTAATTAAGGCTGATGATTTAATTTAATTTAGTTTAATTTGCTGGTTTGGCAATTCGTTCCGTTATAGCCTGTTAAACATAAGCATTTGTAGCTGAGATGGAGATCAAGGCAGGTTCCATTAATAGCTCAAAGCTTGGGCAAACAGTCATCGATTTCTAAGGTTTGAAATCAGAAGGCATTATTTGTTGGTAAATGCCTGATATGCCTTTGGGTTGCGTTGCGTAGAACGAATTTTCATTCGAAGATCGAATTGCAGACTTTATATTTTAGTTTTACCTTTTGTGCAGTTTATTCCTGTGTAGCCGGGTAGACAAGTACAGTTATTGGAATATGGCCCAGTCAAATGACATGTTAATCCGTTTTGGCAAGGCACAATGGTGCGACAAAGATTTAAATCTGAGTTGTGAGATATACGTAAATTTCTGTTATGAAAATTTTAAATAGCAATTATAGGAATTATGAGTACGTCTTTTTGCTACCTGCAATGACAAGTGGCTTAGATTGATACGTAGCTGATACATTAACTTCTGTGATTTAATTCATTAACTTATAACTTGTGAAACGAGATGCTTCCTTAAATTAACAGTGGGACTGGATACTTTTTATAAGTGAATTCATTCACAAATAATTTACAATTACTGTATAACTCGACTTTTCTAAAATTTTCTATCGTATACTGTACTAAAAGTAAAGCTAGGCACAAAATTTGTATTTATGGAGTAAAGGTGCTCATAAAGTATGATATCACATTAATAACATTATATTCTCTCTTCTCTGTTGCAGCTTTAAATTTTAAGGAGACTATCATATATGAGGTTTAAGGTATTCTATGCTGCATATAATTATAAACCTAATAAGGTCTAGGTTGAATACTGTTCTTGTGGTGCAAGGAAAAGCTATTGCTTACCGATTTCACAATATGTTCTTGTCCATTCTGATGAACAATCGCAGCGGTATCCATTCACTTGATTTACACATGTTGCGCTCAAATTGTGACCCGGATTTCAGTTACACTCATTGACGTCTATTAAAAATTTGATATTCATATTTAGCTACATAACTATAGATAAACCTACTTTGAAGAAGGCTGCTTCCTCTGATCTAAAGTGAATTGATATTGAAATAATCCTTTTTAACTGTAATTGTATTTTTTATAAGATTGCAAAGCTTTTTTCTACCAAAGAGTTATGTTAATTAGAACTAGTTAAAAAAGTTTTCTTATTATTAGATCAATTGCGCTTACATTACATTTTTTCCTCAAATAAAATGCAGAGAAATCTCAAGCACTAACTGCACCAATATTTAAAGATGTAACAATTCAGTATTCTGTTTACAATACCTTCTGGTGCAATTATTTCCTGTATAGCCAGCACTACAGCTAAAATTATACGTAAAATGGCCCGTCGATGTGCAATTAGCACTATATTGGCAGGGAGAACCGGTACGGCAAACATTTATATCTGGCAATGTTGTGATAACATTAAAATAGCTAAGATGTATAATTTCATTTAGCCCGATGCTGCCATTTTGTCGAGAGTAGTTACACAGTTAAGATGAAAAATCTTTATCAGACGTATACTAATAAACTAATAAAGATCCGATATTATACATATTTAAATGCAATAGTAATTACACTTAGATCTTACGCTTCACATTTGTAAAGAAAATTGAATCGCTACAGTATTTCAGTTACTATTTCTATACCTTGTGTACAATCAGTCCCAGTGAAACAATTAATGCAGTTGCAAGTGTAATTAAAAGGACTTGTTGATGTATAGTTGAGGCCATTTTGACAAGGGAATTGGGTCCGAAAAAGGTTTGCATCTGGTATAATTATTATAATAAATTGGTAAAAGTATATACGTGATATACACTAGTATATGACCGCATATATCGTAATATATTTCATCTTTCACAAAGGCCAACACTTACAGTGAGCAAGGCTTCTATTAACTGTGGTTTACAGTATTAATTTAATTATAATCTAATAAGTATTGAAATGATGACTCTTTTTCTGTTTATATCTTTGACTTTAATAAATATAATAATCTCCGAAGGTTTACGTTAATGTTATTAGATATAGTATTTCAGTGGTCTCTTTGCAATACCTTGTGTACAATTAGTTCCCGCGTAATCTTTAGTACATTTAAATTCATAAGTAAAAGGATCTGTCGATGTACAGTTACCCCTGTTTTGATATGGAGATTTAATACGGCAAAAATTTGTGTCTAATATTGATAAATAAGAATAAATTAAAGTGAAAATGATCATAAAAATATTGATTTCATCTAATACAGATGTGGCCGAGACTGATTTATTACTATTACTTTGCTTAGCACAAGAACGGTAAATGGACCGTTTATAAGTACTTTATTAGTTCAATTTTAATTATCGAAACATAAAGTAATAATCTTGATATATTACTTATTTCGTAATGAGTCCCGCTCTATTCACTGGGACAACTACAATTGTAGTCATTTAATTGATCGATGCAAGCAGCATTGGGATGTTGGCATGGATTTGATTCACATTAATTAATACCTACAAACGGAATAAGTAAATAATATTAAAAGCAGAAGAATGTGAAATTTCAAATGACTCTACGTTTCGTGTTTATCGCTCAGTTGTGTTACATCATGAAGCCATATCAGTAAAAAGCTTGATATAATGAACGTTTGTAGATACAGTCATGTTCAGCTGATATTATAATAGCTCAAAAAAGTATACTTCCTCCCATTCTGTAAAGGTGCAAGGCTTATTGCTGATAGTAATATACTATTAAAAGTTCATTCTTTCTATCGTATGATTATCCTCGATATCTATAAATATTTGCTAAGATAGTCTAGTTTATTACAATGTATGGTAATAAAAATAATTTACAAGCATATTTAGGCCTCTGATAGCACTTATTTATGATTAGCGATAACATTTTTGAATACATAGTAAAAGAATTAGCCCTTAAAGCTCGCAAATTTTCACACGTTAATGAATAGTTTCTTCCCGAGGCTAATCTTTTTTGAAAGCTGTTACTTGTATAATAATTAGCTATCAGGGATATTGATATCTAGGCATCTATTCGTCAAATTACATCACGGCAGTAGACTGCATATACAAGTTAAATATTATAACACAGTCCAGGTCTATATCTAGTTTTTAAGTAGCGATGATTTAATACACATTGATGAATAACCTTGCGAACAATTTTGACCAGAAAATCCCGCAGTACAGGCACATGAATAAACGCTCACACTAATGTATGAGCATGTACTGCCATCTTGATAAGAAAAATAGCGGTAGCAGTTCCAATCTATTAAACAAATCATAATAATATAATTCAGAATAAGTTTCGGAAACAACCTTAAATTAGTGCTGTAGTTAATTTAAGACTAATTTTCTTAATACATGAATTCAAGAGTCTTAAATGATTGCTAATTTAATTGGGCTATTAAAATGCCAATAATAAATGAATATTGAACCTTAATAACTGCACATAATATACCAGTCCACTCTGAAGGGTATTTGCAGGTAAAACTATTAACTCTATCGATGTAACAGGAGTAAATATGTACGCATGAATTCGATGCACATTCATCAATATCTATTTATGAAAGAATACGAATTTACAGAATATAATTAGTGTGTTTTTAATAGGACTAATGTTTGTAAGTAAATTTTTATTTCATTACTTCTAGTTTGTACACTTATCGTTAAGTCTAATGACCTTATCTTAGTAAATGTACTAGCATAACATTTAAGCACAATATTACGTTATACACTCCTATATATGTATAATATACTTTTATGGAGGAATTGATTGGATTTGAAATTTATTGCAGCTTATTCGTATAACATGATTACTTTTGTTGCAGTTAATGTTTGCTATGTGGAATTGCATAACCAATTAAATTTATCTTCGAAGATCGAACTTAATCCGAAATTTAATATTAATAACTCTATTACTTTGATTGCAAGTCGATCCTGTAAAACCGCTTTGGTAACTGCAGCCATACGTATTGATACCAGTAAATGAGCAGTTTCCTCCATTTAGACACGAGGTACTCGAACGACATAAATTTCCATCTATTCGATATTATTTCACTGACTTAATCATGGTGTACTGGTTTTGATTGTAAAAATTAAATTTAGATTTAGAAATTAGGTTTTTGGCTTACCCACTTCACAATTGGTACCAATCTATTCAGAAGGGCAACTGCAAGAATACGAGTCAATATTGTTATGGCAAGTAGCATTTATATGTTGACAGAGATTAGAGGCACATTCGTCAATATCTATTCAGAAACCGGAAGAAACTTGAATCAAAATTACGTAACAAATAATAGTTATGTCGGGTATAGTACTGAAAACAACGGAAGAAATTGTATCTTTAATAAATGTTCAAATGGCTTTATTTGACATAAAATTTCTTTAGTAGTTATAAACCTTGTTGGCATTGGGTCCCATTAAAACCATTCTGACAGGTGCAGTTATAATTATCAGGGCCGGCACTATTACAAGTAGATCTATTTTTGTACGGATTGCTTTGACAAGGGGTGCCTGTGTTGGCTATCGAGTTAAAATGTACTAAAATTAAGAAATTATATTTTAGATACAAACTAATTGCTAATAATATACGCAGTTCTCTAATCATTATTGGCCACTAGATGAAGTTGGCGAACTCCATCTTTTAGTCTAACAAGCTATGTTTACAATGAAAGTCAAACAAGAGTTTTCAAGATATAAATGTATTTTATTTCAAATCTATGCTATAATTTAGCCCAGTCCAATTACTGGCACATTCTACCGAAACTACTATAGTAAATTGAGACTTATTATCTGCGATCGGTCTTGTTTCATTAATAGTAATTGTCGATGCTGTTCCTGATGTGATATGAAAAAAGAAAGGATGAACTTAAAAAAATTATCTCATAAAATAATTCGCATTTCACTTGACTCATATTTCTTTCGGCATAAGGCGGATTTAAAGACACTTTATAAGGATTAGTAATGTCGGTGCTAGTTTGATTTTGATTTCTTGTGAATATTAGCGTTTCAAATACGTCCCAAACAGTCGTCATTAAGTAGCCATAATTACATGGTTGATTAATGTTTCCTACGTCTGAACACATGATAAAATAGTAGTTGCATAATGTTGAGGGATCACATTTCCCATTATCCCAATTTCTTTCGTTACGGTTGTAGTATTCTTTGAAATCGTAACTGATGTCGCCATAGACATCGGCTTGGATACATTAAAGTTCAGTATTGAAGTTTTCAATCTTAGTTTCATTATTTTCTTCATAAATTATTGCAATGTTATTAAATATCACACGTGTAATGAAGGTTTTGTAGATGAAATTTTATAGCGCTGGTATCCAATAATTAATACTTGGAACTTGATCATTTCGAGCTATTTCCTCAAATTAACAAGTATATGAGCTATTTCTTAAATTAATAGACATTGAATATCTTTAATCGGTTATCAAACTACTGTACGGTGTGGAAACTAATGAACTATTTTGCAATAGAGTAGAGGATTTGACAATGGCTATTATCGATCGTTGAAATAAATATTTTGTGCGTCATGTCGAAAATAACTGTATTAAAATTGTTTGTAACCGATCCAATTAACAATGAAAATCAAGCTTTTCTCTAGCTTGATAAGGCTAGAATAGGTAAAAAATAAATCTCTATAGTTACGATCCATATTTGATATAAGATACAGTAAACAAATATCGAAAATTATTTGCTAGGATTCAAGGTCTATTTCATCGTTTTTTCCTAACTCATGCATATTACCTTCAAAGTTTAAGATTTCTACTCTTTTAATAGGAAACCTATCAAAATCTCAATTGCTAGAAGTGTATTGCAGTTTACTTTCATACTCCCTGCAATTAAGATTACTATTTTGATTAATTTATTCTCTTGTAATTTCTAAAATTATGACGGACACTCAATCTTCCGGAGCATCATAATTTCCTGATTGTTAAAGATAGAAGAAGTGTCTTGAAATATTGATTTATCTATATTTTTTTCTTTACTGCCACTTCTGGAATAGATTACCCGCCCGTATTATAATTAGCCACTTCATGCACAAGAAAACTGTAATAATAGGACTAATAGAGATACCACTTCACTAAAATATCAGAGTTTTAGGGATATAAAACCAGAATACAGGATTCATAGGTTTGAGTAATATACTTTTGTACCTTCAGTTGGAATGTCCATAATATAATCAAAGTCCGTAACAGCAATTGAAATCCTATTTGTCTCATTTATCCGATCTATTTGTAATTGGCTTAAAGGCTAAAAGTTGGTACTCAAATTATACTTTTTCACGTGAGAAAGTGACACTAATGTTACACAATACGTATCGAAATGTCAATGATTTACACTAACATCAGCAGATTTAATGAATTCAGATATACTAGTTACAAAACAATGAAATGGATTTAATAGCTTCATGGATTTTACACTAAAGTTGCTACCTTAAAATTACTTTCCGAATGCTATATTAGGGTATCAAAAGCTTTACCTAATTATCACAATGCATACAACCCAGTAAATAATATTACTTCATATTTACATGCTTACTGCATACTGTATTCTACCATAGATTTGTCTAAGAATTCCTACTGCATAATATTAGCAGCAGCTTTTAATCACGATACCGCTTGCTAAATTAATTGAAAATACCTAATTCTTTATTTTCTTTATTAATTAATTGTATATGCCTTTGTCTTTCTTTATCTACTAATTATATATAGAATAATTGCTAATGATTATTTATAAAATTGGAGAATGCTAGCTTAAATAAAAACTGTTATAATGTTCGCACTATGGATATTGGTAAGAGACGGAGACCATGTACAACGCCAAAACCCTTCATTTTTATAGTTCATTTGGAATTTAAATTGAATAATCTCTTAAATGGCGAAGTAATGCTTTTAGATACTCCTTGAAAAGACTAAATTTGATTTTATATATTTAAGTTTTCTACACAAATAAGGTTTAATACTTTATGATATATTTAGAGCTGATAATTTCGGGCTGGCTACCCGTAAATGATATAGGCATACATTGCAACCATTAGTCAAATATCGTAATGTCAGAATTACAACCTTATCAATGGAATGAAGCAAAATTAGAATTATAGATTGTACTTGACTTATTTTAGATCTAGCCTACTGCACAATTCTAAACGATGAGATTAACAGAGTTGTTAGATTTAATAAAATCTTAGTATTTTATTTTTTCGGTGACGTATAATTTATAGAATGAATAGATGACAACCTTATACTGTGTTAGATTTCGTCATGTTATAAAGTCATTAATGCCAGATTTCGTAAATTTCCATTTATATATACTGTAAATGGTAATAATCGACTTTTCGATATCACTCAAAATTAAAGGAAGAAAGATATTTTATAATTTATGATCTATTTGCAGCATTCCATATATCACTGCACTATTTCGACATGAGGCTGGTGTTTGTTGTTTGTGGCATTGCAATAGATGCCTGTATTACTGGCCAAATAGTTGCTGTTGTTGCTATTGACCAAGTCATATTTTGACTCCTGATTATATAGACCGCATAAACATTCATTGGTGTTTCTTTCACCCTTTCATCTGAATTACGACAATATTGTTACATTTGTAATAGTCAATTATTTTTAAATCATCGACATGGAACTGGAAAGCATTTATCAACACTCTTTATAATATAATGGAAACTTGTATAGCCTGCCAGCTTGGCATATAGAAATATACCGTAACATATTGACCGTATCTTTGAATGCACTACCGTTTTTGCAAAGCAAATTATTGCATTTGTTGATACCTGTTCACATTGATGTCAGGTATAACTAGATATGCATGAATAATTATATTTATCAATTTTTTATTGCAAAAACTTACTTATAAATATTATCTAGTGTCACAATTTCACTTCTGCGACAAGGTAACGTACAGTAAAAGTCTATGAGTAGCTACTGACTTAAACGCCCTTTTACTTAACGTTAAACACACTCAGCAAAAGACTGTAAAGATGAAACTAAATTAGCAAAGATACATCTACAACTTTTTACCAACACTGAACTCTTTCCCATTTATATAGGAACCGTCTAATTTCTAAACAACAACAGTATTATTGTTATATCTTACTAGGAGAAACATCTCGAACTGAGATGTTCCTTACATAGCTTTCCTATCAGTAAATATTTTGAATCTCTTACTTATACTTAATCTTAATCTAAGCTCGTAGGTTGTCTAATTCAACTATCATCAACTAGAACTTGAATCATCTTAGTACTATCTGTCACACAATAACAATCAATATCAAGTATGTAATGAACTATTACAAACAACATCCACGTTAAGGCATTACTTATCTTACCTAGTACTACAAATATGGATATTCTCCATACTAGCTACTACTGTACTTAGTAAACTATCCTAATGACAAGGCAACACCGTAACATCTAGATTCCACTTCAGCAGTCAGTTTTAATGTCACAGAGATGCACTATTAGTAAAATTATTGATATAAAGATTACCTTGAATACAGCATAAAACTAATGACAAACGTTTTATTTTTAAGCTTATAAATTACTCTTAAGACAATTAGGGTCACTTTTACACTGCTACTACATACTATGCCGCGAAGATACCATACGGAACTAAAATCATTCATAAAATTGAATTGATATTTTATTTACGAACTTACTGGAACGCAACTATTATGCGTTTGAATTAGCTATCTGCGATTAACCGCATTTACGGTAGCGAGATATACGGTGCATGTAAAATTGAAGAACAGGAATATGCAGTAGTAAAATATGTCGCTAAGGTCTATCAAAATTGATATTTCGATTCTTAGCCATTGTTAGATTGATTTTCATTATTTTCGTAGCTTTCATAAATGTTATCTGAAATATTTTCTTCAGGTAAGCTGATACTTTGGCTGTTATTATTTGTAGCTCCTGCGATATAAACATTCTCTTTAGTTGGAAGCACTTTGAGTTGTACATCTGCCTGATGCGATTTGTAGGATCGTTTGTGTTTAAAGTACAGGATTAGAAATATTAGAATCAAAATAGTGGCACCGACAGTACCGACAGAAACTCCAATAATTAAAATGAGGTTTTGTGTTGTCTCCCCACATCTAGTGCCTCGAAATCCTGCTGTACAGTTGCATCTTTGCTGGCCGTCTACGATGTGGCACTTCCCACCATTGTAACAGAAATTGTTACCGCAATCATTATCAGAATAGCATCCTGTGTTGGAATAGGGATTACCTTGATAACCTGTTTCGCAGAGACAGCTATAAGATCCTTCCGTATTTACGCATATTGTATTTTTACCACATGAAGACTTATTTAAGCATTCATCAATGTCGATGCAGTTGCTTCCTGAATAGCCCGCTTTACATCGACATAAATAAGTACCTAGCAAGTTGACACATATTTGGCTAACATTGTTGCAACTGTTATCGATATTATTTGCACATTCGTCATAATCTTTAATAACGGCCTTCTGTAAATATTGTCCATTGATGGTGACATTGCTACTAGTAATAATATTGCGTAGTTCATGTAGACTAAAGTTTGCTGTCAGTTGGAATAGTACATGGTAATCTATAATAATGCTGCCTGATCGAAAGCCTTTTACTTTAACTTGTTCAAAATTGGGGCTTGTTACTGAGGATGAATTAAAAGCAATTGTTAGCGCGGTAGTAGCTCTTCTTTGAAGTATTTGATATTCAGCACTTGTTTGATCATTCAGTGACGAATTGAAATTACTAGTAATCTCAACAATTCCGATAAATAATTTACCATGTTGACAATGTGAATCTGATTGCAATTGCACTTCTGATAATAGACTATTGGAATAATATCCGATCTTACAACTGCAATATATGTTGTTGTGATATGTCATACAGTTTGCCTTTTTACCGCAATTCTTGCTGTTATTACAAATAATTTCTGGAGTACAATCAATTCCATTACCGTAGTAGCCTAATTTGCATTGACATAGATAAGATCCAACAGTATTTATACAGTTAGCTTGAGTATGACAGTTATTCTGATTGAGTGAGCATTCATCGATGTCTTGACATAGAGACATAGCTTGACCTGAAAATCCAGGATCACACTTACATATGTAAGAACCATTAACGTTGAGGCAGGTAGAGTTATCAACACATTTATTTGTAGTAGTAGTAGAATTGCATTCGTTGGTATCATGACAAGTATAACCATCGCCGTTATATCCAGATCTGCACTGACATTGATACGATCCCATAGTGTTAATGCACTGTGCAAAACTAGAACAGTTATGATGCGATGACGAACATTCGTTTTCGTCAACGCACGATTTTCCATTACCGGTATATCCTAACTTGCATTTGCATAGATAGGATCCTACATTATTAATACAATTAGCATTAGTGTGGCATTGATTATAATTATTCGTAAAACATTCATTAATATCTTCACATATGAATCCGGTTCCTGTATAGCCAGAGTTACAGAAACAAGTATAAGATCCATTATTATTGACACATTTGCTATGAATGGAGCAGTTGTGTAATCCAAGCGAACATTCATTGATGTCAGAACACGTTTTACCATTTCCAGTATATCCAGGATAACAAGAGCACGTATACGATCCAATATTATTAAAGCAACGACTATTAGCTGAACAAACATTGCTGTTAAGTGTGCATTCGTTGACGTCCGTACATACCAATCCATTACCTATAAAACCTTCATTGCATTGACATCTGTAAGATCCATTGGTATTACTACAGTTAGCTTTGGAACTGCAGGGATTATGCTGTAGTGATAAACATTCGTCTATATCATTACATATATATCCATTTCCAGTATAGCCAGGTTTGCAGTTACAATTATACGACCCGATAATGTTTGTACATATTGCGTTAATCGAACATGTATCGACTCCAGTGGCGCATTCATTAATATCTTCACAGGTCCAACCATCTACTCTAAATTTATAACCTGCTAGACAATTACAAGTATAATTGCCCATGGTGTTAGTGCATTGATGATAACAAGGTGATGGACTTGCATCGCATTCATCTATATCGACACACTCAGTCAGGCTGCTATTCAAAAGGTGGTAACCTTTATTACAAGAACAAACTATAGATGAATTAACATAAATACAAATTTGTGAGCAATTATGACCTGGTGAGCATGGATTTGTATTATTACAAGTAAAACCGTCGCTGTTTAATTGGAAGCCTTGATAACATTGACAAGAGTATGATCCTATAGTGTTAATACATTGTTGATCGCAGGGGTTATAGCGATTGCATTCGTCGATATCAACGCATGTATGCTGATCATTACTCAACTCGTAGCCACTATTGCATGAGCAGGTGTAGTTGCCTTCTGTATTATTACATAAATGATCGCAATTTCCATTAGTTATATTACATTCGTCGATATCGAAGCAAGTATATCCGTTACCTTGGTAACCTAGTTTACAAATGCATTCATATAAACCGGGTTGATTAATACATATCGCAAGATAACTGCAATTGGCATTTCCGAATGTGCATTCATCAATGTCAGTACAGCCTTTCTTATCGTTATCCAGCTGATATCCAGGTAGACATTGGCAACTATAACTTCCATCTTCGTTGATACATGTTTGATTACACTGATGGGTTCCATTTTCACATTCATTTAAGTCGTAACATTTTCGTCCATCGACAATATAACCTATAGGACAATGACTACAAGTGTAGCCAGCTTGCGGCGCCAGATTATCTGTACATGTTATATTTTCGAAACAGGGTTGATCAGCACATGCATCAAAATCTGATGTACAATAATCTCCAGTCCATGCCGGATCACAAATGCATTCAACTAGATCTATATTTTCAATGCGAACCATTTCAGCATTATAATCACAGATTCCATTATTTAAACAGTAACACATGATGACTTGCGGCATTAGTTCACTTGTTGCTCCTTTAGAATCTGTTGCAACAAATTTTAAAGTAATATTTTGGATAGTCGAAACATTCCAGGTAAGAATTAATGATTCTTTATCAAATATAGCATTTCGAGGTGAGTCGATCAATTGAATCGTTACCATATCACCCGGATTTGGGTCTGACACATTCAACTTTGTTATAAATGTTTCTCCATATGTGACATTGTATATTTCCAGTCCTGATATTTGAGGTGGAAAGTTTTCTAACTGAATATTTGTTTCTTCATTGCTTATGGAATTATTTTTGCTTATGATAGCAGCATTGAGATTTTGAGTTAGTGCTGCATCATAAAGACAAGTATAGTCGTTTCCGCACTGATCTACAGATTGATTGTAGAAAAAAGTATTATTGCCAAACAATGCAACGATATTGTCACCAAATATTGGAGTAAATTCTGGATCCGTATAATTATAATAGGATTGATCGCTAGGATAAGTGAAAAGTGAATCACTGATATTAATGGCCCACAACTGACCGAAATCATAATAGATTTGTGATTCTGTGGAATTAATATCGAGGTATGTTCCATCTGGCTTTTTGAAGTCATCGTCAATGTTATCATTCCACGTTCCTAGTAATCCAGCAGTATCACCTTTAATTTCCTCTGGACCGTTCATGGTAATAGTTAACATCTCTGTTAGCATTGTTACTTCAACAGAAATTCCTGATGAAAATACTGCAGCGAGTGACTGATTAGATATTTTAACTATATCAACATTAGTATACTCACGGGATTCATTTAAAAGTAAAGAATCCATAGAGAATGCAACGGTGCTATTAACCAATACATCGATACCATTAAATGCTGAATTAAGTGAAAACTGAATAATATCTGCGTTATTTTCTGTTGTAGCTACGCCTGAAAATACGGTAGCCGCTGCCGATAATGAACCGTTCGTTATTGTACGCATAGTACGCCCTTGTAATATAAATGAACGATTTCCTGTTTGCAGTAAGACATATTCACCTAATCCATTGAAGGTATATTGTTTGCCATCTAAGGTTTTAATATGTGGATCGCCCCAGGTCCAAGCTCTTCTAGGGGGTCTATATCCTCTGCATGCATTAATGGGTCTTTTACTTATATATAAATTGCATAAGCTAGATTTAATACAGCAATCTCTTAATGCTCGGTAATCATAGAACTGATAGTAGTAATTTTTAAAGATAAATGAACTACCAGAAGGATACGTTGTAATAAGCGAACCAAAAGATGATCCAAGTGATGAGTAGCAGCATCTTTGATAGACACGTCTACCATTTTTAGCTCTACGTGAAAATCTTGATCTTGCACAGAAAGTAAAAATATTAAATCGAAATCGCCGATCCCAAATTGCTTGAAAAAACGTGCAAGGACAGGGTCTTCTTCTTAGTGCACGAAGATACATAGATGGAGAAATTTCGTTTGCATTCCATAGTTGACACCGATATACATGATTAACACGATAGATAGAAGGACTATCAATTCTATACATCCACCTTCCTTTTTTACCATAATTACCAAATGTGCTATCAATATAGAGAAGGTTTTTTGTATGTGAATCGGGTAATTCATATGTATAAGCTGATACTCCGTTACTATAACCAGCGCGAGGTCTAATAAATTTATACCTTTTCCACCAGTTCATTCCTTTATCATCGTAAAGAAAGTTTACAAACAAATTATTGCCATTCGATACCAGTATCAGTTGAAAAGTACTTGTTACGCCATATTTTGCTGAGCGAAAGGACGGATATGGAACGATTTTATCCCATGTAATAACTATTACCAGGGAGGCCTCAAAGTTTGTTATAATTTGTTTGAATAGACCATATTGGTTTAGGTTAGGATTATTATTGATAAAGTTTTGGTATTGATTTACATCATTTGTAGCAGAACTTAAAGTCTGCTCAGTTGATAAGGAGGGATTTAGAACTGAATGCTGGCTAACATAAATTTTAGAATATGAAGCATACGTACTGTCAGCATCTGCAAAAAATGGAGCTATAATAGGAACATGTTTAGATGTATACAACGGGTTAGCAGAACTTCCATAATACGCTTGATTGAAGGAAATGAATCCATTCATTGAAATCTAAAATTGGTGGTGATTAGTGTAATTGTAGCCTTGATATCTAAATTTTATTACTATTTTAAGTTAATTAATTGTTGAGAAAACTTACATATAATTTGCGGTAAAATTTGTTCATGTAAAATATTGGAGATCTCAAGTTGATAACGAACGACGCATCATCTACTCTTCCAAACGACTGATCACTTGCCTGTGGCCCATATGGATATAATCTCAGTTCTTTAAAGAAAATTGCATAGGAATATTAATAGCAATTACTACAATAGCAGGTCTTAATTGTGCTCATAGAAAAAATTACCGGCTATCAGTAATTTACTAGATACAGTTATGAAAGCCTTGGCTGCTACGTTCTGAATTATTGTTTAAAATGAGTAATGTATCTTACATGTGCATATTACCCATATTACCTTTGCAGATTGAGCCATTGCCAACAAAACCTGGGTTGCATATGCAAGTATAGGAGCCAAGTGAATTATAACACGTTGCATCTGGACTGCATTGGTTCGATCCTATACTGCATTCATTTACATCTAAAATTTTAAATAAAAACTTAATTAATTATGCAGTCGTAATACTTTCTCAACTTTTACTTGTAGAAAATTCCAGTGAATTTACGTACAAAGTGTAATTGGTTATGAAAATATAAAATACAGTCACGGAAGACGAACATACGTAAAGTAGGTAAATTTGTATCGTTACCTGAGCAGATGCGTCCATTTCCAGTAAATCCTGACTTGCATAGACATTGATAAGACCCGTTCAAGTTATTGCAAATTGCGTTAGTATGACATCCATGAGTATAAGAGATGCATTCATTCACATCTATTAGATCATATTCCAAGAAATTTATTATGAAATTAATAATAAAATAGATTCTAACCCATTCATTTAAAATCAGTAATTATATTCTTTCTAAAATATTGCTGACCAAATTTAAGGCTAGAACTTTGAAAGGGATTGTATTAAAAATACCTTTACAATTGAATCCGTTTCCTGTGAATCCGGGCTTACATTGACATGCATAAGACCCGTAGGAGTTGCTACATATTGCATTACTATTACAACGATGTATCCCAATGCTACATTCATTAACATCTAGAAATTCATGGAACAATGATATAATTTTGTTAGACAGTAGGGATAAACATCGATAGCATAGTTCATAATAATTAATGTACGATTTTACTGTCCTGAAATCGGTGCTGCAGTTATTTTAATGTCCAGTTAAACGGTACTAAACAATTAATTTGTACATTATTTGGTATAATGTACTTCTAAAATAATTGAAGTTTTTATATTTTAACATTAGTTAGCAATTCGTCGATTTACGAAAACAAGTTTTATGATTTGCAAAAAATCTGAAAAAATTGTGTAAACGAAGAAAGCATATCAAGTAAATCGTCTGTACTATGAATTAATCGGAAAGAAATTCAATTTAAGATATAGGTAGTGGTTAGATTATTACTCTCCATATGAAGATCCTTCGTCATTCTATCCATATTAAACAATAACTTGAAGAGTGAAAAATGCGCTCAAAAATGCGATATATTCAATTTAAATCGGAAATTTACGTACCGAATTGGCAGTGAGTCCCACCAAATCCGCTATTGTTGCAAAAACAAGAGTAAGAATTTATTCCGTCTAGGCAAATTCCACCATTTTGGCATGGATTGGATATGCATTCATCGATATTAAATTGACAGAGAGCACCACTATATCCAGATGAGCATATGCAACTGTAAGAAGCGATATGATCTATACAACTTCCTCCATTAATACAAGGTGATGACAAGCAATCATCAATATCTATGAATTAGTATCATGTAGAAAATAAGAAGTCTAGATTAGTCTTACTTTCGGATTTAGTAAGAATGGACTATTCTTACTGCTACGTATCTTTCACTAGTATAACATGACCTAAATGTGCTACTATGTTCTATTTAATTTTTAATCTTAGCAGATTCTGATACACTATTTTGCAAAAAGTTTTTAAGGATACCACTAGATATCATTATATATGAACTTAAACAAATACAACTTTTACTCTTCCAGAATTATATCAAACAATTAGTGTACAAAATCTATAGATCTTACTCGTTTCGCAATGGATTCCAGTGAAACCAGTCGATGAACAATTGCAGGTATAAATATCAACACCACGGATACATTGACCACTATTTACACAAGGCGATGATGAACATCTATCAACTATGATATCACAGCGATTGTTAGTATAGCCAGGTAAACAGTTGCAATTGTAATGATCGATTAAATCGATGCATGTTCCTGAATTTTGGCATGGGTAGGAAGCACATTCATCAATATTTACTTCACAATGTGTTCCAGTATAACCAGGTTGGCATGTACAATTATACATATCGACCATATCGTTACACATGCCGCCGTTTATACATGGAAAGCTACTACATTCATTGATACATGTTTCACATTGGTGTCCTGTATAGCCAGATAAGCAAGAACAATTATATTTATTTATATAGTCATTGCATCGGCCACCATTTAAACACGGCTTAGATTGACATTCATTGTAATCAATTTTGCAATCTGTTCCTCGATATCCAGATAAACAAGTACAGTTATAACCATTGATAAGATTGTGGCAAGTAGCTAAGTTTTGGCAAGGATTACTATTGCATTCATTAATTTCTGCCTCGCATTGGTATCCAGTAAAGCCAGGTACACAAGAACAATTATATCGGTTAATAAGATCATGACATGTGCCATTATTAAAACATGGACGGCTTTCACATTCATCGATATTAGTTTGGCAAACATCTTCTGAATAACCAGGTAGACAAATGCAAATGTATCTATCTATGAGATCTCTGCATGTTCCGCCATTTTGACATGGATTACTAATGCATTCGTTAATATTGGATTGACAGTGAGCTCCAGTAAATCCAGTAGTACAATTGCAATCGTATCTATTAATGCGATTGATACATTCGCCATTATTTTGGCAAGGCAATGATAGACATTCATTTATATCTTGTTCACAATGTGTACTAGTATAGCCAGCTCTGCATTGGCAAGCATAAGTATCAATTATATCGACGCATGTAGCGTTATTCTGGCATGGAGAAGAACTGCATTCGTTGATATCTGTTGAAAGTAGATAGAAATAAGTAATAAATCTTGTAAAATAAATAAAATCACATGAAGCTAGACATTTAACAATTTTTCAACAATTCTCAGGTTGAAGCATTTCTATATAAATGTGAATATTAACTGACTTATTTCACATTCATCGCCTGCAAATCCAGCCGAACAATTGCAATTATATCTGTTGACAAGATTGATACATTTGCCATGATTTTGACATGGTAATGATAGACATTCATTTATGTCTTGTTCACAATTTAAACCACTATATCCAGAGCTGCATTGGCAAGTGTAACCATTAATTATATCGGCGCATGTAGCGTTATTCTGGCATGGAGAAGAGCTACATTCGTTGATATCTGTTGCACGTAGACAGAAATTAGTAATAAATCTTGTAAAAAATTAAAATTGATATACTTAGATATTTAACTATTGTTCGATGAGTGTATTATTATGAATATTAAAAAGTTACTGACTTATTTCACATTGATCGCCCACGAATCCCGAAGCACAGGTACAATTATAATAGTTTGGGGCAGAATTAAAACATGTTGCTCCATTCTGACATGGGACAAATCTGCATCGATTAATGTCTATATTCATACCGATAAGTTACCGGATTAATAGGATGATATTCTGAATTAAAATTTACATATCAAAGATCTGTAAATCTGGATAACTTTATATATCAAAAGTCTTACCATCTTCGCAGAGATTTCCATAGTAATTGGATGTACAATTACATGAGAATGAATTGATTTTATTAATACATATGCCATTATTTAGACAGGGTTCAACATGGCATTCGTTGATATCTGTTACAATTACAAATTTTATACGTTTAGAATTGTTAGGAATAGATATCAGGTGATAAAATAGTATTATCAATTAGCAGAAACAGAGATTGTTTATAATACAAGATGTTGCGCCGACTATCTAAAATAGTAAGTAATCTAATTATAGCTTACTGTTCTCGCAGTTAGTGCCACAATAACCAGAATTACAGTTACATTGATATTGATTTGATCCAAAATTAATACAAGTGCCTCCATTCTGACACGGTGTTATCCTGCATCGATCATGATCTAATCATAATATGATCTTTGTTTAGTAAACAGTTTTCAATTAATTACAAAGATGGTACTTGGATTGAATTATTGAACAGCTTATTCATCTCAGTTTGTTAGGAAAAATAAAGCCATTGGATTACTGAAGTTTACAGTATGAAATGTTGAAAAGACTACATTTATTAATTTTATACATGTTAGATGGTGCAATAAAGTAGCTTTTATTTTTCATCTTACCGCTTTCACAGTTTGTTCCATTATAACCTAGCGCACAAATACAAGCATATCCATTTATAGAATCACTGCAACTTGCATTGTTACTGCACGGATTGGAAATACATTCGTCAATATCTAAGACAACCAATATTTCATCATAAGTACAAGCTAGTTATTTCTGCATATTAAATTAGCAATCTTTCTTGTCCTTTATAATTAATTTATGGATATGAGACAGTTACTTGTTTCACAATGTGTTCCGGTAAATCCAACTGCACAACTACAATTATAGCTATCAGGTAAGATATTTGTGCATATAGCATCATTTAAACAGGGTCGCAATCGGCAGCGGTTATTATCTGCAGTGGATGAAAACATTTTAATTATAAATTTAATTCATTGAAATAGTGTATATTAAAAAATATTATAGTAGTCCAGTTTATAATTACAGCTATCATTCATTAAGTGATAAACAAGTTAACAACACCTTATTTATTAATTGTAAGTGCAAATGATATTAATTTTTATTCAAACCATTTTGGCAGTTGGGACCACTAAAGTTAGCTCTACAAACGCAATCATTGCCGGATACGCAATATCCATTCGCTGGATAGTAATATAGTAATTGCAGAAGACAAAAGGTACAGGTTAGCTAAATTTCTAAACTTAAATTATCTTCCATAACTAAGATTAACAAGTTAATAAAAAATAGCAATCCTTGACACCTGTGCATCCCTCTTTAATTGTGCATTGGTTGCATAAATTTCCAGTCCAGCCACTGCTGCATCTATTAATTTGCGACACGTTGAGTCAAGCTTGTATACTAGTATAAGTCGCATGATGAGGATAGTAAAGTAATACTTCTTAATACTGTAAGAGAGGCGAAAGAATTATTGACTTACAAGCACCCTCCAGGGGTATTTTTGCAACTTGCATGAGACAGGTCACAACCATCCTTGCATATAGCTTAATTTGATATAAGTAGAATATAATTATTAGATCGCTATTAAACAGATATCATAATGATAATTCAATAGACATTTTTGAATTACTTATGGCTTTAATATCTACTTTGATTTTAAAAATTAAGCTTACCGGTATCACATATCGTTCCTACCCAACCTATTGCGCAAGAACAGTTATAACCATTAACGAGGTCTTCACAGGTGGCAGAATTTAAGCAAGGATTGGAAGAACATTCATTGGTATCTACCGTTCATATTTTAATAAATATTTGTACGTTATGTTAAAGTATAAAGTTAGTTCATTTTGAAAATTGTAAGGTTATCGAAGCTGGTTTATTTTATTGAAGTATTATGTAAAATGTAATGAAGTAATTTTAACTTTGATCGCAACACATATTTTAGATCTGTATTCGTCGATACGGTGTTCTATTACTCATGCGTGAAGGTTAGCATCTTATCAAAACTACTACAGCATTGGTAGTAGCATAAAAAAGAATTCGTTTCTCCTATTAATGAATTAGTATCAAAATTGATGACTTAAGATAATAAAATTTCAGTAGCATTAAATCTATTGATTGTAATGATGACAAATTCTACATACGTTTTCGATAGTAAAATATTGTGTTACTGTCATGGCTGTATTAGTCATTGCTGTATCAGAGACTGTTGAAAGAATGTCGTATGATACCGATACAGCATAAATATGATATTTCTACTACGAAAATAGGTATTTAGCCGCAATACAGTTATGGACTCCTGAAATCTCTATGATTGTTATAATTTGCTAGAGAAATTAGCACTAGTACTTCAGTCCTGGCAATGCGATACAACAATCAATTAGCTGCTTAGGTGTTTCCTTATGATACTTTTATTTCTCAACAGTTCTTTCGGTTTATAATCGAACATTATCTTAACTACTTCGCATGAACTGTGAAACAACGACACCCAATTTGTACTGCTGATCATGTCCTCATAGTAATCGCAGTATCATAGTACTGTACTACATAACATTAATACCGTATACTAAAATCATAATAATGATAGAGTACGCTGTAAAGCCGGTAATAGAGGACTAATTTTTCGCTTTTTTCAATTTATATTATATGCAAGACAGATGATAATGAAATTGATATGGCCATAGTGAAAAAGAGAAATTTAATTGTGTATTGCCCGGATTTAGTTTGAGTAATCATTAAAGTTGGCTGGTTTTATATAGTTCAGATAATTTTGATCTTGTACTAATAGTGAAAGTGAGTCAAAAATACTTGTTTCATTGCTATTTCAAATGTAACCTGAATATCATGTACATTATACAGCTATATAGCAGTTCTTAACTAAATGAAACAATTTCCATTATGAAGGCAAGGAATGTCCAGCGCAGTTATCGATATTGAAGAATGTTCTTAAAATAGATTACCTTAATCATACCGCGTTTGTAATATTATCAAATAGCATTTTACACTCGTATGGTATTGTATGGGAAATAGATGTGACTATAGCACGTAGTAGGGAATATGCTTCTACAAGACGATATTTACGAAGTTTACTTAACAAAATGCGTATAGTAATATTCTGCAGTCTTACTCGTTTCACAGTGAGTTCCACTAAAACCAGATGATGTACAATTACATGAGTAACTGTTAATACCGTCAATGCATTGTCCGCCATTTGTACAGGGAGACGATGAACATTCATTAATATTGATATTACAGTGGGTACCAGTATAACCGACCGAACAGCTACAATTGTATCCATTGACCAAATCATTGCATGATCCTTGGATGCATGGATTACTTACGCATTCATTGATATTACTTTCACAATTGTCATTTGTATAGCCAGCGGCACAGGTACAGTTATAACGGTTAATTAAATCGATGCAAGTTCCGTTATATTGACATGGATTTGACGAGCATTCAATAATTTCTATTTCACAATCAAATCCAGTATAGCCAGGTAAGCATAAGCAGTCATATTGATCGATTAAATCGTTGCATGTGCCATCGTTTAAGCATGGACCACTTTCGCAATCATCGATATTAGTTTGACATTCATCTCCTTCATAACCAGGTATGCAAGTACAGTTATAGCCGTCAATTAAATCTTGACATCTTCCACCATTTTGACAAGGACTACTGCTGCATTCATTGATATTGGTTTGACAATCAGTTCCAGTAAACCCAGAAATGCAGTTACAGACATATTTGTTAATTTGATTGATACATTCTCCATCGCTTTGACATGGCAACGATAAACATTCATCAATATCTTGGCTACAATATGCTCCAGTATAACCAGCAATACACTGGCAGTAATAACCATTAATTACATCAGCACACGTAGCATTATTTAGACATGGAGAGGATAAGCATTCGTTAATGTCTTTAGAGCATAAATGAAAAGAAGCATATTGAGAAATCAAGTTATGTATTACTAAGATCGGACTTACGCAACAAAGATATAAAAATATCAGATTATCAACTAACTTATAGTGCACTGATCGCCTGCGAATCCAGCCAGACAGGTGCATGTATAGCCATTAATGCCATCTTTACAAGTTGATAAGTGTGGGCAGGGATTTGAGAAACACTCATCAATATCTATATACAGTAATAAGATTTGAAATTATTTACTTACATTTCTATATATCGTATTAGAGGGAAGGTGAAATATAAAGACAGAATATGGTTCAGAATATTTTTGGTACCAATTTTTCTTAATTTGACAGAATAAATAAATATTTCAAAAGTAGAGCTAAGTCTTTTATAACTTTACTTGTTCCGCATTGGGTTTCAGTATATCCTGCTGCATATGTACAGTTATATCTATTGACTAAGTTATCACAGGTTGTATTGTTTAAGCACGGAGTCGATGTACATTCATTGATATTTAAATCATTCAACCTGGACGTAAATGTTCTGCTATTTTAGGCTAATACCTCAAATCTCCGTGTGTTACAAGTAGTAAAATACATAAAAAAATACACAATTACCTTGATCACAATTTGTTCCTGTATATCCTGACGCACAAGTACATGTGTAAACGTTGAGGCTAACATAAGAACAAGTACCTCCGTTCTGACATGGTGAAGATAATCGGCATAAATTACCATCTGGTGTGTATGAAAATAATGTTACTCATTTATTATTTTATCCAGTACACAGTAAAAATTAGAATTATATGTCATTAATTATCTTGATACAATTCATTATATATATAGTTAAGTATTCAGAATTGATGATAGATACCAGTTTCACAATGAGTTCCTGTCCAATCAGAAGGACAATTGCAAGTGTAACTATTTACACCATCGACACATGTAGAGTAAGCATGTTGACATGGATTCGATACACATTCGTCGATATCTATCATGTAGTTTAATTAGATAGAGTAGATTAAGGGTAAGTAAATACCTCAAAATACTATCAGCCAGCCTCAAGAATATATTTACGTATAATAGACACTATATTGCAGTCGAGGCTACTTTGAAAGCTGAATTTAATTAAGTAAAGTTTACTTGTGCTGCAGATCGCTCCTGTATATCCGGCTGCACATGTACAATTATAGTAGAGATGATAGTCGTGGCATGTTGCTCCGTTAAGGCAAGGTATAGAGGTACATTCTGCAAAATCTACAAAAGTATTTTATAAAATTAGACGGAAATTAAGTCTATAAACTATTGCAATTTCATTAAAATGTAACAGATTGTTCTGTGTTAAAGAACGCTTATTTGTTGATAAATTCTGTAAAATCTTGTTACAATATAATCAGATTATTTATATTCAGCTTATTATAATAAAAGATGTAACGAATCTAACCTTGATCACAATTGGTTCCTGTATAACCAGGAGCACATGTACAAGAATAAGTAAATACTCCTGTAGCAGTACATGTAGCTCCGTTTTTACAAGGTGCACTTATGCGACATTTATTAGCGTCTAAAGAATAAATAAATAAATGTTAATATAGATCCTCGTTACGATAACTTGTAACAAGTTGTAATTATCGGTTCAGTATTAGTTACACTGTCATAATCAGTTAAGTAACGAATTACCAGTTTCGCAATGTGTACCAGTCCAATCAGAAGGACAATTGCATGTATATCCGTTTATTCCATCAACACATGTAGCATGGGTATGCTGACATGGATTCGATGCGCATTCGTCAATGTCTAGCATTAAATAGGTAATATCAAGTCGTGTAAGAAATGGTTAAGCTGATCTTAATTATATAAGTTTTACTTGTGGTACAGATAGCTCCAGTATATCCAGCTGCACACGTGCAATTATAATAAAGATGGTAATCGTTGCATGTTGCTCCGTTAAGGCAAGGTGTAGAGGCACATTCAGCAACATCTACAAAAGAATTAGATAAAAGTTAGACGATAAATTAGGGTAATAAAAGTTACAGCAATTTCATTACAATGTAACAGTTTTTCTTAGCTATAGAACGCTTATTTGTTAACAAAAACTGTATAATCCTATTGCAACATAATCAGATTGTTTATATTGATTTTATTATTAAGGATGATATAAAGAAAACAAACCTTGATCGCAATTGGTTCCTGTATAACCAGAAGTACAAGTGCATTTATATGTGCTTACTCCTGTGGCAGCACATGTTGCTCCATTTTTACAAGGTGCACTTCTGCGACATTCATTAGCATCTAAAGAATAAATAAATGTTATTATAGATTATATTTACGTTCAATTTTAACAAATTGAGTTTATATTGGCTTAGCATTAATCAAACTGTCATACTAAGTTAAATAACAAATTACCAATGTCGCAATGTGTGCCAGTCCAGTCAGAAGGACACTGGCATGTATATCCATTTATTCCATCAAGACATGTAGCATAGACATGCTGGCATGGACTGGATGCACATTCATTAATATCTGGTATTAAATTTGCAAATATTAAGTCTTTCAGCTTATATTTAAAAGCAATCGTCTATTGCAATGAGGTGTATTTAAAGTTTGAGAATAATGATCGAAACAGGATATTAACATACTTGAACTACAATCTGATCCGGTATAGCCATTAGCACAACTGCATGTATAACTGTTGACACCATCGACACAAGTTCCACCATTTTGGCAAGTTATACTGGCACAATCATCAATATCTAAGGATGACAGAGATGAAAACGATACATATGTAAGTGTTTTCTTTAATTTTTCCTTAAATATTTTTTATAACGAGTTGGATTCAGAATTCTATCGCAAGTGTATTTAAGCCATGGTATATTCTTCTAGAGAAAAATTCTTACGGAATATTTGCAAGCTAAGTATACTATGAACGATATGTTTCTATCTTTAATTGTGTATATTAAACCGCAATATATATGCAGATCTAATTACATATGTGAATATTTTCACTTTATCTAATTAATAACTTTGGTTTCTTACTAGATGCGCAAGTTGATCCAGTAAAGCCAGTTACACATGCACAAGTATAAGTATTGGTTCCAGTATAGGTACATGTGCCGCTATTTTGACAAGGAGTACTCGATCGACAAAGATTTCCATCTATTTTTGTAGGAATGTAGATGAGACGTTATACTAAGTATGAATTATTGTAAAACAGCAATTTGTTATTTAATTAATCAAATCATCTAAAGCTTATTGCAGAAATCCATTCTGACAAGGTATGAATTAATTATCCGTAGATAACAGAATCTTACCGGTTTCACAGTTAGTCCCAGTCCATTCTTTGGGGCAGGTACAGGAATATGAATTGACGTTGTTATTACAAGTTGCATAAACATGTTGGCATGGATTAGATGCACACTCGTTAATGTCTATAGTTAAAAAGTAAATATTGTAATTAGTACGTATGAATCCAATTTCTTCCAGAGTCGGCATTTTATTATATGCGTTATAAAACAATTATTAGACTACTAGGCGATTAAAGTTACGCGTACATTCTTTATCGTAAGATAATAGTAGAAATCTTATAGTTAGTTTATGATATACCTGTTTGACAGTTTGTGTCAGTGTAGCCTGTCACGCAGGAACAAGTGTAAGCATTTGCCCCATTATTTGCACATGTGCCACCATTCTGACAGGGGGTACTACGACAACTATTTAAATCTAATTAAATTAAAACAAATAGTTCTTTAATAAGTATATAAGAATTCATGAATTTAATGCAGGCATGTATTTCGTTAATATATAGCTAAAACTGTCTTTTCGAATATCAATTAGGAACAAGGAATACCTTGAAAAAGTGATGGTTCAATTAATGCAAAAATTAAATTATATTTATAGGAACGCTTAAACTCGAAGTTTACTTGCACTTAGAACTGCGTTTATCTGGTTAAATGTATTTAATATCTTAGATATCGTATTTATTTGAATATTATCAGATTTATAGATGTAACTCGTGCAAGTAATGGCGTATTCCTACCGGTGTTACAATCTGTCCCAGACCATGTACTTTCACAAGTAACAGAAACCTTTAATGTAAATTCGGATTTATTATCAGTGATGGGCCGAGAACCAGTCATGGTGATTGTTGATGAAGATCCAGGTGTAACGTAAAATGTGCTTGAAAGTTTGTCAAGTAAGTCGTCAGCACCATCACTATAATCTTTATCCATAGATGTAATATGTACATTGACATAGCCCTAAAGCAAAGATCTTTGTTACTCCAAAACAAATCGATAATCCAAAATAACTTTAAGTTACATTTTTAAACACTTACTTCGTATCGTTCACTGATTGAACCTTGATAAGGATTATTTACGCCACTATCTGTTAGCGCTTGACTACTTGTGAAAGTTATAGTTTCACCGCCATCCCATACTTTAGTAGTTAGAGAACCATAAGTACATGTATCATTGATATTGCCTTTATTACTGCATAAAATGAAGTAATAGTCGCATGAAGAGAAAGTATCGCATTTGCCATTATCCCAGTTGCGTTCATTCTTGTTGTAATATTTTTGAAATTCGTAAGTGACGTAAGCATGAACATCAGCTTCAACGTACTGTTATTATTTGGAAAGGTGAGAAGAAAATATTAGGTGCTTTTACTTAAATAATCGATAATTACCGATTTTGGCACTAGATACATTTATTTAAATCCGTAGTCGATATAAATAACTAAACAAGGAATTATCAGAATTACTATGCTATCTTCAGTAAAGATAGTCTTCATGATCACAATATTGTCAACAGTTCATTGTTAATGTAAAAGACATAAGCGGAAAAGGAAAAGTATAATCTAGCAATACACAGCCGCCCCTTCTGTTACAAGGCAGTGTTGATCATGGCTGTACTACGTTTTGAAACTATAAAGTTGAAGGTTAGGCAGTTGGGCATTATGAAAATTACATTGTTAATCTTTAATTTGATGGAAATGTATTGCATTTTTACTACATTAGTAAAGAAAGGACTACTTGTAAGAATAATTTTAATCTATGATTTGTAATGCAAATTCTCCCGTAGTACTTCAACTTCTAAACTTTAAGCTTTTGACCTATGAAGTTAAAAATTACTTAATTCTTTTATATTACAATACTGTGG